AACACTACCTAGCAAAGTATACCTATTAATAGGTATGCTCGCTAGGTACCCCCCCTTTTTTAACCTTTTCTAGCCTCTAGCTTGTGCAGTTTAATAGTTATAACAAAACCCTCTACTACAGAAATATAGAGGTAGTTTTTCTCTTTCTTTTAAGCCCTATTTCGCTAGAATCTATGTATTATTGACAAAGTTTTGGGGGGTACCCACGAAGGACGTTGGAGTATACCCATTCCGCCAGCCTAGAGGGGACTAGGCTATTACAAGGGACTATGTCCTAATTAAGATCTAGATAGACACAAGCCCTATAGCTAGGAAGGAAAACAAGCAGTTCGCCCTTGCAAAGGCTGACTAGGACACTCCTTAATCTTCCTGCCGCGTAGCGGTGTCTAGAGAGATTTGTATTGTGTGATTAGATCGCGTTGTTGTGATGCGTTAGATGGTGCAAGATGCTTCTTAAGTGTTGTTAACTGCTTATATAGCGTGTCCTTACTCTTAATTAAGTAAAGGTGCTTTGCAGTAATTATCTTACTAATCTTAGAGTTAAACTTAGTAAGAGCCTTCTTCTAACACCTAAACTTAATGTCCTTGCGCTCCTATTACTTGTACTCCTATTAGTACAGCTTCTGCTGCGCAGCAGTAAGATAAGTAAGTAACATAGCATTATTATTATAATCTGTTAATTAAGGTTTAATTAGTGCTATTAACATAGGCAAGACTGCTGCCTTTGTAGCAGGGTTAATGTACTGCTAGAGCTTGTTCTTCTACGCAGTATCTTTTTATATAAACAGCTACTTATGCTAGTTATTAGCTTAATTAAGGATAACTGTCACTTAGGTGACTGCAGGGTCTGACTTAGTAGTTATTGTAAGTTGCTCTACATAGTATAATTAATTGTAATCTTAATTATAGGTGCTAATTAGTAGGTTAGCAGCTCTGTATAGTATAATTAATTATTAATCTTAATTATAGGTGCTAATTAGTTGTTGTGAGTGAGCGAGCTAACTAGTCGCAATCCAGGCTTATAACTATTGCGGTATGAAGAGCAAATGTATATGTTGAGTGTATTGTGTTGTTGTTGTTGTTGTATCTATGTTCTCTAAGGCTTCCTGTGGGGTTTGTTTTGATGACGTCTTTGTAACGCAGCCAAGGTAAGAGGTGCTCAACAACATGAGGAAGTAACACCAGACCACCGCCAACAACACGTGATCTGCTTCTCCTCTCAACCGTTACAATATATCTACTTAAAACGTAATATTATAGAGGTAATTAGAGACCTACTAATAAGGTATGTTTAACGCTCTAGCAGCGCTGTAGATACTGTGAAATTAGCTAGCATAGAAGGCCTAGATAGTAAGGATAACTCTACCTTCTCTAGTAGTATTCTAAAGTTATTGTTATTAAGGCATGTTATATTAGGGTAAAAGGTAGTTGTGCTAAGAGAAAGTAGCTAGTTTAGTGATATGGCTGGCTTAGTGATAATTTACGTTAGAGTTATAGCTGCTTGAAGTTGAGTACTGACGTGGTGTTGATGCGCGCGGGGTGGTAATGCCAGCAGAAACTGTCCGAGTTTTTCTGCTAGGGTGGTGATGGCGCGCACGTGCTGACTAACTACGGTACCCGTGTGACCAGCATACCCGTGATGTACGTTATATTAGCTACAGCAGCCAGCGAAGGGGGAAATCCTCTTGCAGCTAGGTTAAGTGCATGCTAAACAATCACTTCCTCTTCATTCTTGTCTAGGTTCCTTAATAGAGGTACCTATTCTACTTACGCAGGTTGCCTAGTGCGTTGATTGCTTAGGGTTGTTTAAGAGACGTTGTGAAGGGCTGCTGCGCGTTGCTAGGAGAGATGACAGTTCCCTGCTAGATGCACAAGGACGCGCCCTTCCAGTAGCCACGCAGACGGCGTGGCACAAGAGTGCGATTGACATTTGCATTACTGGAAGGGTGAACGTTAAGAGTGAACGCTTTGGGCATGGTGGCCTGTGCTCTCGGCAACCGCGGCCGCGTGTTTGTAAACACCAGATGAAAGCATCACCAGCGCCATTGCGCACGTTTGCGCCCCACCACGTCCAGCATGGAATCATACAACCTCAAAACTGCGGCGTCATACATCAACAACCTACTTTTGGCTCGAGGGCTTTTGCGCGATGGAAAGAGCATCGAGTTCGCCCACCCGTCGCGCGGAGAGGGTGGAAAGGAGGCTACAATGGCTCAGATTATCAACCTCGTCCACGATCTGATTCTGAAGCGTGACGTATGGTGAACGGCTATTCACGTGTCATACAGACACTGACATGTAGACAGCGTGACCAAGAGTACAGAGAGTCTGTCGCAGAAACAGTTCGGAATCTACGTTCAGAACAGTCGCGCCAATTGATATCACTTGAAAAACTGCAAACCCGCAACGCAGACCTCACAAGACAACTGTCCCTCGCTCAGTCGCAAGAACATGCCGCTCGCGCCGCCCTACGAACCGCCGAATCATCAGCTCGCAAGCTGCGCGCAGAGATGCTGCGACTCAAAACAACGGTGGACCAGGTGCGCACGAGTTGCGCGAATGACGTGCGAAAGCGCGACATCCAAATACAGAGGCTGAAGAGCCACTTGACTGCTCAGCAACGCGGAAACAAAACAGGGTTGGTTGGCGCAAGCATCACAATCAACCCTGGAGTAGCAGGGCATGGTGGATCAATAGGTACCCTTCGAGCCGAGGAGCCAGATCTCGAGGGTCCTGGTTATAGCCTGAAGCAGGAAACAACCGAGTTCTTGACGCAATTGAGCCAGAGCCTGAGCGACGAGAACGACAGCCTGATCGCTCTTGTCAGGAGCACGCTTGTGACTCTGAGGGAGTTGCAAGGCATGCCTGAGATGATTGCGCAAGAAGAGGCAGATGGACTTTCAGTGGTCGGAGAAGAAGACGAGGTGGAACGACAAGGCATGATGCAAGCGTTGCCTACCAGCTATGAAGCTCTTGCTAGCGACACAGATGCGGTTCTTGATAACCTCAAGAATTTGCTTACGAACCCCAATTTCGTTTCAGTCGATGAAGTGGAGTCGCGGGAGGAAGAGATTCACAGATTGCGAGCTGGTTGGGAGAAGATGGAGGGGCGATTGAGCGAATCATTCAAGCTCATGGATTCATGGCGGAAGCGCATGGGCAACGGTGGCACTATCAACCTTGACGAGCTTACCAGGGGTCTGGACTACGATACTGATATGGAGGCAGATGACACAGACCATGTCTCTATTATCGAAGTAGAAGTCAAGGACGTGTACGAAGAGGAGCGCGAAGAGGTCGTAGAGCATGGCGATGAGGCTATGGAGGACGGTAGCTCTGTCTTCAACGAGGACGTGGCAGAAGTCGAAGACCAGGAGCAACCCACACCAGAAGCTGAACCTGCACCAGAGCAGACAAATGGCGACAAGTTGTTCAGTGTCAAGCTGCACCCTGAACAGCCGGAACTGCAAGAGACGAAGGGCAATAAGTCGCCTCGCAAGGTTGCCTTCTCAGTGTCCATCCCTAACACGCCATCAGGGGTCGAAGTCGAGAACACAGATACACCCGGACTTGATCTAGTCGATGCAGAGACGTCCGGCCACTCATCCCCTGCAGCAAAGGCGGCAGCCTCCCAGGACCGAGCATCGAGACCGATAACTCAAGATGAGCGCACACCACGCCATGTACGTTGTAATGATATCTGCGACCAGATTGCGATCATGGCCAGCAAAGTCATTTTTCCTTCGTCTCCATCCTCAACATTCAACTCGTCAACAATAACAATCTCTGATCACCATCAACAGACAAGAAAGCGAAATTCAAGTTCACGTGCTCATCCGGAAGAGCCCTCCCCCAAAGTAAGCATATTCGACAAGCTCAAGGCAGTCCAGGTGGAAGCGGAAGTAGCCGCCGCCAGAATCCAATCAAGCCCTGTCACGTCGTTCAGATCGGCGAATGGCGAAGATAAAGCGGACGACGAGAAGCAGAGACGCACTACTCGCTCGCCGACGAAACCCTTGCGTATTGGCGGGCGGCCGAAAAGGAGAAAGAGCACCCTGACACCTGCAGAGCTGGAAAATCTCTTGGGTTGCTAATCGGCCGGTGCTCGACTTGCGGGTGCTTGTGCGTGTCATGAAGACAGGTTAGTGGTGGGGCGCATAATGAAGCTGCATTCAATCAACGTTTTCACATCGTGCACTCAACTGTTGACGCGATGTCAATGTATTGGAGTGGCTGGTGCGCGGGTGACCAATACTTTGTCGATCCTTGTTGATTGGGCAGATCAGAAGGGAAGATGCATGAACGAGGCCGTGGGTCGGCGCGTAGGGACGGCAATTATCACTCTGGCCGGTGCGGACTGATTGCATACTGCGATGCAGCAGTGATATGTCCTTGGTGCAAACGAGTGCGAACAGGTCTGAGACTTCGACGTCGAAGGAGGTTGCGTACAGGAGTTCAAGTACTCCATGTTGCAGCGCCTGTTCTTTGATTAGCAGCAGGTCTCACAATAACGCACGCAACACGACATCGCGCGTCCACACGTGTAACGCTTTCTTGTGCCCTCAGGGTCACGGTACATGATGACTACATCATTCCCGTACTACGACCATGTCCTCTAGCTTCTGCAACTCTTCCACAAACCCGTTTGACGTCGCAAAAGGCAGCCTCGTTCTTGTCAAGCGCCATGCCTCCACCTTTCAGTCGCATATTTTCTCCTGTCGTTGAGCACCTCGCGTGCACTGCGCCAATGCAGCACTGCTCATCACCAAGCCTATCTCCACATGGCAGACGTCGTGTAGCCAACTTATTTGCGATGCAGTTGGACGCGCACAACGACGATGGTGGTTGGTTCCACTTGAAAGCCTCTAAGTTTAATAGCCGCCGACGTCCTACTTCGGGATATTTTGTGATCGAGGGCAGCACAGTCACAGCGCCTTATTGGCTGGTGAGGAATTTGGAGGCTGGGCGACGAGGAAATGGCTGCTAAATGCTACCAACACGACAAGGTACATGGCTGCAAGGTTGCAGGGACGAGGTTAATACACCTGCATCTGTCTTCGGCCTTCCCTTCACTGCAGGTTTGTCGATGCAGCGTGATGGAGCCCTCGCTGCACGGGGAGGAGCGGATATCACATGGCTATACCCGTACTTTGATGTGATAGGCTTCGTGTTTTCACGCTGTGTCTGTGCGCGCGAGATGGATATTCCCCGCTCACTCTGACGAGTGATGAGCTAGAAGCCTCGCGCCGGGTACCACGAAGCTGACCTCTCACCACTCGAGATCCTCCGTCAAGCGCTCAACACACATTCGATAGACTGCGCATCTAGCCTGCTCCCTGCGAACATGGCGTGCGTAGGCTGCACAAGCAATCAGTCTCTCCGTTAGTGCTGTCACTTCGGCTGGCCCCTCGCAAAGCGAGTCCCGCTTACGCCAATCCTAGTCCTCTCTGGCGAAGTGCTGTGCGATGTTGGATTCTATATATGTTGGCCTTGGGCCCTCACTCTGACCTTTTCTCTTCAGCAAGCGTGTAAACTTCTCAGAGCTGTTGTGTTCGTTTCTCCATCCTCTTTCTAACTTTTTTTGTTTCTCGGCCTGGTGCCACCTTAATTCAATCTTTATTCACTATTACCAAACTCTCGTAGCTGGTCTACACCTCTCAAAACGTAATCTTCAGCTCTACTTGCTCGATACACAACACCAAACAAACTCGACACTCTCGCATAATCGACTTTCGTCAACGATCTTTCTACCGCTTCATCAGCAATCACTTCGACGTTTATCCATTAGCTTAGCCAGGACGCAACACGACTCATCAGTCATCATAATTCAACTACTACCGAAAGTTTAAGATCGAAATCTCAATTACAATGGCCGCCATCCAGCTTAACTTCACTCTCCGCACTTCCGCCAACTGCAAGACCGTCCACCTTCTTGGTTCCTGGGACGGCTACCAGGGCCAGCTTCCCCTTTCCAAGGACCCCAAGAAGACCGGTGGTTGGGTTGGCTGCTTCAAGTTCCAGGGTGCCACTCTCAAGCAGGGCCAGCGCTACTGGTACTACTACATCATCGACGGATACCACGTCTCCCACGACCCCGCCAAGGACCACACCACCGAGCCCACCACCGGCCGCAAGCTGAACATCATCGACATTCCGTCTAAGGCCGCCGCCGCTTCGGTCAAGTCCTCCCGCGACTCCCGCCGCGCTTCTCAGAACATCCCCAAGGGCCGTGGTGTTTCCCCCAGCCGCATCGTCGCCCCCAAGCCCCAGCGTCCCGGCCAGACTCGCCAGGTCATCAACACCCAGTACAACCAGACCACCCTCGAGCAGCTCAACCGCCACTTTGCCCGCCAGGACATCAACTCCGACTCCGAGGATGACTCCGACTCTGACGCTGACTCCGACGTTCCCTCGCTCACCTCTTCGCGCTCTTCCGACAGCTCCTCTCCATCCAGTGTCAGCTCTGGTAGCTCATGCTGCACATGCGAGCGCTACGGAATCACACGCAAGGGCGACCGCGTGAAGCTCGACTGCGGAGGTGCCCGCTGCTCGTTCTCCGATGAGTCGGACGAGTGCAGCTCCGAGGACGAGTACGTCTACGAGCAGAAGCAGACCCGTCGCAACGGTGTCATTATCCGCAACTAAGTCAACGACCTCGATGACTACAAGTACAACGACCCCACAACTGTTACGACCATTCTCCGTTTTTCGATTTTTAATTCTTTCTGTGAATATTATGATGGCCCGCTTTACGGTTTGTATTTGTGTTTCCTGACGCTCTTTTTGTAAGACGCACTTTTGTTGCTGCTGGTATTGGAGCATGGAGGAGGGGTGGTAGGGAAGACGGCTTATGTGCCTCGGACATGGTGCGCTCGCAGCACGCACAGACTAGTAGACATCACGATGGAGTCACTGCTCATCGGACCTGATGTTAGAGAAGACACGCTCATGTAGAAATGATCGAATACATGGCTCGTGGTATATTTGCAACCTTTCAATTATGTCCACATGAGTGATGCGGAAGAGGATTCAGGTTGCTGGTGCTAAAGCAGGGTGCTTGGGGTCGGAACATTTACTGACTTCTTCTGACACTCGCTCTCAAGCGAAGACGCAATCGCAATCTGGAAACGCGCAAACTTCGAGTGGGGGACAGAGGGCGACCTTGTACACTGACAAAAAGCACTTGGGCTGAGCCGGCTTCGGAACTGTTGAAAAGTGTACCACGAGTCTGCGAGTTACTTTTACGCCCGAAACATCTCGTTCTGTCTAAAAACACCCATCAGAACCATTGCCCATCATATCTCAAACCTCCGACTGATTCTCTCCCATGCACGTGAACATAAGATCTAGGATCACAGGCTTCGAGGTGCGCGAGATTGTCATCGACGAGAAAACTCTGCCTACTTTTGGCAATCATAGGACCAAGGGTGGAAGTCCGGCACCAAATTTCTTCGCAGGGGACGATTGGTCCCCTCCTAGAGCTATTCTGGCAGGGCAAGCTGACAGCTCGCGCATCATTCATACATTCCTCCAAATCGACATCGCTGAGCACGCGTAGTCTCCGTTTGCCATTTGACCTACACGGCCAAAATCGATCCGGATGTCGCACCTACGAGCAATATGTTACAAAGACTGTCAGCAGAACAATTGCGACTTCGACGATACGGCCCTCTGTTGGCTTACATCGGTTTACCTACGCTATATCATCATTATTGCTCAACAGCTTCGTGAGCTCGACAGCTTCGCAGACTTTTCAATTTAAACGTTGTGTGTACAGATTTATTCGACTTGTCATTGGCAGTCCTGCGCAACCATCGCATACGACCTGGAATTCTCCTCAAGTGAAAATACACACGGTGTCCTCCCCTTACCCACTATTTGTCTCCGCTCCCACCCCGTCAGAGCATCCTCACTCAAATCTAATTCCTCCTTCTCTTACCATATCCTCCTAAATTCCGCCATAACACTAGTTTTCTGTTGTATACACTTGCTCTTCGTGATGATCTGTACAGCAGTGATCAACCTTTCACTCGCTCCACCTGCGGGGATCATATCCCTCGTCTTCTGTTTGAAGAGCACGTACCAATCTAGGAACAGATTCTCGTTCCCGAGAAGGTCTTCTTGCGCGGCCTCGAAAGCGAATGGGAAGAAGCCAGCTTGGTTGCTGTGGATTATACCAACGAGCTCGTACGCTGTGCTGCCATCTGTTAGGGTGGTGGCGTGTACAGAAATACTGTGAGGCTTAATATCATTATATGAGAGCACAATGTCATCGTCCAGACTATTGATATCTTCATTTTTGAGGAGTTGGCCTACTTCCGGGAGGGATGAGCGGATCAGCACGCCGTCTGCGGTTTCAACAATGTCGCATGCAGCTGAACGCCGGAGTCGGTTGCGCTCAACGAGATGCCTGAGGAACTCGCGGAGGTCTTTCGAGTAACCGCAGCGGGGCGAGCCGATGCAAACACTTCCTTCTGAATGAATGAATGGTGTTCCAGCAAGGAGTTCTTTGACAACAGGATCCGTGCGTCTCATTTGATGGACTTGCTTGACAGTCACGACAACTGCATCGACCAACGACTCTTTCTGCTCTGGCTTCAGTGATGGCCAGACCGATTCCAGAGTCACAGTCCCTGTGAGAAACCTGGATACTGTGTACTCGAAATCTCTTCCGTCAGCTGTCATCGCCTTGTCGCATTTGTACATCTCTGGTACCAGTCCAGGGAACTGATGGTTTGCTGTACTACATATAGCCGTGACCACCTCAAGGATGGGCTCGTCATCGAAGACCTCCGCGTGCACTAATAAATCCATAGGCCAGTCATTGGTCTCGAATTGGGCTCTGAATGTGCAAGTGTCGATTGTTTGTGCGAGGATAGTGACCTTAACCGGTTGGGCATTGGGAAAGATGGCCGAGAGAATGACTGTATCAGGCGCAAGATCATGATCCATTGTTTCTTTGTTTGTCGTCTTTGTCGCGAAGCTGAGCGACGAAGACGATAGCGAGCTGCACAACGCTGGATTTTGAAGTGAGGTTGAATTGGTAGGATCGGACCACCTGCGCATGCCTGCTGGCGCTGTTCAAGTCCAGACCGGGGTTTGATTGGCCGAGATTCCTTTGAAGGCCACATCGGTCGTGCAGATTCGACAAGATCTGGAGTTACGCCATGGGATCCTTAGAATTCTCTGACTCTTCTCCCGGAAAGCTTGTTGTTGATCGTATCAGCATCTTGATCTGAGCCTCGACTCACCTCGAGCTCCCAAATGGCGGTTATGCGCGACACCGCGGCGATGCCGACACAACACTCTCATTGCGTTTTGTCCGTTGACCGGTCAAGCTCGAGAAAATCGCTGTGCCGTAGGGTCAAACCATTATATGACGGATCTCCGAGAGGCCTTCAGTCGTCGAAACACGTAACTCAGAGGCTCGATGCTGGACAGACAGATCTGGATACTCTCGCTCTGTGGACCTCTCAGCCCTTAGAGGAAATGTTCCAAAGCAGTCGCGACGTCTCTTCGGAGCTCGAACTTCTCTTCCTCATCGGGCTTGGGGTCCCACAGCGCGTTAGAAAGATCCTTACTTCTTCAGACACATAATTGACAGCTCCTACGCCTAAGGCAGCCTGGAAAAAAGATATCATGTGTGAAGATTGACGTGCATACCTGGGGCTTCCCACAAGGCTGTTTCGCGAGCTTACGAATGGGAATCGAGTTGCGCTAGACCATAAACTCATTCCATCTCATGATCAATGCGATTTTAGCATGCTGGTCGCTCTCTCAGTACTGGTCCGGCCGCGTAAGAGTAGCCCAAACCGTTGTGGTGAACCCATCAGATGATACATAAGAGGTGTTGTTGTACCCGATCTCAACGATGAGCAGTCCAATCTCTCCTCGCGCCACTATTGCCATGCCGAGCAACAACACGGGTGATATCGAGCTTTTGAGAGCCGCATTGCAAGAAGAGATTATGGCTAAGACAAGCCATGGTTTCAAAGCCGTTAATTATTTCCGCTGCGAAACGGTCTTTCCGAGCTCGTTCTTCCCTGAAAAGCCTGTCGCGTCGTTTATTTTCTATGGGGCCTTCAAAAGCGCTGTCAAATCATGAGATCAAAGTGACAGCTAGCGACGTCATGTCCGCGCTTAGCGTTTGTTAAGCGTTTGGACCCCAATACGACATCGAGCAACGACCTTCACACGAGTCTACCACAGTGATGCTGGATGTTGTTTCCTTTAAAGGTGAGAGCATAAGGAATGATCCTTTTCGGTTCATTGCGCTCAAATATGCCGATCGCTCAACTTCATCTGTGTGACTGATAAAGGTCGGAGTTGTCGCTAAGTTGCGTCGTTCGCCAAAAAAAGCTTGTAAGCAGTCCCTTAGCTTTGACTTTTGATATTGACGTCCCAAAGTACAATCTTGGCAGACAAATTGTTTGAAAGGGACTTCGTATCTTGCCTGTGGGCGACTTAGCATCCTTCTGCCATTGCAAGGGTGATTCAACCTTAGCAACGAGCCGTTCTCTGGCATCAGTACTCAGGAAAATCGTGGTCAACAGTTTCTTTCCATGCTCGGAGCCCGCCTCGTATATCTCCAATGAACCTTTTCCCGCCATTGTCGAGGCCCAAGTCTTTCATCTTCTTGACCGTTAATTGGGAATCGTTTCCTAGTCGGCACACCACGAAGATTGGCTTCTCGGGTTGGCGCCTCAGACCTTGTACCCAAAGCGGCTCTTCAATCTCCATTGAGTCGAAGTTGCTATCGCTGGTGTTGGTGCGAGTCATAGAGACAGTAAGGAATGGCACGTTGCGGCTCCCTTCAATATGGCAGAGTTCAAATTGAACACTGTCCCTAGTATCAACTAGGATGTGGTTTTCTCTGCTCGATACAGTCCCCGTAAATGGGTTCACCCCTGATCGCAGCTTCGCGTAGTTCTCAGCCGAGATACGCTCTTGTGGGCTCAGTACGTCGATGGGTTTGATGCTTCCGCAGAATTGCACGTAGTCTAAGCTGCCTGAGTTCAGTGCTTCAGGTGTGATTGTCGATTGTGCTGAGCATGCTGCACACTTTGGTTTCCTGGCGCGTAAGCGGATCAATCTGAACATGGGACTGGAGTATGCTGAGAACAGCAATAGGCTCGGCGGCTCCATCGTTGCTGGATTGGTCGTATCAGGCTTCTGAGTCAAAACTTTGATTGCTTCCACAGCTTGTAGAACACCCATGACGCCTACAACAGGTCCAAGGATGCCGCCATCTCCGCAAGACACAACCGATGCTGGAGGCGGCGGCTTGGGAAAGACGCATCGATAGCAAGGTCCCCCTTTTGCGTCGCCTGCGGGTAAGGGTGGATTGTTCAGAACCATAAGCTGACCGTCGATACGCAATGCTGATGCTGAAATAAGCGTCTTACCAAGCATGACGCAGCTATCTGAGATAAGGTAGCGTGATGCTGGGTTGTCTGTGCAGTCGAGAATCATATCGTAGTCCTTGAAAACTGAAAGGGCAATATCTGAAGTGAGGATGGACTTGTGAGGCACAAGCTTAACGTTTGGATTGAGTCTGGGTGTGTATTAGTGTCCCGAACTCGCAAAATATGAAGCAAGTACTGACGAGCTCAGAGCAACCATGGCACTTTCGACTTTGGTCATCCCTATCCTTGCCGTTGAGTGGAGGATTTGACGATGTAGATTGGATTCCTCGACGACATCGCCGTCTATGAGACCGAGAGTGCCGACTCCCGCTCCTGCTAGGTAGGCGGCAGCTGGACACCCGAGGCCGCCCATACCCACGAGCAGTATTTTAGCTTTCCGCAACTTGAGCTGCCCTATTTTCTAAAAGATTAGCAAAGGTCCCATCGCTGCAGTCTACAAATGCAAACTGACCCTGCAGCCCGATCTCAGGCATTATGAGCTGCCGCCCATAGCGCTTGTACTCGTTCGGTTCGAGCGGCCATCTCCCAGCATCAGTTGTGATATCGCTTACTGCTGGAAGTTCTTGGTCCAATATCGCAAAAATTTCTGATCGAAAGTCATCTGGCACACCAAAGTTCATGTCATGGTCCAGAGGGTCATTGGAGAGCTTCGGTTTCTGCCGCAGAACCTTCTCTTGTTGCTGCTGGTTGTGTTCGGCTTCTGCCAACTGCTGTCTTAGATCTCGCAACGATGCTTCATGCGACGCTATCTGTTGCCGCAGCGAATCTATTATCTGGGTCATCGTGCGTCTTTGCGGGTGAGCCTTGGTTGGAGACGGATTTCCTTTCTGGCTGAGGGGTATGTATGCAGCGATAAGATAGCAACGACGCTAGACTGACTCGCGTGCGCCGGTATTCTCACCTTCTGCATCTACACGGAAACCTTATACAGCTGTTCTGAATGTGCTAGACATCATATGAATGTTCTCTGGTCTTTTTTAATGGTTGGCCGTTGAAGGCCCAAGAGCCGTCATGCGCCCCAGTGCCAAATGACGACATGAAGATGTGCAGCGGTCCGAGAAACTATGATGACGTCATGAGTATTCCAACTGCCTTCATCAGCACACGAGTGACTCTTGTGCCTCCTTCCATCGTTCAACGAGGAAGTTACGCCATTAAGGCAGAAGGTTATTTGTAAGCTCGTCAAACCTGACTATCTTGGCAAGCTGCTTATGGCTGAATACCGCTGAAATATGCGGTCATTGCGCAGCCGCTGCATTGAAGATGGCTGATGGTCCAACTGACATCTAAAGACAAGTACACTTAAGTAGCTATCATAGGGGTTGACAAACTATACATATGCAAGTCATCGCACTGCGCATGACAGGGTGCTGTTATCCAAGTAGCTCAACTGCGATGGTTTCTCATCGCCATAGTAAGCACTCGGGTGGAATAGGTCTTTTGGATATTGCAGCTACACGCTTGTTTGAGATGAGCCAATAATGTGCTGTTGACAAGCCTGACTTGATCAATCTGGACTACCCATAATAGCCATTTAAAACGACACATAGCATTCGGAATACGGCAAGTCGGACCCTGTGGCTGGGTCTGGGGTGCCTCGTGAGAGCTCTGAGTCGGAAATGGTACGAGATCAACATCAAATTGGATCTCGTTCGACCAATTGGAATGTTCTACAATCCTAAGCGCGCTTTACTTGATTACATCTGGTTGTCTGTGTCCTGGTGATCCAGCCACAAGGCTGCGTGCGAAACACCATGGCTCCCCACACATGTCCGAAGGAATCAATTTATTCGATTCGATATTTCCCCAAAACCACGCGTTTTGCGCCCGGATATTAGAACGAGCTGAACCTGGAACCAAGAGAACATGCGGATAAGTAGTACACTGTACGATTGTGCGCAGCTGGTAGAATGCTCGTCAGATCCTGGAAGGCTGGGATCATCCCCGGCTTAGATAGACAAACAGAGAGTGCCTCAAGCGCTCGTGGATTCAATGCGAAGTTCGATTGATTTTTCCTGGGCCAGGCTCACTGCAGAAATGTCAAACGCGCGTCGGCATGCGTTGGAATTCATGATGCACGTCTTGGTTCCCGGAATCGTCGATTAGGTAGCCTGGTATTAGAGGAAGAACCCGCCAGGTGCTTGCTTTTCTCGCTTTCCAAGCCTGTGTGCGGTCAAAGTTCAGTGATGCAGAACTTGCTAGAGACCGAGAAGCCAAGACACAGCTCCACAACACGGGACAGACATGAGTGCAGGAGGGCGTTCCGTTGGCGTCAGTATGGGAAGGTTAGTGGAGGGGGCTGGCACTTCCTGCAGGCTCAGTGGGTCTGGATGGTTCCTTACCGTCTAAAGTGCCATTCTCGGGACGCGTTCATATCTCTGCTTGTGACATGTGGCTAATAAGGGGCTCAAGGCAGGGCAGGATGAAATATTAATACATGTCGCAGACAAACGCATGCGCACATAACTCCAGATACCCCGCGCCCTTGCTGCACCAAACAACCCATTACCCCTCCACAGACTTCCCCGTACATTGACAGTACAACTTTGTTTTGTCAAACTCGCGATGATGGTTTGCGTGACCTGCAAAGGCTTGCAAAAGCATCTGAAAGCTGTTGGTGGTGTTCAAGAAACCGAGGCCGGCGCGCTGAAGTGGATCGACTCTTCATTACCGGATCTTCGTGCAAGCGCCGCCAATTGTCGCGCATGCGCCCTACTCCTTCAGGGCATTCTGCTGCACCACGATCGCTTCAGAGACGTGAAGGAGAACGTCATCCACATCACCGCTCAATCGTACAAAGCGCCGCAAGACCACCTCTCAGTCGAAGCATGGTGGCACGACTCACGTGACGATGACGTTCAGGAAGAAGACGAGCACGGACACACAGGCTGGCCGAATCTGAAGCTGGAGTTCTTCACAGATGGAGGTACGTTTTCGCTCCAGCCAGAGGGCATTGCGAGCCCGTTGGGGTGATTGCCAACATGTCCGACGGCGCGCCGATCATTCGTACATCAGGCTTAGTAAGAAATGTAGTGGCTGACGGCGAGCAGACGGTCAATCCTCCTTTTCTGCGATTGGGCGAGGTTGTCAGATCTCGAGTCAGCCACTGCAGGATACAGGTCTTGCAACGATACAGGATCTGTTGAAGACTTGCCTCTCAAGCCACTCGAAGTGTCGACAACCGAAGTCCACTACCCTGCCACGGAGAATCCTGGACGTGCTAGGAGACGACAAGAAGAGCGTTCGTCTGCACGACTCCGACTTCAACAGTGCAGAGAATAGATACGAATACGGGGAATACATTGCGTTTAGTCATATATGGGGCGTGGCCAAGGCTCTGCCTAAGACGACAACACAGACACTACAGTCCCACAAGAAAGGCATCCTATGGACGACGTTACCACGGGCTTTACAGGAAGCAATCGTGCTAACGAGAGCACTAGGCTTCAAATACCTCTGGATCGATGCTTTGTGTCTCGTTCAGGATGACGCCGCCTCTAAGCTTGAAGAATCGATGACTATGGATCAAATCTTCGGCAACGCCTTCTTGACTATTGCAGCGACCTCTGCGATCGACAGCAGCAAATATCCACTATTCCCTGCTCAAATACAACCCTTCAAGCTCCAAGCAACCGACAATAAGGGTTCTGCTTTTAAGATATACGTCAGAGAACAACCGAATCACTACAGTTTCAAGGCACCATTCGACGAAAGAGCCCACATGAATGACTGGGAACTACCTTTCAACATTTCGGATGATGCCAACCAAGATACACCATTACTGAAACGAGCCTGGGCATTCATAGAGCGTCTGCTCTCACGCCGAATACTACATTTCACAAAAAGCGAAATGATCCTGGAATGCAGGGAAGGATATCATTGCGAGTGTGGACGAATCGCAGATCCAGCTCTCGACTCTAGAGCCACCGATTCGATCAAGCAGGAACTTGCGCGCATCATTGCTGAGACAGACAGGCGCCCCTCATTTGACGGACGTGGCGACCAGATGAACGGCATCGAGAGCGTCACCTCCCAGTTTGCCTCTACGACCCTGACCAACGGAGCGAAAAACATTTCTCAGAAGCGAGAAGAGGCGCTCCAGCTCTGGAGTTATGTCATCACGGAGTTCACAGCCCGGCATCTTACCTATGATTCTGACAGGCTGCTGGCGGTAGCGAACATCGCAAACCAACTGTCACCTGCTCTCCACTCTGGCTACGTAGCAGGTCAATGGACGTTTAGCACAATGGGGCTGCTTTGGTATCCAAACGACAGCACTAGGTGCAGGCGATCGAAACCTCTCGCTGGCCGTATTGCCCCAAGCTGGTCTTGGGCATCAGTCGAAGGCTCTCCTATCTTCTTCGACACTACGTCGGCTATGGATCTTGCATGCAGAGTATCATTCGCATCATCGGACGAAGATGTTGCGAGTTGGTCTCCGTTGGCAGGGAAGACTATCGAGCTGTCAGCAGCCATGGCGACGGAAGTCACGTTCACTTCCACAGGATCAGCAAGTAACCCTTCGTATCAACTTTCAAGGAATGGCATTGTCGTCGATTTCGCACCGGACATCATCTTACCCCGAGGGGATGACTCATTACGCAACGGCGAGAAGCTCATATGCGTGTTGGTCAGCATGTCATATCGATCCTCCATCATTGGTCTGGTGTTGCAACGCTCCAACAGTAGCGATGTATACCGCCGCGTTGGTCGACTCGAATGTTACGAGTGCTTAAAGGAGGACAGTGATGAGGAGATGAGCGAAGATGCTGAAGTACTCTTCGACCATTGGTTCCCCGACGTCCAGGATATGTCTCAACTCGACAATCATCCACTACAGCGCTTCACTGTCGTTTAGACGGATCTTATGATCGAGGTTCTTGCATTTCGAAAAAGCATAGTTGCAACAGCGAGACCAGCACGCGCATGTTACGACTCTCGATACCCTTTTACGCCAGCGTACGATTTGTTTGAGTACCTAGGTCTTATGGCTGGTTTCTTGGATAAATAAAATCTTGGAGATGGCGAAGTCATCATTGGTTGATTTCTGAGGGGAGCAGTTTGCATGACAGCTACCGACACACATAATCTGAAAGTCTATATGCACCATGTTTAGGTTTGCTTCCCGCAATAGGTGCACACAAGCTTCATCCCGTTAAGCCAAGAGTACCGTTACCTACGGAATATTCCATGCTCAGGTACACCAGTGACTAGGCGTACATGAACGTGGAGGCAGGTTCGGCCTGGACTTGTTACATTTCAACGCCAAGGTAGAACTCCAGCCCGCCAGTTATCTGAGACGGAGATGAAGGAGCATGTCACTCTTTGCCTTGTGCTAACGCAGGACTCCGCGTTACGATCACTTATCAAGGTTCGAACGTCGTTCGCCGACCATCAGCTGAGCTGGAATTAGAATACGCTTCGCTTAACAGCAGGCTATGTCCGTCAAGGCCTAAGTCAGTGGCCACACGCGACACTAATGCGATCGAAGGATTGCGCAAGATGAGCGCGCTAGCCTTGAGCCAGCCCTTCAGTACTGTAAGACACCCAGTAGTTGATTCTATCTGGTCGTTGACCTGCCTTTTGCCCGCCTGGCAATACTCACGTGAGCTGCGCGCAACAACCCACAGAGAGCTCTGATTTTCACACAATCCTAAGGGTGTGTCATACACTGCAGCGATTAAAAAAAAACTTCGGGATATTGCACAAAAGTTGTCTTTTGCGTGGTGGAGGGGCGTCTCAAAATCTGGCAACCAGCAAAGGTCAAGTTCCTTGCGAAGGTCAAGTACTTGGTGAAGCCAACTACTAAGTGCCTTACAATACCTGCTGCGGACGGAGGTCGAAGATTGGTTCACCCAATGACAATCTGGTCAGGGCAAGGTCCTTACCTGAAACTTCCAATGATCCTTTCAGGCGTAATGCAAGTCCATGTAAAGCTGCTCAAAGGCCAATCTCTGATCTGCCAATTCTTGCTGAGATCATTTCACTGCATATCTTCTGGGTCGACGCTTCACAATGTAGCGAATAGCAGCTTCATGTTACGCTCTTCTCAATCAAATTATCAGTATCTGAAATATGCATTGGCATGTGTATGAATGTGCCCGCAGTTCACGCATGTTGCCGGATGCTGCGCACGTGCCCGTATGTACCCTAAGCTTCTCCAACTTTTTGAACCCCGGACTGCGGCATCATCACCCAGAACGATCGCGGAAGCAGTAATAACACGAAATCCTCACACGACCTCTCCGATCAACACCGTCACCTTCCCCAAACTACACCTTCTACATTTGATCCTTACACACGATACAAGATGTCTTTCCTCTTCGGTGGCCGCCCCCAGCTCTCGTCCGAGCAGAAGATCGCAACAGCAGAGGCTGAAATCGACATGGTTTCTGATATGTACAGCCGGTATGCTTTCCTCTGCGCTCTTAATAAACTCGCTTCTCTCAATTATGTGCTCGTGCCTACCATCTCAGCAACAAGGCAATGGCCTTCACGAGTACAGCACACCGTTGCCGCTGCCCATACTTCGTTCGCTGCACTACCAAAGACATCAGCTAACGATGGACTGTATAGTCTCCTAAAGTCCTGCTCCGCAAAATGTATCGACACATCGTACCGCGAAGCCGATCTGAACAAGGGGGAGTCCGTCTGCCTCGACCGCTGCGTATCCAAGTTCTTCGAGGTCAACGTCAAGGTCAGCGAGAAGATGCAGGGCGAGGCCCAAGGCGGGCAGGGATTCCGCGGTGGTATGTAAAATGCCAGAATGACACTTCGAGACGGAGAACCCGGTATGGCAAAGGCGGATAAGATGACGGACGCTGAGATGGGATAACGAGAATTGGCGGACACCGCGTAACCGCAAGGGATCTATACTCTCCTCGATTCGGCGCGCTTCACTACGACATTGGTCACGGCCGATATGGGCTTGTATAATATGTTTATCATATGGGTCATTGGGTTGGATAGCATGGAATGGAATGATTTACATGGCATTGGGTTCGTTGGGCAGGGATGGTTCCACTGCAAGAATGTGCTTCAACACTCGGCTCAAGCAGACAGATATCGGTGCGCAGAACTTGGGACGATTCGAGGCCTGCAATACGCCAAAGCGCAATCAGAAGCCATCGGAGCAAGTCGAGTCAACTTTTAGTGGTTCGCCCAGCCCAGCAATGCTAACAAGGACAAGCCAAATCTTCCCAAACAAATCAATCGTACATTGCAAGCGGCGTAAGTTCGTCCGTGATAATAAGCCACTAGGTTAGTTGGATGCAGGGCCAAGCCCAAGCTGCCATTTAACACTAAGGTCGTCAGCGCATGTCACGCTGTAAAGAGGCTTGTCGAAGCTTAGCCTGAGAGACATGCCTCAATCTTCGGCTGCGGTGTTGGGCGAGACAATACCAGCCGCCATAATGAGCTGTCTGATCGCCTGCATTGTATCGTCGTCGAAGTCTGGCTCGCACAGCTGTTCCAGACGCTTCAATTCGACACCCGCACGCTCAGCATTCAGCTCTGCATCGCGAGCGTGCTTCCTGGCTAGTTCAGCGCTCAAATTTGCTTCCATGGAGCATGCGACAGCATGAAGGACAGCCTACCAATTGTCAGTAGAGTTCGCGGTACTGGGAGGGTTTGAAAAGGGGGGTGTACCTCCGCGATTTCGAGACCACGCAAGATATCTGGAGAGTCTTTCTTCATCGAAGTGACGCGTTCAAGGATGTTGTCAATTACTTTTGCAGTATCACGCTGGGCAGTAGGCGCAGTCTCGGCCGAGGTAGCCTCGAGGGCATACTCGAGAGCAGGTAATGCGGCCCGAGGATCTTGCTCTGTGCTCAGTACCCCAACGCTGTCCGGACAATCTCCAGAGTTTTCTTTGGACCCGGTCTTAGCCGCAGGCGGTCTCGCCAAGCTAATTTTGGAGAAGTTCTTTGAGTTTCTAATGCGCTGGGCTAGGGCATTGCCAGTGACAGAAGAGCGCTTAGAGCCCTGGTTCTTGGCCAGCTGTTGCGTAGTCTTACGTCTGCCAAAGATATTTTGGAAGCTGTGCTTTGCCCTAATCTTCGGAGTCTTTCCCGCTGCAGCTTGCTCGTCAATACGAGTTTCCTTGCTAAAACCGTCGCGGAAAATCGAGTTGACATCTTGTGGTACCGACTCTGAGACTTCCAGTCGAGACGGAGCCATCTGGCGAGCACTAGCTCGTGATAGACCTGAGTGTGCCAGATCGGAAGAAGTGGAGCTAGGCGAGTGGGTCGAGATAGTAGACACTCGATTGTTGACCAATTTGGTCGATCGAAGTGATGGACTGGCCTTACTACCTGTAGCCTCCGACTTTTTCAGGGTGAAAGTGCCAGACTTCGATGTCATCCAAGTCATCGGCAGACGTTCGCGGATTATCGACGGTGGAGTAGCTGCGTCCGTACCCGGCACCTGCATAGCATTCTGTCGAGCTCCGTCTTGCAGCGTTGTTGAGTAGTTCCCGGCCCCCTATACGACACGTTAGCTTCGAGGAGGTCAGGTCCTTCTACGCGACCTACATAGTCGTTTCTTGGACGCATTTCCAATGTGGGAGGTGACGTGCTCGACTCTGGCTGCATGACTGACCAGTCCACCGTGGACATCGTCGAGGATTTTTTTACTATCCCGATCTCCCTTGATGCTGCTGTGCCCAGTGAAGGGAATTTTGCGGACAGGTCTCCCGTACTAGACTTGCGAGGCGGTTGCATGGACCTGATGGGCGTGATTTGAACAGACTTGCGTCCAATTGTTTCCGTTTCTGTCGAACAGGAAGTCGATGTACGCGAATCAGCGGAGACATCCGTGTTGACACAGACCAGCTTGGGGGCTCGTCCAGGTAAGGAGCCTGAAAAATACTCCTGTGATTGCAGCATGTGCTCCGATAGTGCGGGAACCGCAGGAATAGAGTCGTCTCGACCCAGGATGACTGTATCTGCATCTGCAGATATCCTCAAGGTTGGCCCAGATTCGAGGCTGGAAGAGTGCCATGCAAGGCGCTTAACGCAAACAGCGCCTTCATAGTCGATTTCAGCTTCATTATCGAGGGACGATTCTGCAGCGAAGCTCCAAGTGGAGACGCTATCGATCGAGCCGTACTTTGACTTTGTTGTATCTGCACCGTCAAAACATACGAGCCCGTTGTCTTCAGGCTCAGAATTGAGGCACTGCTTATTCTCGCACGCCTCTTCAGTCACTCGGGGTTTCGCAGACTCCTCAGCCGCGGCAAGTATTGGCCACTTGGTACATCCTGGCTGCGCGGGACGAACTGAAGCAGATGGTGGTGTGAGCAATTCGTCCACTGCTGTATCTGGTGAGGGCAAGGAGTTACGCTTAGAGCTGATGCGTGGTGGAATTGCTACGGCAGGTAACGCTTGCTGTTTGTGAGCAATGGGGCTGTCGATTGCCATGTTGGCATCGGTGGAGAATGCGTGAAACGACTTCGCATATGGGTTTGCAGGACTAAAAACGCGGGGCACCGGCATATGCCTGGGCCGCTGGGGATTAAACTGCTCTTCTTCAGCCGACAACTCGCGGGTGTGGAATGGTGTACGGTTGTTGACTAAGGGTGTAGTAATGCGGCTCTTGGACACAGGGGTACCGTTGCGTCGCAGAGCTGAGCCCTCAGACACGCTTCGCTGTGGCAAGTTACCATCTGTCGAGAGAGCAGGTGACCTTGATGGCGGTATGTTCTCGGGCTGGAGCACTGGCCACACGTCCTCCGTGGGAGTACCGGCCTCAGCATCGACAAGCGTGCGTGGGGCTTTTGGCGGACTTTCTGGGTTAACAAACTGTACAATGGGCGGACTAGGTAGTGGCTTGTTGCAGCGCAGTGGTGGAGTGGTCCTGATCGAACCCTGTTGCAAGTCAGCTGTGATGGTTTTGTCTTCGAAGGGGCGGACAAACCGAGCTCAGAGGCACGGTAATAGCAGCTGGCTTCTGCAAATTGCGGGATCTTGGCAGGCTTGTGCGTGGTATTGTAGGTCTACTGCCATACGTGTAGCTTTTCGAGAAGGTACTCTGTGTTGGCGTCTGATTGCGCGGGAGCTTAGAAGTGGGCGTTGGCGAGATTACAACTTTAGTGTCCGTGGGCGTCGCAGTGCAGCAAGGCGAGCCAGTTGGGCCAACAGAGAAGGGGTTGCGACGACATGTACTGCCAGTGCGCTGAAATTTGGACGGACTGGGGATTTTTGAGCTCATCTTGGACGGTTTAAAGCCTGGCTGCCTTGGGTTGGCGTCGATGTCGACCAGAGGTATCGACATCGTGAAGCTTGCTGGCCACTACGATGAGGTGGTATTGTGGGATCGTGAGATTGAATGAAGCAGAGAAGGTAAATCCAGCCGGGTGATATTGGTTGTTGGCGGCGACGCGGTGTGGGGCTGCGCGTCTTCGCGTTTGACGGTGACGGTGACGGTGACAGTGACAGTGAATGCGAGTGTCAGAGCTTGGCGGGGCCATCAAATGCAAGCAACAACAAAAGTTAGCAATATGAGTACAGTTGCATGCCGTGCTAAGAGTCTCAGTCCGGGGTTGTGGGGTGGGAAAACGTCATGCAAAGGCACGGGTGGCCGTGATGTTACTGCGTTACTCAAGCAAGAGCTGCCTAGGTGAGCAATCGCTTCCTTACTACCTACCTCATTCTGCGTATCAAGTACATAGGAGAGACTGACTAAGTCATTTCTCAAAGACGTCTACAAAAGAAGTTACTTGGTGCCATGTTTGTACTCTGCATGCAAATTGCGCGGTAGATCTACGAGAGTGACCTTTGCATCCCAACCACTCATCCTTGCGTGCATACAACGGTGCCGTATGCCTTTGACTAGCTCTTGCAATTTTCAGAAGAGACACATGGCCGTCTGGCTCTTCAAGGATGCTCGAGACGCCGAGGTTTCGATCGCGGCCGACGTTCCGCAGACTTGACCCGTCTTGCCGCGTGCAAGTCATTCTCATTGTCTGAATGGTTCTGGACAATTGTTTGCTTGAATCAATGGATGTACAAGTTCACAAAGATGAGACGATTCTGTGGTCAAGAGAAGGAGACGAGAGGGGAAGCAATGACGCGGAGCTTGGGCCACAATTCGAACTTCAAGCCACTCAACGCGTCGAGTTCCGCGCGAACAATTCCAACGTCACAACGCGCGATCGGTGTCGACGAGACAGGAAATATGGCGGTGAAGACATACAAAGAAATGAAGGAGGCGTGGGTGACTGGCCATACCGGAAGCTCAGTCGCCGATGTGAACAGCGTCTCCCTCGCAATGCCTGTACCGTACACATCCTACAATTCGCTTTAGAGGATACGACTGACGAAATCTTAGTTGAGTATTTTGCTGTGGTCTGTAATACAGCAACGACTTCGACTGTTTGTTCCATACACGCCCGCCGCCTGCTTTGTCGACTTCCTCCTCAACTGCGCCGCCACGCTCTGCGCAACGACCGTCTACTCTTCGTCGCCATGGGCCTTGAACCTCCTCTTACTGCTACCAGCAATTTGTTTGCTTGTTCTCGAGCAGCCAGCGACTATCAAGCGAGACGCGCCACGACCGCCGAAAAAGGACAAGCCTGCTGAAACAAAGCTCGATGCTCTGCCAGTCAAGCCTTTTATCACACACTACAGAGGCGCAATGATGGTCATGACATGCATTGCTATACTCGCTGTAGACTTCCCAGTCTTTCCACGACGCTTTGCGAAGGTCGAGAACTGGGGTACATCTTTGATGGATATGGGCGTGGGATCATTCGTGTTCACAGCTGGCGTCGTCTCTGCTCGAGCCGCCTTGAAAGAGGCTTCTGGCAGAAGACCGCCACTTTCCAAGCGTCTGATCACATCTTTCCGGCACGCCGTACCGCTGCTCGTCTTGGGCACGATTCGATTCATCTCGGTCAAAGGTCTTGACTATGCCGAGCATGTCTCAGAGTACGGAGTGCACTGGAACTTCTTCTTCACTCTCGGCTTCCTGCCTCCTTTTGCAGCTCTGCTGCAAAACGCTTTCGATCTGGTACCTTCCTACGCTGTTCTCTCCTGTGCCCTTGCGGGACTCTATGAGCTGGCTCTCGACACTACGTCGCTGGGAGCCTTTATCCTGGTTGCTCCACGCACCGATTTGCTGTCCAAAAACCGCGAAGGCATCTTTTCCTTCATTGGATACCTCGCCATCTTCCTCGCTGGCCAGTCCCTTGGATCGACTGCTCTCCCCAGACAGCAGCCACTGTCCAAAGATGCATCAATCACCACAAAGCTGCGTCAAACCACGCTTGGACGACTTGCTCTGACCTCTGCTATGTGGACAGCTCTCTTCTACTTCTCGACTAGCTACTACGGTCTCGGTCTCTCCGTCTCTCGACGCCTCGCCAACCTTCCCTACTTTCTCTGGGTGTCATCTTTCAACAGTTACCAAATCACAATCGTCTGCGCTATCGAGACTGTTCTCGTTCCCAGCCTTTACAAGGCGACTAGCAAAGAAGAAGAGGTCCAAAGGACTCGGGACGCCACAAGTACCGTATTGTATGCCTTCAATCGTAACGGCCTCGCGGTCTTCCTAGTTGCAAATCTCCTCACAGGGCTTGTCAACATGACAACGCCCACTCTCCACATGGGCGTTTTGCAGTCAATGGCGGTACTTATAGCGTATATAGGCGTTGTTGCCTCGCTAGCTGTAGGCCTTGATGCGTTCAACGTTTCTATCAAGTTTTAAAGTAACGTGTCGGCTCGAGCGACCTACCTCATTCAAGGAGGAAGGTTCTCCGACTTACCAGGCCCCAGTCGATTATTGGCTCTATCACTTCTTTCCCTGTCTCTCGTTCCTCTCTTGTTACGCCACCTCCATCGTTCAGATGAGATTTCCGCTATCAGCTGAATATCAGGCGGAATCGTTGATGAGTCTCCGCCCCTCTGCTAGATCGGGCTCGACGTCGCTCCCGGTTTCGAGATCGGGACATTCCTGCCATATTACCAAACAACAATGGATCGATCAAGTCGCGTGTTCGATCCCGCTGGGGGCCACTGTAGCTCGGCCATCTGGACCGTCGAACTTCAAAAGTTCTCACACTTTCGATGCGTACGTCAGACTGGATTCGGAAGCCTAGCCGGAACTGACGCTTCGGCCACGTCACCATCTCAGAAGTAGCGTTCGTGACGTATTGGCGGTCTACCAGTATGTCGTATTCTTCCGTGGCAGAAGACTCATTCCACCATATTTGGAGCCATACGTGGACAGCTGAGCCAAATAACATCAAGCAGCGAATTGGCTGGCCTTCGATGGAGGAGCTAGATCTTACGCGGGCATACTCGGCTGCAACGCGGAGCTTCAAGCTCCAAGCAGGCGTGTAATTTCGGCTGTAAGCTACATGGGTTCCTGTCGAGGCCCACGGCCAGCTGGGAATATGTCATAGCCGAGGCAGTCGCGTGCGCGGTAGCTTTCTTGTATCGACATACCACAGCATGCCTGCCAGAAGAATGTCTTTCACAAGCCAAACATCCACACATCCCCGAAGCCTTCTTCCATCTGCCTCGCACAGCCTCGGATGGCTGGTAACAGATCCTCTACCTTCGTCAGTTGCATACCAGAATACTCTGAGATTATCCTGCTCGAAATCGATTTGACGTCCCAGTTCCAGACCCACTCATAACCTTCTGGTTCTGGCGAGGACATGGCCGTCATGGAATCATTTTGAAGGTTGGCTTCCAAGTACGTCCTGTTTGGAAAGTTGACGTGCATTGGCAAGATTGTGTCACGCCACATTTTCACCAAACCTCCTTGTTTGAGAAGTGCACTACCCGACGAGAAAGTAGGCGCTCCTGGTAGATCCAACCTCTGTATAAAAGAGGAAAGATGGATTGATTGCAGTATTCGATAATATACGTTGGATTCTAGGGGTGGTATAAGACTTTTGCGAGCAAAGACTGGGCTTGCTGGGGGCTGAGCTCGGATTGGTTAACGAGCTTGCAATTTCCTCAAAACAAGGGCTGATTCTCGATAGACCAGTCCTAAGTCTTGAGAGTCGATTCTCGTCGTGCGGGCTTTTAGAATGGCTCTGGTGCTAGTAATTAAAGCGCCCCAGCGATGGCTCAGACACAAATACTTCTCGTTCGGCTAGCTATATCAAGATGACCGCATCTCAAGCTGACTGCACGTGACAGCGCGTTCGTGTGTGCGGAGCAGGTGCGCCTTCCTTCTTCACAACAGCCTGGCGTTAGCAACAAACACCCATCCTCACCCACGCAGCTTCGTCCCTTTGAATCTGAAACTCCATCACCCTTAATGCCGCTGCGCAAGCAAGAATGTCGACGCCACAAGTCAAGCGTCGCAGGCTGAACGACGCTACGAACACGCTGAAGAGGCCGTTCAAGTCACCCTTCCGCACACCGATCAGGCCCAACATTGGCTCTGATCCGCCGTCCTCTGACCCTCCTGATTTCAGCACGGCTGCATGCTCTACCTCGTACACGACGTCGATTAGAGCAGTTAACACGCCAGCGAGCGCGCCTGCACCACCAAAAGCAGCCGCAACAACACCTGCACCCTCGCGGCCACGCTACAACGAACCACTTGCCGCACGAACGAGCTTAAACACGCCCTCAAGGCTTGCTCCAAGGAAAACGCCGTCGAAACCATCCCTCACCCGCGAGCTCATGCAGCTGCGCAACGAGATCCAGATCCTCACACAAGCCGAAGCCCTCGCTACTTCAACGAAGGACGATGATCTACAAGTTCTGATCGACAGATGGCGGACGGCAAGCCGTGCCGCAGCTGAAGAGCTGTTCGGCAGCACACGAGACCGCGTGAACAGGATGGGTGGTGTGGGCGCCTGGAAAGAGCGTGAAAAGGAGGCAAAGGAGCGCACAATGAAGTGGGACCTCGAAGAGAGAGAGGCTGAGAGGGAGAGAATGGAAGAAGCTAAGGAGAACGGAGAGGTCGACGATGAGGCGTACGATAGGTATGCGGAGATGATAGACGAGCAGGGCAAGGACGAGGAGGAAGACAACGCCCCCAAGGCTGCGGACGATGATGTGAGTCCGCCAGTTGTACCATTCTGCCTTTCACTAACTGTGATAGTCATTTACGATGGACCTGATGCTGAATACACTCAACATCGACTTGAAGCTCATCGGCTACAACAAAGAGGCACAGCGTTGGGATGGGTAAAACGAAGGCAGAAATTCTTATGTTCCTCCTGGCGACACAGTGCAGGTAGACCACGCCCAGCCTCGGCCAGCATTCATCGCAGACTCCCGGACACAGTAGCCGTCATTACACAGCAGACAGGGCTGGAAGTAGCACAAGATCTTCGAATCAGCTCGACTGTAAGTTCTTTTGTTCGGAATGCACAGGCCTTGAAACTGACTTGGGCAGAGCAATTGGTTACTCATAAACGCTATGGACGCACATCTTCCAGGTAGCACTCAGTAGCCGATACAAACTTACTTAGGACCATATTTTTCAATGCTCTGACGTCATAGTCTCCGAAGATGCTACTTGTGGTTCGCTGTGCCACCCAAAGAACTACAATTGCTCCATTTGACATCACATATTGCAGAACTCGAAGCCTTACCTCGTGATACTACTTTGAGCTTTATAAATCAAAGTGGACCGTGAAAAGAAGGTCGTTGAGTTGGAACAGCCCGAAGGCACGGCAGCACGAGACAGCGCTCTACGACTTTACCATTAAGGAACCTTCGCATCAGCCATACAATGTCTCTCAAGAGCCAGAATGTCATCATCACCGGCGCCTCCATGGGCATCGGTGCCACAATTGCCAAGCGCCTTGCGTCCGAGTTCGCCAACCTGATTCTCTTTGCACGCTCAGAGGACAAGCTTAAGAACATCGCCGAAGAATGCCAGCAGATTGAGTCCAGCATCAAGGTATATACAGCCAGCGTAGACATCAGCAATTACGACTCCTTAAGAAAAGCAGTAGTGAATGCGGTCAATGAGCTGGGTCCCATCGACGTCCTAGTCAACAACGCAGGCCTTGCTGTTGGGGCGCCAAACAGGTTCCCGGATCTTGCGATTGACCAAATCACAACCATGAGCGGCACCAACATCAATGGGTTCATGTTTGTGACATTCGCAGCGCTCAACGAAGGAAGAATGAAGCAGCGGAATAAGGGCACAATCCTGAATGTCACAAGCACAACAGGCCTTGAGGTGCCTCCTTTCCCTGTGAGGCTGTGTATCATGCTAGTAAGGCATTCCAAGAGGCCTTCAGCAACGTGCTAAGGACGGAGCTGGTGGGCACAGACATCAAAGTTCTGGCATTGAGACCAGGTGTTACTGCGACAAACTTTCACGAATTGAGGTACGTCGGTTTCTTCCTTCGTTCATCGACATACATTGACTTCTTGCTAGGGTCGGATACGACAAGGGCCAGTACGGCACATTCATGGACGGCTTCGAGCCCCTCATTGCAGAAGACGTTGCGGAGGGTGCTGTGTTCATGTTAAATCAGAAAGAAAGAGTTAGCGTCAAGGCGCTAGATATTGGTCCTACGGCACAGAGAGGTTTGCAGGTCATCGACAAAAGCTGGAATGAGAGGAGTAGTGGTCGGAGGAAGACGCAGATGTAGAGAGAAGGCGTCAAATACCAGAAGAAGTAATACAAACAGTCTGACTTACATGACTGACGATCAGTCCTCTCCTAAAGCTACTCGTGGCGTATTATCTCAAGAGTGGCACCTGACAGTGTATCCAAGAATAGCTCAGCCTCGATTTCATGTTCGTCGACTCGCAATAGATGGAACGCTCAAGTTCACAAGAAGAGTGCACTGCAAGTTTCTGTGTTGAGATTAAGTATCGAGTGCTCGTGACAGCATTTGGGAGATCTTGCAGCATGCATTGGGGATTGGACCCTTCTTGGACGGCTGAAGGCGATAATTGAGAGGCCTCGAATGCTCCATTTGTTCATGCGCCACTTGTGGCGGTGCGTCTGTCCTCTGATTCGTCATAGCTACGATCGGCGCCTACGTCAACACCCCAAGCAAGCAAGCCCGCAAGGTTGCGACAGAATGAGTGCTTGGCTTGGGCTCCTTCCAGGGCTACCTGTGAACTGACACAGCCCCCAAATTAGCCACCTACACCTTCTTTCTCGTATAACTTCAGCTTAATTCGCAACTAGAACCCCTCTCCTCGCAGCAACCACCCCCTCCTCACATACACAACTCACAAATTTCGCCAAGATGAGCGGTCACGGCGATCCTAGACTGCTTTACACAATTGGAGGCATTAAGGCCTACCACATCCAGCAGGGCGAGGAGTCGTCCCTCACACCTACAGGACCCCAGACACTCTCCCTGCTCATGGTCCCCACCAACTCGCCCTTCGCCGACCTTAGCAATACACGACCGCAGAGCGAAGCGCCAGAGGAAGACTTCTACCTCCACCTTAACCTGCCGCCCGAGCTTGACCTCCCTCTCCCTGCCACCACCCAGATCTACCACCAGCCGCCACACAGCTATCTCATTCCAAGATGGGACTTGGGTCCGGAGAGCGGGGCATTTACAAGGATTGAGTTCCCCGCCATTGGCAAGGGTCCTGGTGCGGTCACCCAGGAGGACATCGACACATTCGAGACGATCCTGGCGCAATGCACAGCTTTCCTTGAGCGTGCGCAGAACCCTTACCCGTCTGAGAAGGGCGGTCACAAAGCATACAACCCCCAGGACTACGGCCCTGGACAGGGCTACGCTGGCGCAGGTGTTGTTGGCGCAGCAGGATCTAGCAAGCATCAGCAGCACGGCGAGATTGTATTGATAGACGAAGAGAATGGTAGCGTAGTTGGCGAGCTGGCTGAGGGCGCTCAGATCGTCGAAGACCACAGATTACAGGCTGGGTCGAAGAGTAAGCACCCACCCCAGGTTTTAAGCATCAAGTTCTCACCACTAATACAGAGACAGATCCCGTTGAGATCGTTGTTTCTCCAGACGGCAAGCGCATCGATGTCAAACCCCTCTCCGAAGATTACCTCGCCATGGCCCGCCATCCCGCGTATAAGAACTCGACTTTGGTGCAGAACTCGGCTGCTGCCTCAAGGCTCATCGTCACTGGGTCTAGCTACCTCAGCAATATGCTGGTCTCTGGTGCCGAGACCTTCATGAACAAGACAAGGCCGAACGAGAAGCCTATGGTCTTCCAGCCGGCGACCCACGAGCGCGTGCGCAAGATCAACACCGCAACCACAAGTGTAGCCGGCTTCTCCGCCAAAACCGTCGGCGTGATCGGCAAGCACACCCAGAACTTCGCTGCCGGCCTTGCAGGTCACAAGAACACTCAGCACAAGAGCTTGAACCCAGACGGCACGGCGAACCAGAACTACAAGCCCGGTCTGCTCAACAAGTCGCTCATCGCATGGTCGACCATTGGTGACGGCCTCGCACACTCTGGCAAGCAAATCCTCACATCTGGAGGTGCTGCAGCTACTGCCGCTGTTGGTCACAGGTGGGGTGCGGAGGCTGGTGGCTTGACCGGCGATCTGGCTGGTGGTGTCAAGAACGTGGGTCTCGTCTACATCGACGTGACAGGAGTGACACGTCGCGGTGTCATCAAGAGCGTCGCCAAGGGCATGGTCATCGGTAAGGTCAAGAACAAGAAGGGCGAGGAACAGACCATCATAGTTGGTAGTGGCGACGGTGGCCAACTCACACCTGGCACCGCTGCGAAAATGGATCCTATGGCTAATGCAACCAACACTGGAATGCCGTCGAGTATCTCCAGCAACAATCCTGCTGGTCAGGTCGGCTTTGGTAATCAGCCGCCGCCCAGCTACAGGACTGGCGTTGGTGAGAGCTTGGAGGGGCAGCCTGCTTATCAGGGCTACCCAAATGAGAAGAAGTAAACTGTTCCTTCGGAGAAGGCGGTTGAGCAAGGCGAGGATTTCATGAGGCATGACGTCATGATTGACAGGAAGGCATGGTCAAAGCAGGCAAGAGCACGGAAGCAGGAATGCACTTAAGTATAGAGTTCATTACTACTGTGTTTCATTGCTGGCTTACACACTCGTCCCCAATTTACTTATTTCTCCGGTCCACTGTGTCATGAGAGCCTTTTCTGCACCCCTGTCCTGAGCCTCTTGCCTGTCCATGCATTCTGTATCTCAGCGCTATATGGAGGCCGTGCGGCGTCCATTCCGACGTAGGACTTTCTTCAGGTTCACTCATCTATGGCCACCGAGCTCTCTATCGTCCATCGGTGACACCTCTTTAAAGTCCTCTTGTCATAGGTCGTGTTGGCCTCCAGCTGCATCAGATCTGCATCAGATCCCAGCGTGCTCCTTGGTATTCACGAGGAAGATACTGGGTCCAGCAATGACGCTGGCAACAAACTGTCCTTGCGAAATGTCGATGTGAAGATGACCACGGAGAAAGAAGACGAATCTCGCAATCTTCTTTATGCGATTCTCCAAAACGTCAAAGATTCCTCCATCGAGCAGACCCTAGAAGGCGACGTCCGGGAATAAATGGTTGCGTTTGAGGTATATGCGGACATTCTTGATACGTCAGGCTCGCATGAGGTAGAAGGTCTTCCTCTTGTAGAAACACACCTCGACGTAGCCTCTCTTCTTGCCGCTTTGCTTGTTGTTCGCGACGCCGATTCGTACTGCCGGAAGCTTGGGCTTTCCCTCGTGGTTCTGGATGTAATAGATGGTAAACACGTTCTGGTTGGGGAAGTCTCGGTGAGCTGTCGAGAAGTATTTGCGAATCCCCGCGAGCAGCGGCGCCCTTCTGATGGCAGACACCGTGGACATTGCTATGAGCTGGTCTTGGCCAGCTTCAGTCACCGTCGCTCTTTGAATCTGCATTTTAGTCCTCCATACAACTTTGGCTATGAAGCAAAGAAGCCACAGAGTGCTCTCCTGTCTGTGATTCTCATTTTCTCTGTCAGTGGGCAGACTTTCGTTCTGTGTACAATGTTCTGGACGGTCTCATCATCTTTGCGCATGATCTCCAGATCTTTACATTTAGTGTGCTACTGCTAAGGGAAACTTTTCTGTTTATGAATGAAAATCACGTAGTGTACTAACTAACACCAAGCTTGTCTAATCCAGGGCGTATTGCCCACGAGGCTTGAAGAAGAGGTAGCCCCCCCCCCCCCCCCCCCAAAAAAAGGTGATGATGAAGGATGCAAATCAAGACATCAAAAACTGTTTATGAAAATTGTTACAGTCAACACAATTCCCATGCTATCGTTCTCGTGTTATATCCGCTGTCCCGAGATCGAGCACTCTGCATGTTTCCAGAAGGCTACTTCCTCGCGAAGTGAGGCATCAATGCGCAAGGCAGTCTCATAAAGGGCACCTCCCGTATCCGTAGTGCCACATGAATGAGCCGCTCCCAACGTTCGCCACCGCAGCGGTGAGATTATCAAGCCGCGAGTGCCTCCACGCTACGATCTGCATGCGGCTCAAATGAGAATCCGGGGTAAGTTTGGTGTCACAATGCACAACATTCAATGCATAAGTCCCTCATGCTTCGTTCTCGTGTCCTTCAAATTGCTGTGCATATGCAGACAATGTTCTTGATGATGGCTCGGAGAGCTGTGATACTTTGGCGGCGAGTCGATAAATGCTGCAGTTCATTTAGTTGGAAAAGTGGTGTCATGTAGTTGTAAAGATCATCGGCGTTGAGTTCCTGTAAGACCAGATGACGTAGTTTGAGCGAGCGTGTCTTTAGCGTTGATGTATTCCGACTGAGTAACATTAATTGTTTTGAGATGGGTTATACATACTGTTATGATGTGTTAATCGATTGAGGAACAGGTGGTATACCTCCTCTGCCAGTGTCGTCGCACTCCTGACACCGGCATTTGCATTGAACCGGACAACCATACTGTTCGCCCATCTTCGAGACTGGGCACTGGACTACGACTACATGCACTGGGAGTCATTGGGCACTATCAGTAGTGGTTATTGTGCAGGTGCAGGTGCTGCAATGAGTGCGATTTGTTTAGGAAGTCGGTCGCTGCTGGCGTAAGTCGTGCTCGATTCGTGATCTGCATGTGTCAGAAAAACAGCGTGGGCAACTGCAGGATCGTAGAGACTGTGATCGCTTTACAAAAATGCCTGCTTGGCTTAGTGGCCTGTTGTGACATCGGTTGTGGAATCTGAGGTTCAGCGAAGCACCTGATCCCACTCTGCTCGCTTATACGAGTCTTGAATGCCTGTCGTACCACCACAGATTGTTGAGCCCAAGTGGTTGAAGATGCATCGAGAGTGCAGATCTGAGCAGAGGCATTAGCACATGCCTATAATTCTCATTCAACGACTTCTCGAAGAAATTATGTTGAATGCTTCTGATCGGTCGGCGATGATCGCTCATACATCCTTTTGCGGGCACTGGACTGTCGCATGGTTGCAAGGGGGAGCTCAGGTTGTCAGCTTCCGAGGCCAAGAAAGGGCCAGTGGCTTGCGAAGTCGACGTGGTGAGAAGAGCCCAATCACAGTTCGTCACAGTCAAATTAGCGATATACAATACAGCAGAGACCCATAAGCAAAGATTTGCACGACTTCCGCCTTTTGAAATCCCGCTGCTGTCTTTCAAACGCAATTCGCCATTTTTGAGGGTGTAAGAGTAGCTCATGTGATGTGGCATAGTAGCTAGCTTTTCTGTGCGAACTGCTCGTAGATTTGATGATGGCGTCATCTAGTCTTCCAGGAGTGAGTTATTTCCGTACGGGCTGCTCAGAAAGGGCTGCTGTACGTCAGTGTACTTGTTCTAGACCCATGGAGCGTTCCGATTTCGATGTAGCCCTTGCTTTTGCGAGTCAGAGAGAGATTTCGCCGGGCGGTGTGCATGTGGACAGAGTCTAGCGATATGTTAGTTGTGTCCTTAGGATCGAAATGCTAGTACAGTCTTGAGTGTGTTGCAGGAACCTGTGCCTTGTTGGTTGCACGAATGAGCGTCTTTTTCAGGACACACCTCCGAATTAGCGTACACTTTCATGTACGACATCAAAGATCGTCGCGGACCATCCATGTCGATCGTGTTGCGTCGGCAGGAGGCGGTGGCTTGAGCTCGATGAAAGTAGTCAGCTTCGACACAACGCTTTCCTTTTTTGGCCTCCTGTAAACACCATATCCTGAAATCTTAATTATCGCTACACTGCACTTACAGCATTGTACAAGCGTGCATAAGCGAAGCAGGCAGATAAGATCAGCAGGAAAGGGACTACTGCAAGTGACGAACAGAAAAGCAGATTGGCTTGCTTACCTTGCCTTCCCTTTGCACAGTGCCTCATGCACCTAACAGCTCACACCGTTCGCCAAAGAAACGCAATGATTAAGAAGGCTGGCCAGCGGGCGTGATGCCACCTGTGCCGGTTGAGCCTGTCGGATCCTACGGTGCTGTCTGCGTCTGCAGTATGCAAGACATGGCGTCGTCCGTCCCAGCTTGAGAACAGTCGAATCACGGTCTCGCTTTTAGCGGGATTGCGGGACCTGTTTCCTATCCCTGGAACGATGAATCGTGAGAGGCCCTAGACGGTTCGAGGGCCTCGCTTGTAGTGCCCGTGTAATTCAAACGAGCCTCTCGCCGCTACACTTCTGAAAGCTGGCAGGGAGGTGTCGGCAACCCTCCAGTCGAGCTTCTTGTGTGTGATCGACTGTGACGCGTGAACGATTCACCACGGGCTGATGAAGGTGTGGAGAGTCACCGGGCCTTCCAAGTGAAGGTTTTCAACAACCACTCACAGCCCAGCCCCAAAAGCATGGCGCGGCCCTAATTTTATGGATAATGCCTGCTTATCTCCATGGATAATGCCTGATGACCCCGTTCTCACCCTGGCCCCAGTTTTGCGCAAGCAGTGCGGCAGTGCTCGCGATAAACCCGGACAGAGTAGGTATCGAGGGAAGACGAGGTGTTGTTCAACAGCTTCTGCATGTTCCGTCACTGTATGCTTCGCTGCTTAGTGGTGTTCGTTACAATCCAGTTCCTTCCGGATGAAAAAAGGCAGGCGCTTCATCTGGTACGCTAAGCGGTAGGCGCGGCTGCAACTCCACCACCCCAAATCGCACTTTCACCTCGCATCCAACCTCACCAGCTTTGTTGTCGTTCTGACATGCACTCTCCTACTTTCTGTATCGTCAAAAGTCTGTAATCCTGGCCATACTGGCGTCAGGGCCTCACATTGAGGCGCAAGCCAATCGCGCAGCAGCCCCGCGCTGGTGTCTGCTCCACCCTCAGGTAATAACACAAAATCCAGATCACAGTCAGCTAATCTTCCAGATGCTGCGACGTGAGCAGGTGCACAATCTTGAAGCTGTTGCCGTTTGGGGAATACCGCGACGAACTATCAAACCAGACCCATGACCAAGTGGCACGCGACTGCCTTCGCCATACTGGATAGACGAGCAAGTCATGAGCCTATCAAATATGACGCAAACACGGTTTTGCTTGTCAAAAGGCTAAAACACAACAGATGACGACGATCGTTGGCTCAAAAAAGGCCGGGGTTGACAGAGGAAGTCGCGCAAGTAAAACCGCAAGCCATTGTCAATGGAGCAAGAGTTGCGATGCGGCACAACCAACTTCCAATACTCTTCTCCTGATAATCGGCTTGAGAGCAGAGAAAGCAAGCGACTGTCGATCCTGAGGCTCACAGAGTTGCGAGTTGGGCACCCTTCTCAAGGCAGCGGCGTATCTGGATGCGCGGAACTATCGGTGGTACTCGGTCCCCTCTAGGTAATGTCTCAATATGGTCTGCATTGCCTCGTGCTCGTTAAGTCGTTGCGCTACGACTCCTTCATCGGCAACAGAAGGCCTGTCTCAGTCTTGTATCGTCAGCTCAGTCTTGCCAGAGGATGATAGTGGGACCGTAGTGAATTAGTGGCCTCAAACATTTCTTCCACCCGCTCGAACCTCCGGTCCTATTGTAATGACTATGGACACGAGGTCTGGTAGGTTCATTGTAGGTGAGGATCCAAAAGGTTCCGTTCGACGAGCCTCTATATTGAACCAGCCTAGCTTTCAGCAAATTAGTCTGATGACCTCCGACTACGCACCTTCACCTCAATGAAGGCTGTGTGGGAATCTTGATTGTGATGTTGATGAGTATGCGTGTCGAAAGAGTCTTTTCGATGCAGCGAGCGATGCCATGGAGTCGTCGTTGATTCAGCTTCCCTGCACTCAAGACCTCGACCCCTTAACCTATCGGATCACATCACAGTCATGCCGCGCAGATGTGCATAGGCGTGCTTCCAGATGCAGGTATACGGCTGTGTAAACGGCTGCGTGTCTCGCGAGGAGACGGCAACAGATCCGTAATATACGGAGATCACTTTGGTCCAGGCATGTACCCGTACTCGGAGTCTAATGACGCAACATTGACACACTCCACGAAATTTCTTTGGCAAGATGCAACACCATGTCCTGTTAACCAGCAGCAGTGACATATGAAAAATTTCACAACCATAGCACTCCTGGGAACCAATTGCACTAGCATCGAGGGGCATCAATGATACCGCACATGTCACTATTCCATACGACATTTGAAAACACACAGATCAAAGTCGTCTGATACATGGAGCATAAACGCGGATGGTTACACACAGGGAAGGCACTAAATTCTTATGCAGGGCATAGATGGCGCACACAAGAAATTTTGTCATTCGATCGCCCGCATAGCGGCCGCCCACCCTCCATTTCAAATTACGTGTATGCACGAACAGGCCTCGTACATACTTCACCACAGCACAATTGGAGCGCGTATGTCTTCCCGCGGGCCGGCAGCTTGATCTGCAAGAGCAAGGTACACACCCCAGTCCGACAATAGGTATTCAAGCTTCAATAATTCCTGCACGCGAACGCGGACCATGTACCTCTTCAGCCGGTGCAGTACGTACATATCCCAGCGGCTCAATGAAATTGAACAGTGTCAACTGTGAAGCACAACGCCGCAGCCTTTCTGGCCCATGGCCGACTGCAAAAGTGCAACGTGATTGGCCGGTGTGCGGATGCAGGGCGCTGTTACTGGCTACTCCAACCGAGCACGAGCAGAAGGCACGCCATATGCGCACATGGGATTGGCAACATTCCACTCGGTATTATTCCCGCCCTTGAAAAGACCACGTTTTGAGAATGCCCGGCTGCAGGTTTGCGGCCAGCTTCAATTGATATCGACTGTCTAAAACAAAAGTTCCGTTGGTCGACTTGCACATCGCACGGGACTTCAGTGGCTATGCGATGTTGAAGAGCCGTAATGTCAATTAGCCGTGCAGACGTGTGAGCGGAGTCTCAAAGACACCAGCCCTGCCGCCAAATGACCGGGGCGCCTATCGTCGCCATTGCTGAGAACGCCACGCCTACTCGAGGTCCGCTTGCAGCGGCTAGTCTATGCGCTCTAAGAGCAATGCGCAATTGAGGCCTAGAGCGATTCTCCACTGAGCTCAGACGGATTGCCGCCAAGCGGGGCATGTATTGGCCCATCGATCATCAGCCGCATCGTCTGCCTGCCCGCGCGGCCTGTTCTCCGTCTCGCGCGGCAAGCTGGCGTCAAAACGAGGGCCACTTGGTGGGCGTACACAGCATACCGGCGAGTGCGTCCAGATGGCGCCATGGGGTGGGAGGTGCAAGCAGTCATTCGCGCAGTCTCGTGCCCCAGCAGCTCCAGGACCGGAACGAGCGCGGGGCGGTTGCACAAATGCCTGCACGACGCCAGCGAGCTGCAGTCGATCCCTGAAGGCGCAGCGTCCAGGGTACCCAGAATATGCGAGCGATTCAACGGCCTGCGGGATCCAAGCATGACGCTCGCGCTCACCTGGCGCAGGGACTATACCCAACTTGTCCCACACCCTGGCCCGCCTATGGAATTTTGCGACTACCCTCATGCTCCAGCCAGGTTCACACTACCCCAAAGTCTGCTAAGAGAATGTCCTGCAGCTCCATCAGCGCCGGGAAGCGAAGCATCAGTGGCCGCCGTAGCCCGCCCGCAAGCCTGTGTTTAAATACTAGATAGTTCCGCTGCTTCCCCGGTGCAAGCGGATTCTCTCTCCCAGCATTCGATGTGATCTTCGTTCACTGGTTCTTTGTAGTAGTTCACGTTCCGTACTACCACGCTCGCTGGTCGTCGCCATGTTTCCCTTTTCCTTCGGCTTGTTCCCCAATTGGAGTTGGTTTTGTATTTTCGTCGCGCTCTTGTAAGTCACTGTGCTCACACCACGGCCTGCCACCGTGCTGCTCCCGCTTTCGAGTTTCAGCAACTGACTCGTACTTCAGCCTCTTCCGATACTTCAGACTTTGGGTCAACCTTGCAAGCAATTGGACATATCAACCCATACAGCCTGTCGACGAACCTACCGTTACATCCAAAGATGTCACAGTCATCATTCCCACTGTGGCTGAAGACCTTGGGCAATTGAAGGAAACAGTCCAGAGCGCCTACCGCCTCGAACCCTACGAGTTGATCCTTGTGACACCTGACTCAAGAATCAAGCGTGTCTACCAGTTGGTGGAAGAGCTAGGCACTCCCAAACTTATTCAGGTGTTATCTGTCAGTCAGGCCAACAAGCGTCGCCAGCTGTGTCGGGCAATCCCGGAGGTTGAGACAAAGATCACACTGTTGCTGGACGATGATGTTTGGCTGCCAGAGAAGTTCAGCAAGTGGCTTCTGGCACCTTTCGAAGACCCTCGTATGGGAGGGGTTGGAACGAACCAGCAGCTACGTCGCGTAAACCGCAGCAGCATCTGGGAGTTCCTCGGTGCCATGTACCTTGTGAGGAGGAACTTCGACTGCACCGCCTGCAACTGGATCGATGGTGGGCTACCATGCCTATCCGGCCGAGCAGTAGCGTATCGATCGGAGATACTGCAGGACCCCAAATTTACCTACGGTTTCACGCACGAGACCTGGGGCAGCGATCACTTTCTCAACGCCGACGACGACAACTTCATCACACGATGGCTCTTCAACAATAACTGGAAGATCCAGATCCAAAACCACCGCGAGTGTGAAGTCGAGACAACCCTCGAGAGCGACTCGAAGTACCTCCGGCAGTGTCTGCGTTGGGTGCGCTCTAATTGGAGGAGCAACCTGACGAGTCTGGCTGACATTCAAATGTGGATGTAAGTGCTTAATCCCTCTTGCAACGCCCCTGCCTGCATATTTTTCGCGTCGTCGGGCGCCAAGCACTGCCCCTCCCACCACTCATTGTGCCCACCACCTCGCTAACGCACTGCACTACAGAAACTACCCATGGTCACTCTACGCTGTCTTCCAGACCACGATTACGCAGTGGGCGTTCCTGCTCGACTGCCTCTTATTGGCTTCCTTCCATTTCGCATTATCGGAAGCAGGTTACTATGCAGTGGAAGGTGAGGTGCAGCCACAGGCCGAGCAATGGCAGCCGTCGTTGTTTTGGGGGTTGTTCCTTGCGCACTTCGTCTTCGCAAAGACGATCAAGCTAGTTCCGCATTTGTTAAGAAATCCGGGCGACGTGCGCTTCATCCCGGTCTCGGTCGCATTTGGCTATTTCCACAACCTGATCAAGCTGTACGGCTGCATCACAGTCACAGAGGTAAGTTCCCGGCCCCGCATCGCTGCTATCGAATACGCGGCTGACATCCCCGCTAGACAACCTGGGGCACTCGTGAAGGCGCCGACGCAGACGATAACATCAGGATGCTGCCCATCCCAAACACGCCGATGACACCTCCTATGACACCTACTCCGGAGCAAAGTAAGCTCCGCGAGAGAAGCGCCATGTTCTCCACAGCCGCGAGTTGAGGCGCGGCATCCGCTTTGACCAGCACACTTTCCGGCCAGTGGAGGCGCCTTGACCGCATAAGGACGCAGTAATTTAGACGTTCGACGATCCACACCATCGCTCCATCACCACATCCACATGGTCGAGTCGAGTCGGTGTTTTGTTTCATTTCCTCTTTTCAGCGAGCATCATGTCTGGGAATATATCCTCTTGGTCACCAAAACAGGTCGGACCGGCTACACGGCGTTCAGGGGGCATCGGTCATTGCCGATGCAAAATTGCAGCGTTTTCTTCTCGTCACTCGGGCATTTCAGGGCTTTTTCTTCGCCCATTGTAGTCTATGCAAAAGTTGCTGTGGCATGTTAGCATTAGTCCATAAGTACGCTTATGAAACCTCAACTTCAGCTTTCACAACAAACTCCTCGAAGGTCATTGGAATGTTTGACTGAGCGTGCCCACCATCAGCATCTTCATGCTGCTGGGATATGCTCTGCTATCTTGTCATACATGACAGACAAATCGAGGGACGGCCAGAACCCTAAGGGTACTATTTTCTAGCAGTCTAGCACGAGCTCATTTGATGGCTGTCAGTCGCGCTTCCCTTGCTTCCTACCCTGCACCTAAACAGGAAGCCGCCATTGTGTGCCGCCGCACAGAAGGTCGCGGTCGCACACAGCAATGGCTGGTGCCATCTCCGGCACGCAGGCAGCACAAACCTAATCTGAACTGCATACAGCGATCTACTCTATCTCAGTCAAGTCTCCCGAGCAACGCGTCGCGTGGCTTCTGACTGTCTCCAGATGCTCAATCCACGACTGCACGGGCTGCACGGGCCACACGTAGCGCGAACCATCCCCGTGTCAACAACCTCGTCTGCTCTGATCCTTTCCGTCTTGCTCTGTGCTCCAGGCCATGTCGCGCGTGATTGCGGCATGATATCGAGCCATATTCGTCGCACTACAGGCATCACCAGGTCCATTTTTCCGCCGAACCATTCAAACACGGCAGGTGCCTTGAATGTACCTAGGTACCCTCGGCTCGCTGGCTGGGGGCTCAACGAACCGCCCCTTACGGACTATCTCCACTTTCGGCCATTTCCTGGATTAATTCGATGGCGGAAGATTAATCGTGCTGACGCCAAACTCGAGAAAGGCTTCGCCCTTACTGCCACAACGACCACAGGTACCACCGGTCGGTCGATTCAGCGTCAGCTACAGGCCTACGAATCTACCGCTGGCCTATCTAGTATCTTGCGCAATAGGTACTGATGATTCCGATGGCGCTGATAGGCTCAACCCTTCACCACGGTCTGCCTGCTGCCGAATGTCCTCCCACCAACGCAACTTCAGCCAAGCGGGGCTGCGCTCTGCGGGTCCATCCACTTGGAGTTTGAGAATGGACCCAGCGGCGCCAGACTTGTCATGCAATCTTGCATCGCCGTCCCATCAACCATCATCATGCGTTGCGGTACGTTCTAGCCCCTGTCTACAGCATTTTCACGATCAATCACAGGAGCTTGGAAATGCTAACTCTGAGATGCAATGCCTTGCTCTGGCCCCGGATAGCGCGCGAGTATGAGGAAACAGACCCTTTTGTTCAATTTTATGCCCGTCACTCCCGCTCCCGCAGGGTCAGCCATGGGCAGCACTTAGCTCGTGCGCCATAACAGCGCCATAACAGCGCCGAACGCGGCGCAACGCCAGTCCCAATTTTACACGTCTCGTCATACTCCTCGGCGCACACATGTGGCTGCTTGTCACTGTCCAAACAACACTTGCAGGAAAAGTCGTAGGTAAAGCTACAATGTACTATGTACTTCCAACTTATGACAGCTCCACAACAATATGCATGTTTCTGGCCCGGATCCCCGATGCAAATGACCTGTTGGTTCCTGGCCGCTCAGGCTCATTTAAAGCGCTCGTCTGCATGCAAGAAGGTGCACCACACTCAATTCCAATACGGTCGGCAATGCAGTCATCACGATGACACGGCTCCTGTTGCTCCATACCAAATGAACGAGAGCACGACACGTACCATCTTCTGCATGGTGCAGAGGACCCGCGGTCTCCGCAAATTCCTGCGTTCCTAAGGACAGTCTCACTTGCATGTAAAAAGTTTTGTTACTCCTCCTTTGTTACTTAGGCGGATCATTGTGAATGGGTGCCACCCTGCTGGATTGAGACGTTTTGAAGCGCTTTTGGACTTCAACTAGTGCACGAGCATTCTGCCGAGAACGTCCACCGTTCAGAGGCGCCTTGGGAATGAGACGCGTCTGCATTTTACCATTGGATAGGCGACATCGCACGATCGAAGTTGCAGGATCTATTCAGCCGGGAAAATTACTGCAGTAGTCAAGGAAGATCCATTCCTCATACCACTGCACGCCAGTGGAATCCTGGCGGAGTACTTTCGTTGCGGTTCCACTAACGTCTACAGCAGTGAGCACCTCCTTCATTGCGTTTTCGGAGTCATCTCTGCGAGACGCTGAGCTTCTGCGCGCCACTTTCACCAACGGCCATTCTTTGTCGCAACTGCTGGCTTGATATTATTGTCCCGTCACCACGTTACCTTCAGCTGATGCAGGGCTGTGGCGTGGATTAGACGAACCCCGAGTGCCAAGCTCAGTTTGAGGGCGATCTGTGGATCTGAGTAACACCTGGGGCTCGAGCTGCGCAAGTTGCCGACTTTCCACCTGTCATCTCCAAGCGACCCAGACGAGCAACAGTTCTCTGAAGCAATGTGTTTCGCGATGTTCCTGGTACGTCAGAGGGTCTATGGACCCCGCGTGCCATCCAGCTACAAAGTTGGGTGGCAAGTATTCTGTCAAAATTGCAGACCCACCTTTCGGTAGCGTTCCGTTCCGGTCGACTGTGCGACCCGAGATCTGAGCGCTGGAAGCACGAGCTCTAGCATCTCGACCCGAGTCAGGAGGACCGTGGGGGGCGAAGTTCGAACAACAGCTGATCGTCGCAGGTAGATTCGCAAACGCGCGACTGTTGTAGACTGCACATGGAATCTCACGTTACACATGCTTGAGGCTCTCCATAACGCGGTGCGTTGTGCGAGGCCCTCGACACGGTAGCCCTCCACTCTTTGGGAAGGTGTGTCGGCGCGGTGGAGCCCAGGGTCTAACCCCGTGCGTGAGATCGCTGTCGACAACGCATGTCATCTTCTATTATGTCAGGCCAGATACAACATCACACGATGATATTCTCTGAATGGAGAGGTTGGTTGTGGGCTGGGGACAGTCACAGAAAAAGCTCCCGACAATGTCCGAAGTATGGGTCACCTAATCAAGATCGCACCAAACGACCCTTCTGGGAACCGCGGTCCGCAGCAATCCACATGGTGCAAGATGCACAGCAGATGTTCAACACCACCCCACAGCGCCAACGAAGTGCGACTACATACGACTGCACTTTCCATCTCGCGATCGTTGACATGTCTGATGACCCGCCAAACAACGATTTTGCATTTCGAAGGAACCATAACCACCGAACGTCGGCGAGAAATACCGGGCGAGTCGCCACTCGAAGCTGTGCTCCACATTGCAAGCCATACAACGCTCTAAAATGACATGCAGCTCGGTGATGCTTGATCCTTGATGTGGTTGCACTGTCAAGGGTTGTTTCTTGTTTACTCTACACCCATAAGCGCGACTTCGTTGCCCAGCTGTGCAAACCCGGTTACCCTACCCCACCATCGATTGGGTGGTGGGACCGATAATTCTCTTGCAGCTACTGCTACGCAGCCATCTTAAATTGTCCCGCTCAGGTTCTCGGGGGGCCAGACGACTCGTGCAATTGACAGCTTGCGTCATGGCACTGGGCATCCCACAGAACGCCATCTAGACAACAAGGTCTCGTATCCGTCTCGATAGTGATGCTCACGATAGGCAAACGCTGTGGATCGTACAACAAATAGCGTGCTCGGATGGCGCAGTGGAGAGACCTTAGACGCCCCTTAGTCATAGCGCCTCTTTCTGGTGGGCTCCTCTTTCTGTACCAATACGGACTGCCATGGCAAACTAAAAAAGACGGTTCTCCCGCCATAAGCAGTTCAAGTGGGTTTTTCATATTGTGTGTTCCAGCTCGAAGCCGCTACGGACGGTGCTATGAAATGTGGCTGACAGGCGATCTGACAGCCCGAGTGACTCCACACCAGTTTGCAGAGACTTTCGTCGACTGTGTGTTGCCGATGTTTCAGTCGCGGTATCCACTGATCTCACGAGAGAGATTTTTGACGCGCCGCAGCACCCATGTTGCGCACACGTTACACTGCGTCTGTTGAGCTGCTATCGCGGCTTTCTGCTTCGGCCTGCTTTCCTCCGCAAACTATCCTATCTTTCGGACCCTGCGATATGACGCGCAGATTACTGCAAGGTCTGGGGTCAAGGGGTGTCCCCACAAACTCGGTCTCGTGATTAAGTTCGACTTTTGACTTTGACATGTGCAGTGAACCCTCACGGCGAAGCCAGACCCTGGACGTGAGATAGAGTTTAGGAAAGCTTGTCTCGAACTGCTGACGAGAGCAAGTGCCGGATGAGAAGTACGGATATCCCCTTCGTCGGGGATTGACAACAAAACGTCATCAACTCAAATTATAAGCATAGATCAAGCTGGGCACTTGAGTCTTTGGTAAGTGTTTAGTCAATAGGTTTTATAACTCGATAATAGGTTTTGTAACTCGATGTTATTGCTGTTACACGCACACACAAGTTGCACGATTGCGCCTACGATGACATCCAGGACTGCGTGACCTTGAAGCTAGTCAATACACTCTTACGAACACGAGCACTACTCATATTGCAAGGCCTTAGTCACCAAGTCTGCGGTATGATGTTTAACTACGTCAATAATCTAATATTTCCAAGCACGTCCACTCGCGTGTTTGTCAACATGAAAAACCCGGCCAATTTTCCGATTCGCGATACTTTAATTGGAGGCTTGAAGGAGTTCAAATCTCAGTTTGCACATCGCAGCCGCAAATACTTCAACTCACTCGGACTCCTTTACCCCGCAATCCGAATCAGCTCACCTCCCCGCACCACGAGCTTTGGAAAGATTGAAGCACGCTTGAGCACCACCAGAACAGATTTCCAGTTCCCGAACATTCACATAATCCCTTTAAACACAATCTCAGTCACTGCATCCCGTTCGAAGCCGACAGGATGCCACCTTCCCGCATCCTAGATTCCCACATCCACCTCTGGCCCTCGACAGCCACCACTTCCAAAGACCATGGCTGGATGACCGATTCCTCACATTTCCTCACCAAGCCTCACGGTATCTCGGATTACAGAGCTGTCACTGCGTCATCGGCAGCTGGATCCGCTCTGGTGGGCTTTGTGTACGTAGAAACAGACCGCTACCTTCCATCCAAAACCCCGGCTATTAGCTCGGGAGCGAATGAAGAGGAGGTTGAGAGTAAGCTGAGAGAGTGGGCGAAGGCACCGTTGCAGGAGTTGGAGTTCTTGAGGAGGATCGTAGAGGAGATTCCGCAAGAGGGTGATGGGTTTGAGAAGGGACAAGGCAAAAAGATGAAGGGTGCTGTTGTTTGGGCACCTTTCAATATTCCGGTGTCTGCTTTCAACAAGTATTTGAAGGTCGCGGAAGAGGTTGCGGGACCGAAGCTGTGGGAGAAGATTGTTGGGTTCAGGTATCTCCTACAAGGGAAAGAGCAAGGTGAAGTGAAGAGCCTTGTCAGTAATGATGATTGGATTGAAAATATCGTCAGTCTGGGCAAGGGGAGAGGGGGAAAGGGCTGGGCATTTGATGTCGGTGTGGACATCCATCGTGATGGAACAGATCCACTGGGTGCTGTCGGTGGGATGATCCTGAAAGTGAGGGAACGAGAAGCACAAAGTGGAAAGGGGAGTCAGCCAGTACGATTCGTGCTGAGTAAGTCAACAGTATATTCGGGACGACATCAAATAGCTGACGTTCTGTGCAGACCACTTATGCAAACATGCCCTCACAACAGACTCTCCGACCGACCCTAAAATGGAGTGGCTCGGTGCAGTCTCGAAACTTGGGCTTGATCAGAATGTCTTCATGAAGCTATCTGGCGCTTTCAATGAATTCGACGACACTACACCAGCATTTGTCACTCACATTGTCAAGTCATTGAGCTCGATAGCGTCCAAGGTTCTCGATGCATTTGGTAACAGGGTTATGTTTGGCTCTGACTGGCCCGTGTGCAACGTTGGAGGACCAGCAGGAGAGAAGGGGAATTGGGGCCTATGGGTTGAGATCGTGGAGTCATTGTTGGAGGCAGCGCATGTTGCCGAAGAAGATAGGGAACAGGTGTGGTGGAAGGCGGGGAGCAGGGCGTATGATGTTCAACTCTGAGGGAACATGCCGTCAGGGCAGGAAAGATGCTGCGTGCGAGCAGTCTCAGTGCGCGGCGTAATCCTCACAGACTTACAAGCCGCTCAAAAAGGGCCTTGTGAAGACATTGGTAATACTGAGGTGGAGAATGTATTCAAAAGACTTTTGTTATACTATAATCTTTGCATAAGCTTGTCTACTGCAGATTTACAAAAAGACCTCCATCAACCAACAGCTGGGCACCAGTGACATATGAGCTTAGATCACTGCCCAAGAACACTGCCGGTCCGGCGAGATCGTTTGGCATACCAGTCCTGCCCAAGGGTATCCTGCCCTCCATGTACTTCCTCTTCTCATCATCTTCAAGATCCTTCTCGTTCAGTTGTGTCTTGATTGTGCCTGGCAGGAGCGCGTTGCACCTAATATTGTATTTGCCAAGTGCGCAAGCAGATGACTGGATGAGAGACAAGACACCAGCCTTTGTGGGTGTGTAATGACCCTGCTGTGCGCCACCGACGAGCGCGGATATAGAAGAGATACCGATGATCGAGCCACCCGGTGGTGATTGTGTAGAGAGCTGTTTCGCAGCTGCTTGGATCGTGTTGAATGCACCTGTGAGGTTGGTGTTTACGGTCTTGCTCCAGAGTTCTGGTGAGATGCTGCAAATTTCGTCATCAGTAAAAAGTCCTGAAGATACTGCAATCACTCACTCTAGGAACTCCTTGAACTCGCAGATGCCTGCGTTGCTCACAAAGATGTCCAGCCGGCCCCACTTCTCGACAACTGCCTTCACAAGCTTCTTGCCAGTCTCTGGATCGCCTACATCGCCAGATATCTCGATCAATCTGTTTCCACCTTCTGAAGCCTCCTTCACGAGAGACTGGTACTGCTCAGAGGACTTAGGGTCGCCCAAATGGTTGACTGCGACGTTGGCACCGTGCGAAAGGTAACCAAGGACGATAGCACGGCCAATGCCAGTAACGCCGCCAGTAATGGCCATAGATTTGCCTTTAAGAAGCTGCGTCATCTCGTTCGTAGCTTGTGTAGAGGGTTGTGAAGCTGCGTTGGCGGGGTTTCTTTCGGGAGGAAGGTGGTGTGCGAAAGGAGTTCAAGCAGGCAATAGCAGCACACAGCAGTCAACGGAAGAGCGAAGGTCAGAGAGATATCTGTACTCTAGGAGCGACATGATAATAACTGCCCTAGAGCGGAGCAGATTTCGATGGAACGAATGGAACCGTGACCTCGCGGGGAGTAAACCGGGTTATTTCAAGCCGAGGCTAAAACTCTTGGCTTACACTGCATGGACCTCACAAGCCGCCTGCCGTAACAACGCGCTGCTACCTACAAAAGTGCATCAAGAGCTGCTCGTATGGTTTTGATTCCTGGACACCATGGTGTACAGCTGGGATGACAAAGAGGCCGAATGCCATCGACTCTACGTCGAAGAAAAAAAGAGCCTAGACGAGGTGATCGCGCACTTCGAAGCTCAAGGCTTCACTCCTAGGCATAGCAGACACCCGTAGTATGCTTGCAGAGCTGACGCGTCATTCAGTAAACGCGCTTTCCAGACACAATTCAAACGTTGGGACTTTCCAAGTAAGCAGAATCCTGCGCACAAGAACCCTGCCCTCGTCGCCCGGCTCCAACAGCTATGGGAGCGGAATTATACGCAGAAGGAAATGGTAGACACCCTCCAGGATGAGGGCTACCAGATCAACGACCGAGAGTTGATCAGACTACGCTTGAGGCTCAAGCTTCTTCTCCGAGAGAGCGTACCTAGACCGAGGAGGAAGCAGACTGTAGATGGAGGTACGCTGAAGAAGCAAAAGAAAAAGAAAGCAAAGACTTTGCCGGGTAAAGAATTGATCAACCAGCTCGGCAATGCCATACTGGCTGAGAGTTCTGAGAGCCAAGAGAGCTCAGAGGAAGAAGAAGCGACTTACACGACAGTCGGTGGTGACACCACAACAGACATTCAGCCCGTCCAGCCCGAGCTTGAACCTCCAACATTCCATCCCGAAGAATCACTACGAAGACAGCTACGACAAGAGCATCTACAAAGAGAGAGCGACGAAAAGTGGCGCACACGGAAACGACGACGGCGAACGCGAGGCTGGGCTGGTCTGCCAGCAGATACACCTGGCGAGCCACCACGATTTCCTTCCGAAACCACAATCGACGAGGCGAAGGCATATCTTCGCCTAGACAATGAAATGTACCGCAGGCTTCGTGAGCGGTTCCAGGAGATATGTGAGGCTGAAGGCGTTGTCAAAAAGACAGTGGCCGGTCCGGAGAAGTGGGCGCAACTGGTGCAGCGGCTCATACAAGAAGACACACACTTGGTCTCTGTGTTCCAGCAGGAACCACCCAAAGGGCAGAGAGCTCTGTCGATAGATGTCATTTGTATGGATGTCACAAAGCGTCTACGTACCATGGAGACCAGAATGACGCTCGCTGATGCGAAGAATGCTCTTGGACTAAATCCGGAGCAGACGCGCCAGGTCAGAGCAGCCTACATCGCAAAGCTCAAGACCGCCCGTTTCACCAACAAGCACGAGGCTGGAGAAGAGCAATGGAAAGAGCTTAAGACAATCTGGGTCAACGAATCGGACCATTTGACGCGAGCCCTTGCTCAAGGCGAGGCCGATCCTGAATATGCGCGAAAGCTGCGAGCCGTCGAAGTGATAGCCAGGGATGTCACGAAGCGGCAGCAACAGGAGAAACTGACCATGGACCCGTCCAAACAGAAGCAGATCCATCAGGGTCCTGGGCCTGGTCCAGCACCGCCGGTCATCGCACCACAACCAGAGCGGCACCGACAGAGCGCTGTGTCAGACTACAATGCATCGACGCATACAAGTCAAACCAATCTTCCAACACTGTCGCCTTCGAGCGACTTGCAGATCGATCCCTCGTTGCTGTTGGCCGCAAGTGATGCGGCCGTGCTCCCGAGTCCGGCCTACCATCAACCTGAGCATCACTATCAATCACACCCTGAGCATACACAGAATGTACAGTCACAGGCGTCAACACCGCACCACGCATTACACCACCACTACAACCATGACTACTACCCCGCTGCCTCGTCCCAGCACTCCCAGCCCATGCCGATATATTTTCGTCTGCACCACCTGTCTGCAACGTCTTTTCCGTCGAAGACGGTCTGGCTGTCCATCCTACATACGCAATCAGTCAGTGAGATCGGCAACCTGGCCATCCGTGAGCACCCTGGAACGATCGCGCTCAAAGTGGAAGGACTGGTTGTGTACAGACAGGATCAGGGTGAGCGAGAAGTGGTGGTTGAGGTCAGCGATGACGAAGAGCTCGCTGCGTACTTGAGCCACGTCAAGAGTACTGGACACGGCAAAGCAACGTTCGTGGTTTTATTGGGCATGGCAAGCGGCAGTTATGCTTGATCATGGGGTCTTTGTCGATAGGTCTACACACTCTGAATGCCCGCTTTCGCCTCATTACCATACTTTGATGAATCCAGGGTCTCCTTACGATCCAACACGAAGTTGGGAAATAGCGATCAAATAATTCCTGCCCCACTCTTGTAATTTGTTCTGTACCGACACTGAGAAGGTCCCGTCAACTACTTAAGGCAGCTGAAGCGCACGCAGCGTTCCTGCTCTTCGGACACAACACCATTTGCTGCATTTGCGTCATTTTCACAATACAGGCAGCGATATTCTCACATTGACTATCTCCGCGCTCATTTCAGCCACAATACCACGACTATTCCTCGGCGACTTTCACCGAGTCTACGTCGGCAAGAATGACTGCCCAGCGTAAAGCCATCGGCGGCCCTCGTGGACGTCCTCGTGCAGATCCGAGACGTACTAGAGTATTCTACGACCGGGATGCAGTCTTGCATCTTCTGTGGCAATTCTATCCAGAGCTTTTACACTACTTCCCCCCTATTGATTCTTTCGTAACGTTGCAAGGAGAGGACAGGTCCGTCGACGTCAGCAGTAACCCGTCTCCAATCGCGCTGCTTGAGGTTGGTCGTATGTGGCAAGCCGACCCGAGCAGTGAACCACATCAGGGAGAACGTGCGATCCTGTGCGTCTGGGACAGAGGCGGTTACAACAGCGACGAGCCTGAGCTTATACCTTACGGCTATCGAGGAACAGGCATATATAAATCACGCAGCGATCGGGCCATCGTGAGCGCCAATGGCTTCGATGCCACTGGTGTCTTTTCCGAATTGCGCGAGAACAGAACCCCACGTCAAAACCCGGCCCTTGACGATCTCCACGTTATCGCCCTCTTTCAATTCATAATGATGCTGCGGGGCAACCGACGCTATTACTGGTACGGCGAACGTCACTGGGAGTCGCACGAGCATCATCTTGCACCTCTCATTCAAGCTCTGGGAATTGTTACACGCAAGTCGAGGCAGGCTTACCCAGGAGGTCCTCAGGGAGCACTGGCTGGCGCAGCCATACCACCTGAACAGCCACTGCCGCCACGTAGCCCAGCATCACCGCATCAATTACCGTATCAACGACCGCCTTCCCCTCCTCGAGGTAGAGTGCAACCACAACAGTTACTCCCAGCTTTGGCGTCCAGACCTCACAGCCAAAATACGCTGACTACCTCTGAGCGTTACCGGCCGGTTTCACCATTCCCGTTTATGCCTTCTGGTTCATCAGTGCCATCGCCTACGAACCCGCGGCTTGGGGCCAATGCTAAGCACACGAAGAACCATATTCGGTACACCGCGTCACGGCTTGCGGACCCTCCGTCTCCACAAGACAGCGTTATTAATGGCGACGCAAGCAACAGGCCTATAAGTCTCGTTCTAGTCGCCACCGAAGCCGCCGACGGGGTTGTGGACAATAGGACTACAACTGAAGAGTCTACGCAACTTGAGGAAGAACTTCTTGCAAAGACTCAGTCGTCGTCCTCGGACGGTCAGCGTCAGCACCCTATCTACAAGGTCAGGAGCGAATCGAGGCGCAGGTCGCGGCGTGGAAAGTAGGCGTGGTCCTTACATTGAGGCGTAGACGCATGTTAAGTTCGGATCAAAAGGTGTGGGTTTGGATGAACTTGTGAAACCGAAAAATGACGATTGCAGGAACGGATCTCATTGGCGATGGTAGATGGCGTAGAAAATACGATGAGAACACTAGCTTCAAAGTTCAACACATACAGTCTTCCATCAGTCCGTGCACATCCTCGGCTCGTGCACGATTTTGGCCCTGCTACCTACCACACAACAAGAGGCTGCAGAGCCACCCACAATAGTAATTATCGCGAGTTTCTGTGTTGGAGTAGAAAATTGAGGCTTGTGATTACAATTTGCTACTTATATTTATTTGGAAGCTTGGTGATGCGGCTGCTGCAGATGGTTGTTGTTGCAATAAGCGCAGGCTTAGTTAGGGTACCTACCTCATTGGCAGCATTGTCAACAACAGCTACAGGCTTCTTAGGCAGCTTTTCTATAGTTGTTAGAGGCTTGATGCTTTGCCTCCTACTCTTTTTAGACAATTGAAGATCATTCTGAAGTTGTTGAGCAAGCTGCATCGGGAAAAGTTTTTCCATTGTCGAAATCAGGAAATCGTGGCATTGTACTGTAGGCAACAGTAGGACTTGTAGGCCTACAACAGTTATTTAATGTGCATTCAATGTCTAGCTAATTTTAAGCTAACAGCTCTAATAGTCCTAACAGCTGCATTGCTGCAATAGCCACAATAACTCCTAATCCTACTATAATAGTAGCTCTGCTTAATAAACTATACTTTTATTATATTAATATACTACTAAGTCCCCCCTTTAAAATAAGCTATTAAACAATATTATAGGCCTATTAATAGAATAGTTATTAAGTATAGAAGGTTTTAAGCTTAATATTCCTTACTAAGACACTAAGTTAAGATTCTTTGCTAGGGCTCTAGCAGCCTAAATGTTAGAAAATACAAGAATATTATTCAAGAATAGTAGGTAAACTAAGAATTCTACACCTAGGCCTGCCTGTTCTGCAGTGTACTTGTCAGCAGGTGCTTTGTTGTGTGCTGTTGCAGCTGCTACGTCGTATGTTGTTGCAGCTGCAGCTAATACATTGTGTACTGGCGCAGCTGCAGCTGCTGTGGTGTGCTGTTGCAACTTCAAAACACAAACCTAGGCTGGCGGAATGGGTATACTCCAACGTCCTTCGTGGGTACCCCCCAAAACTTTGTCAATAATACATGGATTCTAGCGAAATAGGGCTTAAAAGAAAGAGAAAAACTACCTCTATATTTCTGTAGTAGAGGGTTTTGTTATAACTATTAAGCTGCATAAGCTAGAGGCTAGAAAAGGTTAAAAAAGGGGGGGTACCTAGCAAGCATACCTATTAATAGGTATACTTTGCTAGGTAGTGTTAATAACTCAGCTAATACTAGGCAGAATAAGCTAATTCTTTTTTTATTAGAAGGCGCAATACTAGGCGCTTCTATTGAATAATAGATTGTGTAAGCGTATCTCTGCTAGTTAAGAAGCTATAAGCCAAAACGTAAAAAAGCATACCCTACCCATCCGCCAGCCTACCTTTAACAAACAAACCTTCAACGCTCTATAACTCGCGTTGTAGTAGGCCTATAATAATAATTTTTTGCTTATTTTAAAGCTACAATTTCACTCTATCTGTATGTGAAATTTTGCAATTTTTAAATATTTAATACTAGTGCTAGTAGAACTAAGGGTAGCTATACAACAACATTGCAACGTTGTTTTAAGTTTATTAAATATAGGCACTTAGTGTTTTAGCTGTTAGCAATATTAGCGCGAAATTAGGGCTGTTAGGCGCAAATTAGGGCCGTTGGGGCCGTTGAACGGCCGTTGCACGACCATGCCACGACTGTCAGCAACGGCCATTCTGGGCCGGATTTCGAAAAACTTTTCCCGATGTGGTGATCAACTGCAGAGCCCTCTCTCTCCAAAGCCTTCACTGCAGCACCTACTTTCTTCCTATTTTGAGCTTGAACACGGCCTAACCTCTGTTCTTCTACCAACTGTTATTTAATTGCTTTTTGTAAAGAAAGTAGGGGAAGGACTAGACTACTTTCTTCCTAGTCTAGAAGGACCTAGACAAATCTAGACTAGCTTTGTCTAAATAGGAAGCGTATAGCCTAATAGAGGTAAGGTAGGGTTATGTAATATAATAGACAAGTTATTATATTAGATACTAGGTAGAGATTCCTAGGCTAGGTACAGAGCAAATAGAGGGGGGAGAGCTAGAGGTATTTATACTTCCTCTCCTCTGTCTATATTTCTAAGCAGAACATTCTAGACTCCTTTAGGTAGGTCTACTTTGTAATCTATGCTTAGTATTACTGTATATATAAGCAAGATTACGTAGGTACATGCGTAATTGTATACGTTAGCATCTTACAGAGTAGGCTACTCTATTTATAAGCAGAGGGTCTAGAATATTTCTAGTTACTATAAATAGAGAACAGCATATCTTAAGAACAAGAGGAGATACAGGGTTCGTAAGCACACCATTCTAATCCTCTCTTCTTAGAGATTACAATAACAATGCTCAGGTAAGCATAGCACTATACCTAAGAAGAAAATACGCTAGAGAAAGATTATAAGAACAAAGCCTTATAACTTTACAAGCACAACTAACACAAGTTACTGCAACTATAACTACTTACTATTAAACAGTGACCTAGCATACTGCGTGCTTGCATTAGATTTAGAAGATGTTTCTACACCCTCCTAGCACGTTTGTGTGTTATGTCTAGTCTTGCTGCAGTTCCTACAGCGCTAAACAGTTAACTAAGCTCCTAGTTGACCACCTCCACCCTAAGTCTTCTTAGATGGCTGAGCTGCTACACACGCCTCAGCAGCTACCCACAATGCTGCTAGGCCATACTCAAGTGTGCTACTATGCTGAATCTACTTTCTCTTACGCAATTTTCTCTTAGTTATTACTACTAATTACTCTTTAAGCTCTTGCATGTAGGCCTTAATAAGGATGTTTTTATACAGTGTGTCTTTAGCCCCTTTTATAAGCTTTAAGAACCCCTCTTGCGCTATACTTAGTAATTGTTAGAAGGAGTTACTTATAAGCTTAGATTAAGACCTAAACTTGTGTGTATTACTTAGCGTCTTAGATTACTACAGCGTTTTAGGTAGAGGTACTGCTAGTAGGGTATATAGCTGCACTTTAAGGCAATCTAACACTACCTATATATTAGTAGGAATAAGCCCTAATACCTTAAAGGCCTTTTAGTAGTTAACCTTTATAAATATATTAAGGAACACATCCCTAAAGGCTAGTAGGAAGCCTTCCTTATTAATATAGAAGATATATTAGTGTGCTAAGTCTTAAATATATTAGGAGTACTTACGCTTTAATAGCAAGAAATAGACTATATTAAGTAGCTAGAGGATATATAATAAGTAAGGTAGTATATAGAGAGTAAGGATTTAGTTCTCTAGGTAATAGTCCTTAAACTCCTAGTTAAGATAGCTCTTATAGCTGTCTAAGATAAGCAACCTATACACTCCTACCTAACATGTCTTTATATGTGTGTTAAAGTGCTTTAACTACTTAAGGCTAAGTATATTATTTATCTAACTATTCTTAGAGACTAAGAGCTTCTAATTATAGGGTATATCTATCTCCTTATACTAGGCAGAGATGTAGACGCGTCCTTTGTAGATAATAAAAGGTAGGGTTGCATACCTAGCAGCGCAGATGCTCTAGATAACAGTAACCTACTCGCAATTGCCTGGCTAAATAAGCTCTAGCTAAGCATGTCTCTCTAAGCCTGTTACAACCTTTAAAGACAAAGCAACACCTATCTAGAACCTAGTTTTATTAAAGTTGTGTATATTATTATTATAAACACTAAGTTATACTTAACTTAAGTATCCTCTACTAGCTTAAACTACGCGCTAATTATCTTTAAATCTTCCTGTAGTATCCTCTGTCTATCCTTAGCTTAATTAAAGGCTATTTTAAGCTTGTCTAAACGCGTTATAAGCCTGCTAGCCTATAGTTTACTAATAGGCTCTTCACTACGCACACTAAGTATCTTATTAGCTATATCTGCCACCTTACATAGCTAGGGCGCAAATCCTTGCAAATTAAGGCTAAGTATATACTAGACAATTGTCTGCTCCTCTAGTATAGTAAGTTTCTAGCAATTAGCGCATATATCTAGTTAAAATGTAATATTGTAAAGGTAATTAGAGACCTGCTAATAAGGTACGTTTAATACTCTAGCAGTGCTATAGATACTGCGAAATTAGCTAGCATAGAAGGCCTAGATAGCAAGGATAACTCTGCCTTCTCTAGTAGTATTCTAAAGTTGTTGTTATTAAGGCATATTATGTTAGGGTAAAAGGTGGTCGTGCCAAGAGAAAGTGGCCAGTTTGGTGATATGGCTGGCTTGGTGATAATCTACATTATATAAGAAGCCTGTAGAAGGTATTACTAAATAATATTATATGCTGTACTACTATATACAAGGCTAATGTAGGCTAACGTAGTTCACAAGCGAGCGGTCCAACCCAAGCGAGCGGTCCATCCCAAGCGAGCGGTCCATCCCAACCATGATAGCCTAATAACTACTTTGCATTACAATGCCATCCCAACACAACATGCAATTAACCTATACTAAAGGGACCTTACAGCTTGCTATCTAAGCTATAATTAAAGATTGTGACAAGAGTAAAAGACGCGCTATTGCAGCCTTTAGCGTACCTTAAACTACTGTCCACTGACAACGCTAAGGAGCCCTCTCTTAATGCAATTGCAAGCCCAATTTAAAGAAGCTAAGCAAACTAGAGGAGGAGGCCCTTGTACAACGTATACTTGAGCTTGATACAAGAGGAATACCTGCTACAAAGGCTATGGTGCGAGATATAGCCAATGATCTGCTTGCTGAGCGCGGTGGAGAGCCTGTTGGCAAGCACTGGGTAGACAACTTCAAGACGCGTACGCCTAAGATTAAGCTTCGAAGGAGCCGTCCATATAATCGCCAGCGAGCCCTTAACAAAGATGCACGCGTTATAACGCCCTGGTTTGAGCTAGTTACTAACACAAAGGCTAAGTACAGCATCACAGATAAAGACATGTACAACTTTAACAAGACAGGCTTCATAATAGGGGTTATCTATAGCTAGATAGGCACTGCATATATGTACCTCGGAACGTCGAAAGGCCTTGACTTATAGGCAGGTCCTGGTCCATTATACACGAGGGGCGACGATCGTGAGGAAAAGGTGGCTCAGAAGACGGACAAGCTCACACCGTACGGTGTGGTTCAGTATCTCGAGAAGTATTTTGACAACGCTATCGGGACTACTACGCGATTTCGCTCGCTGACACCGTTCATCTTCCTGCTTACCGACGTAGTTGACGAGTTCGAGGAAGATGACGCCGTCAGTGTCGATGGCGTCTACCGTGCACCGATGGGTATCAGAAGATATAAAGATTTTAACCCGACGGTGACGGTCAACGAAAAGATGGAAGATGCTGAAGCCAACGTTGAGGATCAAGGGGGGAGCTCGGATGATGAATTCCCCGAATCTGTCGAAGACGACAGTTGTTTTGGGTGAGAATAAAAGAAAACCAGAAGGTACATGAACCATAAGCATGATGTGAGCGTGGCTACAGCAGGTCATAAGGGTGTATACTAAATTCCAAGACTGCCAGTGATGTCACAACTGGACCAGCTTTGAACCATGAGCAACTATCTCCTATTGTGGTTAAGAAGGATGGCACAAATTGGGTAGCATCACCTTCACTTAACCTCACCCAAGTTCTAGGTGACTTCGACTTTGGAGAATGAAATTCCCCCACTCTTATACCTCCACGGAATGCAACGACCCTCCCGTCATAGTCTCAACTGATTTGGAGATAGAACGCATGGATCCCCATAGTGCTATTCACAGCCAAATCTAGGATGAGCTCACCACCGCGAAGCTCGCGCCAGAGTCTCCGCCGTCTCGTATACCTAGGACAGGGTTTACAGCTAGAGTTTCCGCTAGTCAGAGCTTCCTTCCCGTAGCCCTGATCATTCAAATTCGTCTTGGAAAGCGACTGTACTACACTTGAATCAGTTACCCGTGTACAAGGCGCAAGGTCAAGGGCAATGCGCTTTACGTCGCGAAAATCAATCATTATTTAAAGGGACAGCCCACATCAGACTTAAAAACGGACGAGCCGATCGAGAGTAAAGATATAAACGACCACGTCAAGAGGAACGGGTTCCTGCCCAACGAGCTCTGTGATCAGTCGGTCGGCGCTACGACGATCAATCCTTGGAGCAAAAAGTCTTCAGCTGTCTTCCAGGTCGTCGAAATGCCCTGCAGCTATCGAAATGAGTACGGTAGAGAACTGAGCTCCATCTGCGCTGCCATGAGATACTTTGGAGGCATGACAAGCGACCTCGAGAAATGGTATATGGAGGTCGGTGGACATGAAGAGGCGGTAGGGCAATATTGAAAGGATGATGTAGACGATACGTCTGCCGCAGTTGAAATGCTGTAAAGAAGAGGCGCTCGGAAATGGAGACATCGATGATGACGAGCAAACTGGACAGCAGAAGGTGTAAGTAGCATGTTTGATATTTGCTCACAGGAGAGAGCATATGTTCGTATTGAAGGAGCAAATTATGGGTAAATACCGATCGGGTGGAGGTCTTGCTCCACGACCGCAGGTTAATCTTTAGGTGACTGACAGCAAGAGTCAGGTTTGTATTTACGATGCAAGCACAGATTCAACAAAGCCCTGCGTGGTTTGGGAAGTCGCTGAGCATATTGTGACATGTGCAAGGAGTTCCTTGAAGGTCGTTCCGCGTGTCATTGTCGCAAAAGTTCGTGTTGGGCCTGATGAGCATTCTGAAGCACAAGAAGTTACAAGCACCAACGTCGCGCCATGATGAGGTATCCACAAGGCTTGGAAACTCTTGCACCTTACGTAGTCGTCTAAAAGCGTCATCACCTGCATCATGTGGATTCTGGGGCCCGCGAGTTTATGGTGGATTCGTGTCATTAATGGTAGGCACTGATCTTGATGCGCTTGCGCTTTGTAACTAGTGAATACAGACGCAGCGTTAAATGTTATGGTCGCGCTTCGTGAGATGTGTACATGGTCTGCTTGAACCAGCAGTACTTGAAGTCGTCGCGCCAAGGATGGTGTGAAGGATGAAAACGTGTCTGGCAGACTATGCTCCCAGCTTCCGTGCTGTCGAGCCTCGCTTCGGTAACGTCCAGGGCTCAGGGCAAACGATCTGAAGTATCCGATGAGCACGTTACCTCGCGACTGGAGGGTTCGTAGTAAGCTTACCTCGCCTTCACTGTATGCCCAAAAGTACGCCATCATTCCAATGATGTAGTACAAGCCGCTGTTTGTGCCTTGGTAGATCAAAAGAGCACACAGTGCGCTCAGAGGGTACATGATCAATCTGGCCTCGATACTGCGGTGTAGCCCAGTGCCTGCAAGCAGCGGTAATGGCCATTCCCACGCCAGGCCCACGATACCGAGCAAGAGGTTTATGATTTGGAGGATCGGGAAAGGCTTTACGGCGGAGTCGAGGTTCTTGGTCAGGAAGTCCCAGAAGATTTTGGGCCAGAAAAAGGCTTCCAGAGCTGCGGCTATCTGATCTGGTCGTGTGTTAGTCTTGGATGTGGATCTGAAGGTTGGTGACGAATTCGACTCACAAGCAGCAGCAGTCAAAATGACGAGGCGCGCCCAGTGGTTCTTGATTAATTTGCCCATGTTGTCGTAGGAGCAAGTGGTGTATTAAACGAAAGTATGTGGTCGTAAACCGAACCCGCGGTGTTGAAAGCGAACGAAGCTCGTGGCAGAACTCGCGATTTCAGATATTACTCCTAATGACTACCAGTAGCCCACAAGATGCTCAAATTTACAGGGCGGCGAGTTTGGTTATATGCAAGCCCTCAGGCACAGTTCTGGCACTAACTCGGCGGTTCCGCGATGCAGTAAGGCTTGATGGCTGCCACGGCGGAAGTCAGGCACGAGGCTTGCAGGATGGATGGCTGAGGCGCGTGTGTCTCAGGCTTGTTAGGTGTTCAGGCAGCGCGGGTGAGGTAAGATTCTTCGATACAGGCAGTGTGTCAGTACGAGCAGAAAGACAGCGGGAAGCTGCCGCAATTGTAGATTCAATTCATGCGCCGCGTGGGCCTGTGCTGGCCGTGTACTCTGCTGTGTAGCCGCTGAGGGCTACGTACAGACTTACGCTAGCTGGGCCTCGCTACGCGTGCAGGCGAGTCACATCCTGCGATTGGGTGGATTGCGGTGCGCGATGCACAGACGTGCAGGCTTCCCGGATGGCGCCGTCGATGGGGTGTGGCCTATGAGCATGGGTTTGAGCCTGCTTGCCTGGAGTGGCGTCGCGTACACAATAATGCCTTTAATTCTGTGAAATTCACCTGCACGTGGGCTGCGAGGCAGGGGAACATGTGAATACTCGAGTCAATGTGACAGTTCCGTGAGATGACTTTTCATACCGCTCCTTCCCAATAGACATCCCGGCATTTGAGGTTTGCATTCGAGGTGATATGTTGCACGGATGCCTCACGGATGCCTCACGGATGCCTCAGTCTCCGACATCCCTTTGCGCCTCAGGACGAACTCTGCTACCGGCTGTGTTGCACGCGGGCTGCATGGAAGATCATTGCAAGCCTCAGGAACCGATTTGCTTCCTTCAAACAACATCATACGACAAAGTTTACTTCAGAGTGCGAAATGATGTCAATGCCGTTTGCTCGGAAGCTTGACAGATGTCGAGACAAACAATGTCGTACGATATCCGTTTAGTGTCAGTTCGTCTGATATACAGGTGGACATCGATGAGGGTTGGAACGGAATCGATGACCATTCGATAGCCCCAGACCCTTCACTATCACTTGGCATGGCCGTCTTTGCCGCGCTTGTCAGACGAACAAGTCTTATTTTTCGGCTTCAATCGTGACTGCAGCCCCATCACAGTCCTAGGTAATACCTAAGGCAAGCTTGCCTGTACTGTGCAGGCCGTCCACAGCGCTGCAGCCAGAACTGTGTGTGGAGACGCCATCAGTCAATTTGATTGGGTCTCTACGCGCTGGGTTGGCGCCGCGCCGGGTCGCTGGCCATGTGCTACCAACCACATCACCGAATGGCTTCATGAGCATTGAACTTCGTGCTCTTTTCCACGCCTCGGCGCGTCCAGCGAGGCTGATCATGGCATGCTCACACCAGCAATCTTTTTACGCCCATGCGTTTTTGATGCAGCGCTTCTTTGCAGGGGATTATGGCTAGAGAGCGGCCCGCTCCTTGCTGCACACAAATCTTCACCAACTTTTCGTGAGACTGTTGATTACACAAATTTGGACGTCTTCCTGTAACCACAAATCTGGGAGTCACCACGCCGCATCATCCAGGCAACATTCCCGTGAACCGCGGCGCTCAAGTTCGCTTTTCCGCATTGCGCCGCCTCGAACTTGCATCGTCTCAGCGCAACCCCTGCGTATCAGGAACGCCATCAGAAAACCACCGCAGGACATAGTCGCAACTGCAATTCCCCAGAAACTCGAGTGACAGCTGCCAGACAAGTATCGCAACGGCTCCGGCACGGACGTCAAGAGTCATTTGGTATTCAAGAGCGAGTTGCACCAGCTCAGCGCATCTGCATCCGGACGCAGCCACCCGCCACAAATCACGAAATCCAGCACATCAGAAGATACACTTCTACGAGACAATTGCTGCCTCGCCAATAAGAAGCGCATAGCCTAAGCCTTCTTATCAGTCTTGACTCTGCAAGAGCTGGTCTAAGATACAGGGGAGAACGGTTCTGTGCCTGGCGCTTCAGGTTTGAGACACAACTCATACAGTTGGTGTTCAACGCATAGCGGCAACCCCTCCAACGTCCACGTCACTTCGTACCCGACCCTAAGGCCCGTGAGGCTTACAGGCCCGATTTCTCTGTAGAAGACCTTGCCAATCTTGTTCAAGGCAAATTGACACCCGCCTTAGACTGTCTGGCATACACACTGCAAGCAGAGCTAGCGGTTTGAGCCTGTCAGTTTCAGCGCAGCGTGTCGCTCCACCAGGATTCAACGGTATCTTTCAGATCCTGATATACGTTTACAGCACAGGCCAAGGTCCACTCTGCACGTTTACATATTCTATCGGTGTGCCCTGCAGCCTTGGATTTTGTTCATCGCCGTTCCTTCGATTCCTCCGCAAACGCCCGGATCCGGACGCAGACATTCTTTTCTTCACTTCGTATCTGGCTGGCCGGGTTGAACTTTGACCGGATTACGCCCCTTCAGTTGAGGTTCTATTCGCTTACGTTCTTTAATTCTTGTCTAATACCCACGTCTTACGGCTACGACTTCGTTCTTGGAGGATACTAGGATAAGCTCAAGCATCAACACGAAAGCACAGGCAACAAGATGGGTGCTGCACCAGCCGGCGGTTCGCTCAAGCGTTTTTTCATGCCCAAGAAGTTTGCTTTCCACTTCTTCTTTTGGGGGTTCCATTGGGCACTGTTTGCGATAGGATGGTGAGCATGTATGATGCATGTCAATGTCAAGGAGGCTAACAGACAACAGGTGGAAGCAAGCTGGAGACATTCGACTAGCACCTCTCAACGGTCTTCAGTACTCTGTATGGATATCTCGAGGTGCTGGATTGGTTCTGACGGTCGACACAATGGTCATCGTTATGCCAATGTGCCGAAACATCCTCCGTTGGCTTCGACCCAAGGCTAGATGGCTACCTCTCGATGAGTCGCAGTGGTTCCATCGTCAAGTTGCTTACGCTATGCTTTTCTTTACTGTCCTGCATACGTCAGCGCATTATGTCAAGTAATACCTCCATCTCTCTCCCTACCAGTCACGAACTGACGATGCGTAGCTTTTTCAATGTTGAACGTGTACAAGTGCGACCTCAGATTGCGCTCCAAATCCACTACACCGAGGCAGGTGGTATTACTGGACACATGATGCTTCTATGCATGCTTCTGATCTATACCACTGCCCACCACAGGATCCGACAACAGTCGTTCGAAACTTTCTGGTACACCCACCACCTGTTCATCCCGTTCCTGCTCGGTATGTACACGCACGCAACGAACTGTTTTGTTCGAGACAGTGTCCCTGCCTTCTCTCCCTTTGACAAGGACAACTTCTGGACGCACTGCATTGGGTACGAGGGTTGGCGATGGGAGCTTGTTGGTGGTGCTCTATACCTCGTCGACCGTCTCTACCGAGAGATCCGCTGCAGACGCCAGACCGAGATCGTCAAGGTCGTCCGCCACCCGTACGATGCCGTTGAGATTCAGTTCACCAAGCCCAGCATGAAATACAAGCCGGGCCAATGGCTGTTCCTTAACTGCCCTGAAGTCAGCTACCACCAGTGGCACCCCTTCACCATCACGTCCTGCCCCAATGACCCTTATATCTCCGTCCACGTTCGCCAGGTCGGTGACTTTACCCGCGCCCTTGCCGACGCTCTTGGTGCTGGGCAGTCCCAGAGCAAGCTCTACGACGAGCTTGATCCCATGGGCATGTACGAAATCGCACTGCAGCACGGCCAAAAAATGCCCGCCCTCCGCATCGACGGTCCATACGGTGCTCCCGCTGAAGACGTATTCGAGAACGAAGTCGCCGTCCTCATCGGTACAGGTATCGGTGTCACACCCTGGGCCTCCATTCTAAAGTCCATCTACCACATGCGCCTGTCACCCAACCCGCCTAAGCGCCTGCGCCGTGTGGAGTTTATCTGGGTCTGCAAGGACACTAGCTCGTTTGAGTGGTTCCAGACGCTCCTATCGTCGCTGGAGGCCCAAAGCCAGGGCGCAAGCGACGGCGACCAGTTCCTGCGGATCCACACCTACCTGACGCAGAAAATGGACGCCAACACGGCGCAGAACATTGTGCTCAACTCTGTCGGCACCGACAAGGATCCGCTCACGGAGCTCAAGGCTCGCACTAACTTTGGCCGTCCAGATTTCCCGCGTTTGCTGTGCGGTATGCGCGACGGCCTGTTAGACCGCACGTATATGAATGGTCTGGAGAGCACGCTGAAGACGGATGTTGGTGTATACTTCTGTGGACCGAATGTGGCGGCTAGGGATATCAAGCAGGCGTGTAAGGAGGCGACGTGCCAGGAGGTTAAGTTTAAGTTCTGGAAGGAACACTTTTAGACGATCAGCAGTGTCGAAAGGCACGAGTTTAAGGCGTTTGGTGTATGATATCCCATTTCAATTCAGAACTGTGAGACTGTTACATGTCCCTTCGTCCATGCGCTATGGTGCTTATAATAAACCAGGATGCTGCTAGTGATTGTGACATGTATTGAGTTCCCTCCATACGTCCAATCAATCGACGATCGCACCACCGTTCTATTGGAAGTCTTCACTGTCTGCTGCACGACAGCCTTGAATCCACGGATAAGCGCAGTTGCCTTACTCCCTTAGGAGTATCTCCTTCTATTGCTTTTTTTGGCTGCTTCGTTCAGACCTGTGACAAGACTTTGTTTCCGATGCTCTCCAGATATTTTTGACATGCATCTTACGAGTGCTCCGTCGATCTGTCGTACTAAACGAGCACTCACGGTGGATTGTGTTCTTATTAGAGGTGCAGGACTTATTGCTCTTGGTCTCGAGGTCCCTCTCCATCGACGTGTTGTCTGCGTCAGTAGAAGTGGTGCTGTTCGACAAGCAGTGCTGCCATGCCGTACACTGTTGACTTGGTAATGTTTTGTAGTGGACAAGTCTTCCTTTGGTCGGTCGATGACTGTATGTGCAGGCTTACGTATTCTCTGCACTGCTGCTGCTTTAATGATCGGGACATGTCTTGAGAACAGAAAAGGGGCGAACTGTTAGAAGTGTTGAACGGGGAAGGAATCATGAGAGACGCAGCAGCGGGGACTAGTCACAACATCAAGGTGAAGGCGCCGACTCCCCACTACTTGATTGCTTCTCGCGAGATACACCGAACAGGAAGTGTGCGTAATCTTTTGTAATGATTCCTTTGTGGGTATGCCGACCTACTCGCCAAACATTCTTACAGCTCACAAATCCAGCAAATGAAAGCCTAGACCGGCCATCTACTCGTCGTCACTGTCCTCTTCTTCATCCTCCTCCTCGATATCATCAACATCGTCCTCAAGGTCCTCATCCTCCATATCGCCGCTCTCCTCCTCAAACACCTCAGCCTTGGCGCCCGCATCCTCCTTCTCGTACTCTTTTCTCTTCTTCTCTTCCTGCTTCCGTGCATCCTCGAGCTGTTTCTGTTTCTGCTCTCTGGCCTTCCTCTGTCCAGCAACGTACGCGCCAAGGGGCGACTTCTCCCACTCGACATCCTTCAAGAAGTTATCCACACCAGCACGATCGTTGGGCGCAAAGTCGATCTTTGTACGCTTTTCCTCGATCCACCTAGTGTTAGCTTCGAGCTTCTGAATAAGCAGAGCGAAGAGGCTGTTGATCTTTGCATTCCTGTTGCCAGAGGCCTTCTTCGTCATGGCCTTGACCCAGCGCTTGAGCATGACGATCACGGGGAGTGCGAGCTCAGGGAACGCAATGTTCTTAGTCCAGAGCAGGAAGAACTCCGACAGCAGCTCCGCGACCTGCTCGCCCACGCCGTCCTGGTAGATGCGTGTGCGCAGATAGGCTTTTGTGGCGCGGATCTGGGTGCTGAATTCGAGCGCTTTGAGGGTCGATGGCTTGGGCGGCTTCTTCATCTCCGCGGACTGAAGGACTTCGACGAGGGCCGGCGCGAGCGGGATGTAGGTGGATGTGGCGGAGGAGATGCGCAGGAGGGAGCGGATGAGCTGGAAGCGCAGCGGGAAGTATTGTGCTGTGGGAATCAGACGCATGGCTCCGAGGGTGAGTTGTACAACAGGGTAGATTAGGGGTCGCAAAGGAGAAGCCTTGCCCGACTCGGCTTCACGGAGAGTCTCGCAGTGGGCGGCGATGACGCGCGACCAGAAGTCAAGAGAGTGGACGTATTGCCAGTTGTAGACTGTCTTGTACGAGTCCTTGGTCTTGTTGGTGATGCTTGAGCGCAAATGAACGGCAAGCTGGCGGATAAAGCCAAAGCCTGTTGTGTAGCCAACGGTGGCATCGATACCCCATAGCTCGGACGCAGTATTCTTCATCAGGTTGATGCCCTGGATGTTGTGGACAGTAGTGTTCCGCGCGCCCTTGACAAGGCCTTGGTAGACTTGCTTGAGGACTGCCTCACGCAGGCTGGCGTCTGAGATAACCATGAGGCGTCGCAGGACCAGGAATGCCGAGAGTCTCGTTACTTCGTTGTTGGACGAATCGGACCATACGCCTGCTATAGTCTTGACGATCTCACGAACGACTTTCTTGAACGAGAGAATGTACGGCAGCAGTTTCAATAACGAATCGAGTGTCATACGCAGGGTGGAGGCGTCTGAAAGGTTCTCCAAAAGATGCTGAATGGAGACTGTATGCGACTTGAGGAGGGGCGTCAATGTGCGGAACTTCTTCGAGTCTGCGGGGATGCGGATCTTGCCTCCTGCGCTCTCCTTGGCTGGCAGGTGGTGGTTCAGAACCCTGGGTACGAGTGTGAGGGCAGATACGAGAACCTGGTGGTAGACTGCACTCTGTCAGTAGTGCGGCTTGTGACGTGAAATGGGGGTCTTACCATCAGGGTCCGATATCGAGTACTTGTACGCTTTCCCTTCCTCGTCGTTGAGATGTGCTGCCGAACGGAAGGCCAGAACAACCTCCTTCATAGCCCGCAGGGAGGACTTCGTCTCCATAGCCGACTTCCACTTCTGGATGAGCTGTTTCGAGACCTCATTGCCTGTTGCAGCCTCACTCTCCTCGTCTGACTCGGGCACAGCCTTCGCAGCCTTCTTTTGCTTCTTCCTCGGCGTGGCCTCGTCCTCACTGGCACTGAGCGCATCGATGTCGGCCAGATCGTCGTCTTCGAAGTCCAGTAGCTCCTTATCGTTGTTCTCCAGATATTTGTAAAACTCAGGATCCTTCTTCTTCAGCGCCTCGATGTCGCGCTTGTGTGTCTCAGCATCGTCGCCCGATTCGCTATCTGAAGCCGAGTCGTCGTCGCCGTTCGCGGTTGCATCAGCCATATCTTCGTCTGACGAGTCCTCGGAATCGTCCGCTTCGACAGGTGTGCGCTTGCGCTTTCCAGTCTTCGGTTTTGTCTTCTTCATCTTGGGAATATCGAAGCCGCCCTCGAAGAACTGGTCCATGGACATGTCGCCAAAGTTATCCTCCTTGGTAGACTTCATGGGCTTCTTTGCGCCCTCCCCTTCAAGGTCCTCGGCCTTTGCATTGTCGGCAGCCTTGCGCTGCTTCTTCTTTGCATCCATCTGCTTTCTCTGCTTTATTTTGGCGACATTCTTGCGAGCCTTGAGGACGTCGCCGAGCTTGTTCCTCTCGAACTTCTTGGTGGACTTTGAGACAGGCATGGTTGCAACAGTGTGCGCTCTGCGCGAATTGGCGTTCTGTTGTTAGTTGGCCGGCGAGAATGTTCAGAAAGTTTCAAGCGTCTAGTTTTCGGGTGGAGCTCGAAAAGTTCTGGGCCAATCAGAGATGGCAGGGTCTAAGCTCGCAGTGGCTCCTTCCCCACGCGATGAAGCTTGGGCAGGTATGGCCGACCTGACACGAGACCGTTGCCAAAGCTCGCGCCATCAACACTGTTCTCGCGCACCGCTGTCAGTACTCGCGCAGCTTTCTTTTTGCGACGAGTCGTCGCCGTTGAATAAACATGCACAGCACCAGGCAGCTGGCATACGCGCCTACGCCCTACATTCCGCGCTCTGCCCTCAATGCGACCATCAATCTCGATGAGGAAGCCAAACTATCCACGACCAGTGCTGAGCGCGACCTGAATGATTCGCTAGCAGAGATCTACAGCATAATCATGACCCTCGATGGTCTCGAGAAAGCCTTCCTGAAAGACTCAATCAACGAGAGCGACTATACCGAGACATGCAGTAGGCTCTTGAAGCAGTACAAGTCCAACCTGGCAGATGAGACGATCGCAAAGGCTTTTGGCGACTTGGACCAGTTCAAGAGAGAGTGGGATGTATGTCAGCCATCTCGACAGCCTCACTGAGGCGCGACGTCATGCCAGGCTAACACGGTACTCAGCTTGACTGTCCACGAGCAACCGAGCGATTGCGCGTAGGCGTACCCATCACTGTCGAACAGGGCCCTTCGCGTACCACAGCACAGCAAGGTGACTTTGCCGACGCAACACTGGTCGTCAATGCGACCGAAACCTTCATCACCCTGCTCGATGCCATCAAGATTGGCCTGGTAGAGAAGGACACACTACACCCACTGCTGGTCGAAATCATCCAGTCGGTCAATCAAGTCACAGACAAGGAGTTCGAGAACAAGGGCAAGATCGTCCAGTGGCTCATCACCCTGAACCAAATGCGGGCGTCTGAGAAGCTAGACGACGAGCAGGCACGACAATTCCAATTCGACATGGACCAGGCATATTACGGCTTCAAGGCTACACTGAAGAAGGACTGAATCTGGGTTCGCAGCCAGTCGACGCTGCAGTCGAGCGTGACTTCGTCCTCTCGTGCACACAAGTCTAGCCCCGCTAAACGCGCACGGACATTTTGGAACTTCTTTTGGGTGTTCCTCTGCAGCATCGAGCACCTACATAACGATTCCAAATTATGGAGGTGCTGGACGGTAAGCTGTGCGTATCTCCAGGAAGCAAAGCGAACTGACCCAGTTATTAGTTCTTGACCTACCGCAACTCTACACAAAACCTTCCGCCGAAACGCTTCTCGAAACGCTTAACCTTCTTACGCTTACGCCGCAATCGTGGGATGTCGATAAGGGTTCAAATACTGACTTGGAACATCCTGCGCATACGGAGAAACAGGCAAGGCGGAGAGCGGTCCAAGTGAACCCTCAAGGAGTCACACGGTACCTCACAAGTATTGTGAGCAATCCCCTGAAGTGGATACACGATGACGAGGTCAGAGAAGAGATCTGGAACCAAGCAAGTTCCAGACTCAGCGAGCGCTCAGGCCGTACCGCTATGGGCGCATTGTCTCGGGATTTTCGGATACCTTCGGCTACGAGCTCTTTCAGCCTGAGCATCCACGAACCTACATTGACCGGCGACGATCTGGGATTGAAGACTTGGGCTGCTTCCTACATGCTCTCCAAACGGCTACATAAGTTCATTCTTGTCAAGTCAACACAAGAAACCAGACCATCGATACTGGAATTGGGGTCAGGCACTGGGCTGGTGGGACTGGCTATGGCTGCTCTCGGAGCAGACGTCGTACTCACAGACCTACCCAACATACACGATAACCTCGCGCGCAACGCGAAAGGAAACTCTATTCTTATCGAGCAGAAAGGCGGTTCAACACGGACTGGGATATTAGACTGGACACAGCCAGCGTCTTGCGAGGTATTCACCAACGGCGTCGTTACCGAAACGCTCCACGCTGCCACGTCGAAGTTTCCCATTATACTTGCAGCCGATTCGCTGTATTCCCCAGAGCACCCGCGCATGCTGGTCGAAACAATCGCAGCATGGCTTTCCAAGGAAGCCCGCGCTCAAGTCATAGCCGAGTTCCCATATCGAGAAGCCTATCTGCCAGAGATCAAAGACTTCCGGGAGCGGATGGAATGCATTGGACTCTTTGTTCTGGAAGAAGGAGAAGAAAGTGGATTCGATGACTGGGGCGCTTCTGGAGCAGCTGATGGCGAAGAAGACAGAGCGCTCGTGACCTGTTGGTGGTCTCACTGGGGCAGAAGGGATCAATGATCCACTTTGTCTCCGCCCACGGTGATCCTCCGACCACTGCAACGGCATTCCTGGACAAACATCACGATACTGTGAATGTGCCCATATTTACCGGCTATTGAACCTTAGCATTGATTCTGGCGGAGCTCAACAACCTGACCGACTGGTTGTTCCCCCTACGGGTTGTTCCCCCTATGGGTTTGGAAACATCGTGAGCCGCGGTGTATCAACCATTAGCGTCCTCGGTGAATCGCCGAGGAACCAAAAACCGACTCCGATATCAGACGCCGGATAAATTGCGTGGTTGATTACACGCATCTAGAATCATACTTGCACTAGCGGAGCCCTCGGCGGGATAGCTAAACGCGAGTTACCGCTGCGGCTCCACTCCTCTTTTCGTCATAAATCCACAGCTTTTTGGTCGCGCGTGAGCATCTTGACAGCTTGCGTCCCTGTACCTCTGCTCCCCTTTTTCTCACTGTGTCCAACGTCTCATACCTCCTGTTGTAATACCAGCAAATAACTACACATACCCACAAGTTGCAACGATGTGTCAATTCCACAACCAGAAGGTAGAGTTCCAACCCCACCACCCCGCGCGCCGACCCCAAACAATAGCCTTAAACGGGCCAATTGCTGTCGCGCAGACCTAACTACCTCTCAGAACCCTTCTTTCGTCCTGAAGCAGAAAGATGAAGTCGTTTACGAAGACCGCCCGATTCCCGAACTCCCCTCGCCTTACGATGTCCTTGTAAAGCCTAAGTGGACAGGCATCTGCGGTTCAGATGTTCACTACTGGGTCGAAGGCCGCATCGGCCACTTCGTCGTCGAGAAGCCCATGGTCCTTGGTCACGAGTCCGCCGGCATTGTCGAGAAGGTCGGTGACCGGGTCACAACATTGAAGGTTGGCGACCGCGTCGCAATGGAGCCCGGTGTTCCCTGCCGCCGTTGCGTGCGCTGCAAGGAGGGCAAGTACAACCTCTGCCCGGACATGGCTTTCGCCGCGACACCGCCCTACGACGGTACCCTCGCCAGGTACTATACTCTGCCCGAGGACTACTGCTACAAGCTGCCCGAAAACATGAGCCTGGAGGAGGGCGCGCTTATCGAACCCACGGCCGTCGCAGTCCACATCACGAGACAAGCAGCCATCAAGCCCGGCGACAGCGTCGTCGTGTTCGGCGCTGGCCCTGTTGGGTTGCTGTGCTGTGCCGTCGCAAAGGCGTACGGCGCGAAGAAAATCGTCACAGTCGACATCAACGACGAGAGACTGAAGTTCGCACTCAAATACGCGGCAAACGCCAGCTTCAAGAGCGCCCGCGTCAGCGCACAGGAGAACGCTGAGACCCTCATCAAGGAGTGCGAGCTCGGCGCTGGTGCGGATATCATCATCGACGCCTCCGGTGCTGAGCCGTGCATCCAGACGGCCATCCACGCCCTTCGCATGGGCGGCACTTACGTCCAGGTTCGCATCTCCCCTCCCATCCTGTCTAACTACGCAGAATATGGCTAATAGCGATCAACAGGGTGGCATGGGCAAACCCGACATCACGTTCCCCATCGTGGCCATGTGCACTAAGGAGCTCAACGTTAAGGGCAGCTTCCGCTACGGCGCGGGCGACTACCAGACTGCTATCGATCTTGTTGCGAGCCAGCGGATCAGCGTCAAGGAGCTCATTACAGGGAAGGTCAGCTTCGAGGAGGCCGAGAGAGCGTTTGCGGATGTCAAGCAGGGTAAGGGGATCAAGATCTTGATTGAGGGACCTAGGGAATAGAAGAATTGAGGATGCAAAGGCAGAACGTGTGAACGACGAAAATATGCAATGGTCAGCGTGTGGACTGTCCACGACGAACACGTATGTGCGTGAGATCGGGGGTGAACGTGGAGCAAATGCAACAGCGCTGATGGGACCCCTTGACCTCGATCCCTCACGTTCACCTTACACCTGCACTGAATTGTCGATGATCTCTGCTATTGAAACGACTGGTGGCCTAGCTGATCCCATCCCAAGGCTATCAACAACCACCGTCTACGGCTGCGTACCTGTTGCTGCTACACCTACAACCTCGGCCCAGCGCTCGCCTGCCACCGTCAGCTCAACACGCCACCAAATACCGAGACGTACGGCCTCATACCTTTCCCCACGCGATCTTGACATAGGCCTCGACATCGCCCCACAGCGCCTCCGGCTGCTCGAGCGCCGCGAAGTGGCCCCCGTGCTCGTGCTCTTCGTACGTGACCAGGTTGACGCCCTTCTCCACCACCCTCTTGAAGCCGGGGGACAGCTCGTGCGGGAAGAACGAGAACCCAGTGGGCTTGGAGATGTACACGTTGGGCACGGCTGCGGCGCCCAGCACCTTGCTGAACAGCTGGCGGTACGGATACAGCGAGGTTAGTATGCTGGATGTGTACCAGTACAGTGTGATGTTGGTTAGGATGTGGTCGAGCGGGGGCGTCGTGTCGGTCCATTCAATGAGCTTCTCGGCGATCCTGGGGAGGGACGTTAGTAAGGGTCTGTGGCTTGTCGTGTAGAGATGGGGGCGGGGACTGGAATGTCTCATCGCGTTCCGGGACTCGGGGCGGGAGAGGACTCACCAGGCAAGCAGCGCAAGCGGATTCGAGCTCAGAACGCTGCCGATGGTGCTGGGGCGAGTGGCATGCTCCTGCGCATACGCAATCCCCGTCTCTTGCCACGCCTGCGCGGAGGCGATCGACTTCTTCTCGAGCTCTGAGAGCTCCAGGTTGTCAGTCTGTCCGGTGAACATGTTCAAGTGAATCCCCACGCATTCATCGTATCTCGCCGCACTCGATTGTGCAACGAAACTTCCGACATCGCCGCCCTGCGCAATGTACTTGGTGAAGCCGAGGTTCACCATCAGCTGGTTGAGCACCGTGCTACTCTCTTCCATGGTCCAATCGCGGTCTGTCGGGCGCGGCGAGAGCGGGTATCCGGGGAGCGAGGGCACGATGATGTGGTACGGAAGGTCCTTTGCATCAGGGTACTGGGTCCGGATGAGGTTGAGCATGGGCAGAAACTCGACGAAGGAGCCGGGCCAGCCGTGCAGGAGCTGTATGGGGATGGCGTCCTTTTTTGAGGAGAAGAGGGCGACGAAGTGTACATCGACGCCGTCAATGGCCATGCGATAGTTGGGGAACGAGTTTATGCGCCTCTCCTCGGCGCGCCAGTCGTACGTGTTCAGCCAGTAGTCCTTTGTCTCGCGAAGCCACTTGTGCGTGACGCCGTAGCGGCCGTCTTCATGGGAGCCTTCCCATGTTTCGGGCGCGAGCTTGGAGAGCGTGAGGAGCTGGCGCCACTCATCGATATCCTGGTCCGGTATATTGAGCGTGAAGGGCTTCGCGGAGCTGGGTGGTGAGTACGACATGGCTGTTGCTGTTGAAGGGAAACTGGATGGATAGATGAGAATCAACTAATTGTGTTATTGATACTTAAGAGATATAGTATTTAAGCTGGCTATGTAAGTCGTTAGCTATGACGCGGAGCTATGTAACTCCGGGGCATGGAGGCTCGGTGTACTGTAGGCTGCATTCAGGAAGCTAAACAGCTCCGGACTAGTCCATTCGTGGGCATTTGTCGCGCCGAGAACAGCTACGCTGGCGGGCGTCTGGGGAGCAGACCTTAGTGTGCACCACTGAAGCTGTGCCAGATGAGAGATGGACAGCGCTAGGACAGGGCCCGAGCTCAACAGAACGGATGGCATTTTACCGGCGCCGGACGATCATGGGCAGGATGGAAGTCGACACGGGAAGATGGTGCTGTTGTAACCGTCGTGTCCGGACGGTGGAGATAACTAAGCAGCGTGCACGCTCTGGTGGATCTCGGGCGTCGGGAGGTGCTGCGAGTGCATGCGTCATCTCCAAGCGCAATCGGCAAGGCTCTAGCGCGGGGCTTTTTCTCGCGGGGCGATGCAGGCGGTGCAGCGACGGGCGTGATTGGCAGCTGTCGCCATCCATCCCAACTTTTTCCGTGCTGGGAGTCACCACTGGTGTCCTGCACACAGCCGTACGCATACTCGTGTACCTTCAACAATAAATCGTGGTGACCTGAAGCCACTCACTGCGATCTCGCAAAGCTCACCATGGCGCCCGCGTTTCTCGCTGCAATTGACCCCGCCACATTCGCGCAGTCGCAGTCGCAGTCGCAGTCGCAGTCCCAGTCCCAGTCGCAGCTGGGCCTTAGCCCGCAGGCGCTGTCGTTCGTCGGCCATGTCTTCGCGCAGGTCGCAGACAGCACCGTCGACCAGACCCTCGCTCACCTGCAGCAGTCGGTCGGCCGCCTCGCCAGCTACCTCGGCGTCGCCGACGTTTCCTCGGCCGATGACGTCGTATCGCTCCTCGACGCCGGCGCTGCAAAGGTCTTCGTCACGCGGACCCAATTGGACGCATTGAAGGCCAAGAGCATCGACCAGGACCGGCTGGTGCTCTGCCTGCCGGGCAACAGCCGCGACGAGATCATCAACGCCATTGCCGGTACCCAAGTCGACATCTATGCCCACCAGATCGAGGACGTCGCCCTGCTCGAGGCATGGCTCAACGAGTACGGCACCGACAGGCCCGACGTCTTTGTATCCTTCGCGACGCCAGAGCTCGACAGCGTCCAGCGCATCGCAAAGCTCTCGGCCATCCCCATCGTCCCCGCCGCCGCCCTCACCGTCGACGGCCAAAAGGAGCCTTCGTCGATCAGCGTCGCCAAGCTCGTCATGGCCAATGCGACCAGCGACCGACCGGACGGCCTGTTCACAACCCTCGTCACTGACGAGCGGGGCACGGCGCTGGGACTGGTATACAGCAGCGAGGAGAGCGTGGCAGAGAGCCTGAGGACCGGTCGCGGCGTGTACCAGAGCCGCAAGCGCGGTCTGTGGTACAAGGGTGAGAGCAGCGGAGATATTCAAGAGCTCGTTTCGCTGGCACTGGACTGCGACAACGACTGTCTGCGGTTCGTCGTCCGCCAGAAGGGACGCGGCTTCTGCCACTTGGCCACGCCGACCTGCTTCGGCCAGTACAGCGGGCTGTCCAAGCTGCAGAAGACGCTCCAGGACCGCAAAGATTCTGCCCCCGAAGGCTCGTACACTGCACGGCTGTTCAACGACTCGCAACTGCTCAGGGCCAAGATCTTGGAGGAGGCTGCCGAGCTCTGCGATGCCACAACGAAGGAGCACATCGCCTTTGAGGCCGCCGACCTCTTCTACTTTGCCCTGACCAAGTGCGTCGCTGCCGGTGTATCGCTGGAGGATGTCGAGCGCAACTTGGACGCAAAGAGCATAAAGGTGAAGAGGCGGCAGGGAGACGCCAAACCCGCATTTGCTGCGCAGGCGGCAGCCGCGACCAATGGTACAAATGGCACAAGCGGCACGAAGCCTACCGAGGAGAAGTTTAAGGAGGCTGCCTCAGTGCCGAAGAGCAAGGACGACTCGGCTGGCATCAAGAACGGACGCATCGCTATGAGGAGATACATCGCCGCCGACGAGACATCCGAGACAATTGCTTCTGTGCTGCAGCGACCTTCGCAACGATCGACTGACAAGATCCTTGAGATCTGCCGGCCCATCATCGAGAACGTCAAGACAAACGGTGACAGGGCGCTGCTCGAGTACACTCACAAGTTCGAAAAGGCAACTTCCTTGACATCGACCATTTTGAAGGCACCCTTCCCTCAGGAACTTATGCAACTAGCACCGGAGACCGCCAAGGCTATTGACGTTTCTTTTGAGAACATCCGCAAGTTCCATGCCGCTCAGAAGGAGGACAAGCCCCTGACGGTCGAAACAATGCCAGGCGTCGTATGCTCGCGATTTGCCCGACCGATCGAGAGGGTTGGTCTCTATGTTCCTGGTGGTACCGCTGTTTTGCCTTCCACCGCTCTGATGCTGGGTGTGCCCGCTATGGTAGCAGGATGTAAGACATTGGTCATTGCCACACCACCGCGTTCGAACGGCAAGGTGACCCCGGAGGTTGTCTACGCCGCGCACAAGGTCGGCGCATCAGCCATTGTTCTTGCAGGTGGCGCACAGGCTGTCGCAGCGATGGCTTACGGCACAGAGAGCGTACCCAAGGTCGACAAGATCCTTGGCCCTGGTAACCAGTTCGTCACTGCAGCGAAGATGTTCGTTTCTAACGACACCAACGCTGGAGTCAGCATTGACATGCCTGCTGGCCCCAGTGAACTCCTGGTGGTTGCGGACAAGACGGCTGACCCAGCCTTTGTTGCTTCGGATCTGCTGAGTCAGGCTGAGCACGGTGTCGATTCTCAGGTCATCTTGATCGCAGTCGGACTGAGCGAGACTCAATTGAGCGCGATCGAGGATGAACTTCACAAGCAGGCCGTTGCTCTCCCACGTGTTGACATCGTCCGTGGAGCCATCGAACACTCTATCACGCTGGCTGTCGATGACATTCAGGAGGCTATGAGACTGAGTAACGAGTACGCACCAGAGCACCTGATTCTCCAGGTTGAGGACGCGGAGAAGGTTGTGGACCTAGTCGAGAACGCCGGCAGTGTGTTCGTTGGCCACTGGACACCAGAGTCTGTCGGTGACTACAGCGCCGGTGTCAACCACTCCCTTCGTAAGTGGAGCCCTTAGCGAAGGATTCGCTCAAATACTAACATGAATGCAGCCACCTACGGATACGCAAAGCAGTACTCCGGAGTCAACCTAGGCTCCTACATCAAGCACATCACCAGCGCGAACCTCACAAGGCAAGGTCTTGAAAACGTCGGCGCTGCAGTCATGGAGCTTGCACGCGTAGAAGAGCTCGAGGCTCACCGTCGCGCCGTGAGCTTGCGCCTGGGCGTAGCTTGAGTGAATATGCAATGAGCAACACTAGTTCCGGTTCAACGTTTTAGACGCGCATTATGCATCCAGATGGCGAAGTTCCTGGACTGATTGGTGGAGTTTCAGGTGTTTATGCTTTAGACATGTGGGGATGACAAGAAACAGCAGCAATCTAGAGACCCGGAGTTGTGCATGGATACGGCACGATGTAGATACACTTTAACCCGTATTAGACCCGGCGGCTCTGCTGGGCCGAGGCTCCAGATGAATCAACTTTCTGTCCACCAACACCACCATCGCTACTGCAGCTCAATAACAGTCTTACTACTACTCCTTGACACCGGAGAACGGCTTGCGCATCTTCTGGAATTATTGCGGTCTTGGCATGCAGTCGCAGCTAGCATGTCTTGGGCGAGTGAAAAGAGGCATAAAATGAGGTTGTCAATGATCTTCAGGATCTCGTTTCAAACTTCATGAAACGGATCCTCCCAGCACGATCGGCCCACAGGACCAGCACACGCACATTTCGTCTTTCATATAATAGACTGCTATCCATTTGAATTCATTCGTCATTCGGTCGCACCCCTTCACCATCTGCCTTTGCTCTATCTTCTTGGAAGCGTGCTTCCTGACATTCATTTATTCGCCTCTACACTCTTTTGACAAGACCTAACTTCTATACATTGTCCTGCCGAACCCGAAAATAAAATGCACTTCCGTGGTTCATCCCTTTACTTCACGGTCGTCGGCCTGACCTCCACGACCGCTGTCCTCGCTGCCGTCCAGCCCTACGGACAGTGCGGTGGTCAGACCTACTCTGGCGAGACAGCTTGCACTGATGGCTGGGGCTGCAAGCAGTGGAACGACTACTACTCGCAGTGTATCGAAGGTGCGAGTGACTCGACACCTTCCAGCGTACCTTCCGCCGCGCCTGTTCCCAGCAACAACGCAACTTCCACTCCTGCGGCTCCTGTCCAGACTAGCCCTGCTACGTCAGCTGCTTCGGTACCGATTGCTATTCCCACCACCTTAGCGACCAAGATCATATCCTCCTCCAGCCTAGCAGTCATCCCCGAGGATGTCTCTACATCAGTCGTAGTGATTTCCACCAGCGCTGCCGCCCCGAGCGCCACTCCCAGCGCGGGCGCTGGCAACAGCACTAGCAGCTTTGCCAATGGTGAGGACTGCTCCCTTGATGCAGTCTTCAAGGCCAAGGGCAAGAAGTACTTCGGAACAGCAACAGACAAGGGCCGTCTGACCGCAGGCGACAACGCTGCCATCATCAAGGCAGACTTTGGCCAGGTCACACCCGAGAACAGGTACGCATCCCGTCTAAAACATCTCCTCCAAATTGAACACCTTCGCTAATACCTACCAGCATGAAGTGGGACGCCACCGAGAATGTCGAGGGCACATTCACACTCGACGGTGCCGACTACCTTGTCGACTGGGCCACCACCAACGACAAGTTGATCCGCGGCCACACCACTGTGTGGCACAGCCAATTGCCCACATGGGTCTCCTCGATCACCGACAAGACGAAGCTTGAGGATGTGATGAAAGCTCACATCAACAAGCTCATCGGCGGCTACAAGGGCAAGGTCTACGCATGGGTACGTCTTCACCTCGTCCTTCCACTCATGAAACACTTACTGACGTAACTTCAGGACGTCGTTAACGAGGTCTTCGGCGAAGACGGCACATTCCGCTCCTCCGTATTCTACAACGTTCTCGGTGAAGGTTTCATAAAGACAGCCTTTGAGACCGCCCGTGCCGCTGATCCCGCCGCCAAACTGTACATCAACGACTACAACCTCGACTCCGCGTCCTACACAAAGACTAAGGCTATGGTTTCCAAGGTGCAGGAGTGGGTCGCTGCCGGTGTACCCATTGACGGCATTGGTTCGCAGGCTCACCTGGCCAACAACTGGCCGATCGCCGACTTCCCAGGTGCGCTTAAGGCGCTGTGTGCTGTCGTCGAGGAGTGTGCGATTACCGAGTTGGATATCAAGGGTGCTAGCGCGAGCGATTACGAGACCGCTGTTGGTGCTTGTGCGGATGTCAAGAACTGCGTCGGCGTCACAGTCTGGGGTGTTCGTGACCCGGACTCGTGGAGGCCTACTAGCACTCCCCTCCTATTTGACGATGCGTACATGGCAAAGGAGGCTTACAACGGGCTGTGCAAGGCTCTCGCTTAAGGGCGAGCGATTGGAATTGAGGACTTTTTCTATTTTGGCTGTACATATATTGGGGCGACTTTGGTGCGTGAGATGACCTGAACAAGGAGATCCATAGATAGTATCCGTCAATATAGAACGATTGACTTCTACCTTTCGGATGACACAAGTCGGACAAGTGGCTCTGGCCATGAAGATTCCAGGAAGCACGACATCGCTCCCTGCAGGCTCATCACTTCCGCGCTGGAGACAGCAGTGCACCGTCTGGCAGCTCTCGCGCAAGACCACATGATGACGGCGGATCTGGCTCTGAAGCTTTTCAGCAGCACATTTACGGTTACACTAGCAGCAGTCTCGTCTGTTGTGTCTTGTAAGGGTAGTGCTTCTCGGTCTTCTTCGTGATCAATGTGGCTGATTAACACTCAATATTGCAGATTCACAATCCATCACATCACTTGGAGCATACTTATATGGACAGGCTGCCGATGAGGGGTATACGAATTCAATTTGTTTCAGTTCAGTTCCGTTCATTCCGTCGTCACAACCTAGGACTTGTACACGTGGATGACGTGCGGGTTGCAGTACGCAAGCAGTCCCGTCTTGCCCCACTCGCCGCCAATGCCACTCTCCTTGTGACCGCCAAAGGTAGCCTGGGGCGTAGGCTTCTCGTACGAGTTGACGAAGACGGAGCCCGCCTCGAGCCTGCGCGCAATCTGGCTCGCCTTCTCGACGTCCTTGCCCCACACGCAGGCACCCAGGCCGGTGTTTGTGTCATTGGCGCGGGCGATGACTTCCTCGAGGTCGGACCACGGCTGGGTGGGCACGATGGGGCCGAATGGCTCTTCCTGAATGATGCGCGAGTCGTTGGGCGGGTTGTCGATGATGGTCGGCTGGACGAAGTAGCCCTTTCCTGTCTGGACGTCTGGCGCGCCGACGGCGAACGTGTAGCCGTTTGACTTTGAGTCCTCGAAGAAGCCCTTGACACGGTCGTACTGCATCTTGTTCTGCACGGGGCCGAGCAGGTTGTCGCCGTCGTCGGGGTTGCCGACCTTGACGTTCTTGGTGAAGGCGACCATCTCCGCGACGAACTCCTTGTAGATGGACTCATGGATGTAGATGCGCTTTGTGGCGACGCACACCTGGCCCGAGTTCTGGAAGGCGCCCATGGCGACCTCGGGGGCGATCTTCTTGATGTCGACGTCGGGGAGGATGATGGAGGCGTCGTTTCCGCCGAGCTCGAGAGTGACGCGCTTGAGCGTCTTTGAGGATGTCTCCATGACCTTCTTTCCTGTGGCGGTGGAGCCGGTGAAGGAGATCTTTGCAATGTCGGGGTGCTTGCACATCTCTGCGCCGAGCTCGTTGTTACCACCAACAACCTGGATGACACCGGGAGGGAAGATCTGCTGAGCCAGCTCGGCGAACTTCAGTGCGGTGTAGGGCGTGAACGGCGAGGGCTTGACGATGATGGTGTTTCCGGTCATGATGGCGGGGGCGACCTTGCCGACTGACAGGATCAGAGGGAAATTCCACGGGCAGATAGCTGCGCATACACCGAGGGGTGAGTATTCTGTGTAGACTGTCTTCTCGTCGTCCTCGAAGCTCTCGGAGGGTATGTCGAGCGTAGTGTGGTAGCCGATGAAGCCGGCGACGCCGCCAACCTCCGTGGCAGCGAACTTTCTCTGTGCTGTTGTCAGTTCAATTCAGAGCTAATCCGAAGCGGGAGACTTACAGGCTTGCCAGACTCCTTGCAGAGCAGAGTGACGAACTCGTCCTCGTGCTGCTGGAATAGGCCGATCAGCTGGCCGAGCATCTCCTTGCGCTTCTCGACTGGTGTCGCCTTCCATGAAGGGAACGCCTTCTTTGCGGCGGCGACAGCATCGTTCAGGTCCTGCGTGGACGCGATGGGGACGTCCCAAAGTTCAAGGCCCGTGGAAGGGTTGATACCGTGGTGGATCTGGTCAGAGCCACGCTTCTCGCCATTGACGATGTTGTAGAACTTCTCGAAATCGAGAGTAGAGATCTTTCCGGGAGACATGTTTATGTTGTTTGAGGTGATGTAGGTGGGATTGATTTCTGGCTGCGGGCTGGGCTACGCTTAATACTTGAAAGCAAGCACGCCCTGCAGTTCGCCACTGGCCTTGGATTACTAGATCGCCTCCCTTACCCTCGGCAGTGCCATTTCATGGCTGACGGAGCTGCCTCTTGGCCTTGTCTCAGCCAGCATCTACAGTACCCCACCTTGCCCCGCAGTAGTTAGTACTAAAGCGTGGCCGAGTGCGATGCCGGGACCCACTCGTAGCCCACGGCGCGGTGGAGCTAGGCCGCCTGCTTACAAGGCCGATGATAGTAATCATAGTAAACCGCCTTGATGACCATTGCAGATCGGGTTCTGTGGTGCTTAGTGCTGGCGTAGTCGACTTGCTGATGCTGATATATGCTGACGAGAGCAGCCGAATGGCAATCCGATTTCTGAGTACCCTAGCCACCGCGCAGCAGGTGCAGCAACACAGAACGGAATGCTGATCCTGGCAGGTGTACCCTGCAGGTTATGAACATGGAACGACCCGCCTGTGTGCGTTGCTGTTGTCCCAAAGTGTCTTTACTAGTATCAATCGAGTTGAGCCTCGGTCTAGGCAGCTTGTCTGGACGAATTTTTGACCGTCTTCGTGGGGCCGCGCAAGTATAAAATAGGCGCAGGTGGGTCGACGGATATCTGGCGTGTATGGTTTCAGTCGGACTGAAGAAGTCCACGGACGTCTTGGGGTTGTGAGGTGTGAACCTGGGAGATTGACAGTGCAACGTGTTACCGGTAGGTACCTAGCGCGCGCAGCTTTTCCGCTCGAACTGCAATAGGATCTGTCGACCACCTGAGATCTTCTCAAACATTATCGCACTCGTCCAGGACCGGGGAGATGTGCAACAGTCGCACAAATAGCTTGCGCTGATGCTGATAGAGTTACATAACAGGTAGCATTGGAACAGACGTCTTGCTAAGCTTCTGCCAGGCTGGGTCGTCAGCGCCGCCACATGCATCTTACATCCATCACGAGGCGCGCTTATCTGGAATAAGGCGACCTGCATCTCAAAGGATCAGCCTTGTTTGAGCCTCAACGTCGCACAGTCTACTTCGTAAAGCCTCGCTGGTGGCCTTGACGTAGCAGGTATGTATGCGAGACACGCATGGCGACTACTCCAATGCCAGAACCTCGACGAAACCGACAGATTCTCCACTCTGTTCAGAGGCGACAAGATCGTCCCACCTGAGTAAGTCAACAAGTCCAGAGGCTCAGTCACAACAGCAGGACGTGGGCAGATCTTCAGACCGCGAGGAAATGTGTTCCCCAGGAGGTATTCGCTCTGCTCTTCAGTCTGCGTGTTGGGTTTTACAGAGAAAGTTCTTTTTTATACGCAGGTTCTGCCATTTTGAACTAGGGGCAGTACGACAGATCTGTCGCTCAAGCATTCAATGCAGAGCCTAACGTAATGATCCTCGACTTATATTTGAAAGTGGTCCTGTGAGAGAGCATTACATGTATGTTCTACACAAGGGTCACCATTGCTATCATTGTAGTGCTCTTTTCTTTCCGCGCTGCTAACTCTTGTCATGTTGTCATTTTGCTTGCTCTCGCGTTGTTGCGACGCCTTTTTCAACCTTCCCCGCTCCTCTCCATCTCCATGCCTTGGTCTTCACTTGGCTTTGATTGACGAGCCTGCTTTTTGCCCTGCTTCTCTGAGATTCTGAATTGCATGTCTTTGTTCGAGCTGTCCGTGGTCTCGCTTCCCGGATCCAGACGTCGTCTACAGCAGGCCTCAGATGGTTCCCACAGACGCACGCAGGCCAGCATTACAGTTTGCTAACATGGCGGCGATTCCCTCTCTCGATGGCACCTCCTGCCTCATAAGGCTCGCGGCCGTTGTCTAACACCTCCAGCATTCGCCAACGCAACACCCCTGAACCTCGTCGCCGAGCATGACTTACCCGCTACCAGACTGTTCTCGGGCTCGACTGAGGTCTTCCAATCTATAATATACGACTTTTGTCTCCGCTGAGCACGTTGCGCTGGACGAACGTGCGGGGCACTCGGATCTGGGGTTCTTGTCGTTCACCCCGGATATCGTCAGCGTTCTGGATGCGGATCGTTTGGACGCGCCCAGCGACTGGTCTGTCACCGCAGAGCGTTTATTCGAACACGAAGGCTTTTCTGACGGAGGTGGCGCAGTTCATATGCAGTTCATACGCAGTTCATATGCAGTTCATACGCAGTTCATATGCAGTCCAGGTGCAGTTCAGGTGCAGTTCATATGCAGTTCAGGTGCAGTTCATATGCAGTTCAGGATGCGGTCACTAGGTTCGCAGAGACCTCCGGACCAGTGCAGTGATCAGTGCCAGGGAGCAGGTGGTTGGCACCTCTGTGCAGCGACTACAAGCAGGCACGTCGCCAGTCGAATCGATCTACTCAGCTGGCTGTAGTAGCGATAGATTGGGCTACACAGACCTAAGGTCTGGATCCCCCGACCGAGCGTCTACCGGCTCGTGATTCCTCGCGGCACATAAAGACAACCAGAGACCACGCCGACCAGTCCCGGAAAACAGACCGACAATCTCTACCTAGATCTTGCCTCGCTGTTCAGAATGAAGCTCGCACTCCCCGTCGCGGCCCTAGCCTCCGCCCTCCCGCAGACAGCATCCACCCCCCCTCCGTCCTTCAAAATCACAAACGTCGTATCCGGCGGCACCGGCTGCCCCTCAGGCAGCATCAACGTAGAATGGACCGACGACGCGGTCCTCCCGATCCGTACGTGCGCTTCCCTACAAGACCGGTGCACTCGCACCGCAAACCACCACCGAGGCACGAGCTGAACGAGACAGATTTTGGACCGGACTTCATCGCCGCCGTGGGTCCCGGGGTAGCCACCGCAGACAGTCGCAAGTTCTGCCAGCTAAACTTGGCGCTGGCATACAGCGCGGGCTTCAGCTTTGCCGTGTACAGCGTGTCGTACACGGGGTTCGCCGACGTGGACGCGGGCGTCACTGGGACGGTGGGGAGTAACTGCTATTTCTCGGGGGAGACGGATCAGGTACGTTTGTCTGAAGCTATTCGTCGGCAGTGCAGTGCTGACGACGACAGACATGGACGTCCACAACCCTGACTGGGCCAGCGAGGCTCGACTTCGCAAAGCGCGATGCTGCCAATGTTGCGCTCTGGTCGCCGTGCAGCGGGGCCGCGCTGTTCAATGTCGATGCGAGTGTGGCGCTGACGCCGCTTGCTGGGTCGGCGAGCGGGGTGCTAGGGATCGCCGAGGAGAGCGGGAGGCTGAGCAACAGTCTGTATGTTGTGTGGAAGAAGTGCGAGCAGACGTAGGGCATGAGGGGATACGCCAGGGGTGGAGCGAGCGAGTCTGTCAGAGAGGGAACGGAGTGGTTGTGCTATGACTTTGATTACATGACTGTGATTGTGATTGTCAATGCTATGACTTTCATTACATGACTGTGATTGTGATTGTCAATGCTGATGCTGGTGCTGGTGCTGATGCTACGACGGCCGGTGCGCTGGATTCCAGGAACTCGTCGACCCAAAGTCGTCGCCCTCGGCGCTCATCCCATCATGCGTCCCCTCCCCATCATGCGTGCCCTCCCCATCATGCATCCCCTCCCCATCATGCGTCCCCTCCCCATCATGCGTCCCCTCATCGCCCGACTCGCTCCCGCCACAGCCCGACTCGCTCACGCCCTCGCCGTCTTCATCTCCGCCCAAAGAGCCACCGCCCAGCGTCTCGGCGTAGGGCGGCGGCGCCAGCTCCTCGCCGCCCTCGACCCACACGCTCTCCAACTCGCGCTCGATTTCCGACCTGCGCGCCTTCCACTGCTCGACGCTCGCGAGGCGGTCGCGCAGCTCGGCGAGCTCCTTTTCGACCGACGACTTCTCCGTCGCGGAGCCGATGCGCGTAAACTCCCATTCTTCGCTGGACTCGCCGAGGCCCAGGGTGAGGAGGTGCGTGTGGTAGCGTTTGAGGGAGGCGCGGGTGGATACTGTTATTAGTGCTGGGTTGTTGGGTTAGGATGTGTTGGGATGGGTTGGGTTGGGTTGGGATATGATGGGTTGGGATGGGATGGGATGGGATGGGATGGGTTGGGTTGGGATATGATGGGTTGGGTTGGGTTGGGATGGAGTGGGATGGGATGGGTTGGGTTGGAGGGGAGATGGAGGGGGGATGGAGGGGGGATGGAGGGGAAAATAGAGGGGAGATGGAGGGGAAAATAGAGGGCAGACGGAGGGGAAATGGAGGGAGACTCACTGATTCCCTTTGCCTTGCAGCGCTCGTACAGCAGTCCCTCGACGTCGGATGAGACGGCCGAGGTGCCCTCATCGATGAAGGCGTAGCGTGGCTCGTGGTAGAGCAGGCGCGCGATGCCGATGCGCTGCTTCTCGCCGCCGCTGAAGACGTCTTTCCACACCTTCTTCGTGTCCCAGCCGCCCTCGCGGTCCGACATGTAGCCCAGCTTGGCCTCGTCGAGGACGGCTTGCAGCTCCGCGTCGCGGCGGCCGGCGTCCTTCATGTCGACGGCCGTGTGCGGGTAGATGACCTGGTCGCGCAGCGTGCCGGTGGACAGGTACGGGCGCTGCGGCAGGAACATGATGCCGTCCGTGCCGACGGAGCGCGGCCGCGAGACCAAGCCGCGGTACACAGGCCACAGGCCGGCTGCGATGCGTGCGACGGCGCTCTTGCCGACGCCGTTGGGGCCCGTGATGAGCAGGTGCTCGCCGGCGTGCACGATAAAGGACAGGCTCTCGAGCAGCTCGTCGCCGCCGCGCGGATGCAGCGAGGGGGCCACGACGGGGACGTGTTCGAGGCGCAGGCCGTCGAAGCCGCGGTGCACGGTGCCCTGGATGTCGGCGACCGAGTAGAGCTCTGGCCGAGTGCCTGGGGGCGCCGAGTACGCGTCGGCGTGGACGCGGTGCAGAGTGCTGATCAGCGTGTACACGCGCGACGTGTAGCCCGCGAGCTCGGACAGGTCCTTGATGCTGTACATCATCCGCCCGCCGGCGTCGGCGAGCGAGAGCATGAGGCGCTTGTTTGTGATGAAGTCTTTCATGCGGTTGCGCTCGCGGCCCTGTCTCTCGCCCGCGAGGCCGGGGAGCGCGGCCCTAGCGTCCAGACCGCCCCACGCGGGGAGGAAGACGGGCAGGGAGGTGATGAGGTAGCCAAACGCAGACCAGGAGTACTTGAGCACAAAGTCCTCGAGCATGTTGTAGCGGATCTTGAGGCTGTAGATGCCTTCCATCCAGTGCTTGAGGTCCTTGAAGCCGCGCTCGAGAAAGTGCTTCTCCATCTGGTCGCCGCCGTAGAAGGCGACTTCTTCGGCGTTGGCAATCAGGCGGGCGTGCAGGGCGCGGAAGTCGCCTTCGCGGCGGCCCTCGACGGCCTTGAGCTTGCCAAACGGCGGCGAGAGCCGCCGCAGGACCGTGGCCGTCACGAGGTAGTTGCTCAGCAGCGCCGTCAGGGCAATGGGCCCCAGCGAGCGGAACAGCTGGTAGTTGAAGACACACAGGTCGACGGCAGGCTTGCCCAGCGACGAGTACAGCGACGCGGCGGCCGTGCAGAACAGCGTCAGGTCCTGCGTGATGAACTGGTCGGCGCCCTGCCCGACCCCGCCGTCCAGGTTGGCGAGGCGGTAGTAGTTCAGGCGGTCGTTGAGGTACAGGTCGTGGATGTAGCGCGTGAGGCGGGTGCGGAAGGCGATGGCGACCTTTGCCTGCAGGAACTTGATCATGGCGTTGGTGTACGACGACAGCGTGCCGACGCCCAGCCACTTTCCAATGCCCCAGAGGAAGGCGGTGCCGTTGCCGGCGACCAGGTCGCGCACAATGTCGCCGTCGAGGCGGGCGACGAGCAGCGACAGGTACGTGCGCAGCATCAGGAACACGCCGTGGCCGAGCAGCAGGCCCGTTTCCTTGCTGTTCCAGCGCGGGACCATGATGCTCAGCAGGCTGAGGAACTGGTGCAGGAACGCCAGGTTGAGCCCCGGCTTCGCGTGCGGCGGCGGCGCCTGCGGGCTGCTCGCGTCGGGCGTCGCGTCGGACATCCTCGCGGCGCGCGGCGGCTGCAGGAAGAGGCGGCGGTGGGCATCGAACGTGGTCGGCTTGGTCGGGTGGATGACGACCTTGGACGTTGCGTCGCGGTACGGCACGAAGACGGTCCTGCTGCCGTCCTTGTTCTTCAGCCCCGAGTTGCGTCGCAGCAGCCGCCTGCCCGTCTCCTTTTCCGCGCGGCGGCCCGCGTACCAGCGGCGACAGCCCTGGCCGGCGCCGACGATGGCGAGCAGCAGCGCGAGCGTCGACAGCAGCTTGGTGAGCTTCGAGGCGCCGCCCACGCGCGAGCGGACGGTGCGGGCATAGCGGTCGTAGAGGGCGAGTAGCCGATCATGCGGCGCTCGCAGCGTCGATTGAGCGGCCATCATGGGCCATGTGCGTCGTGCCGGCGACGAGCTCAGATCATGGTGTACGGACTGGGAGCGCCGTGGGCGCACTGGGCGGTGGTCCTGACCTCTGACATGTGCGAGGCGCCGGGCTGCAGCCGAGGCCCGGAGAAGACATTGTGGGGCTGACACGGAAGCTGGGGATTGTGGGGCTGGCACGCCAGACACTGCACAGTACAGATGTAGCCAGACACTGCACAGAACAGATGTAGCCAGACACTGCACAGAACAGATGTAGCCAGACACTGCACAGTATAGATACAGCCAGACACTGCACAGTGTAGATGTAGCCAGACACTGCACAGTACAGATGTAGCCAGACACTGCACAGAACAGATACAACCAGACACTGCACAGAACAGATATAGCCAGATGTTACGATCCCCTTATAACCAGCCGATTGCTGACGGGTGTCAGCATAGCCCAGAGGGTTAGCGCTGTAATAACAAGGACCTGCCCAGTACTGCACAGTTACGGCGTGGTTCATTACCAGGTCACGTGACGGGCTCACCCCTTGGCAGTCGAGCCAGGTGGACCCCACGTGACAGCTCACGCAGCTCACGGTGAGCTCGGCAAGCTCTGGCTCACGCAGCTCACGTCGAGCTCAGTGAGCCATCACGATCTCTATAGTATATAGCAAGTAGGAACACAACCCTTATGGTTCGTGTTCAACCTCGTCAATCAAGTTTGTCTTTGGAATCTCAACCCGACCTTTGAGCTAGATAGTCTACGCTATACTACTCATCGTTACCCCAAGCAGTCGTCAGGTGTTTCACCCAGCCAGCTTACCTTACTGATCCAGAGACCGTGCTCATCCCCGAGAACCAACAGAATCTGTGCTTACGAGCTTTGCTTAAAGTACGACTTCAACACCAGACACTGCACAGAACAGATGTAGCTAGACACTGCACAGAACAGATATAATCAGACACTGCACAGTATAGATATAACCAGACACTGCACAGCACAGATATAACCAGACACTGCACAGTATAGATATAACCAGACACTGCACAGTATAGATATAACCAGACACTGCACAGTATAGATACAACCAGACACTGCACAGCACAGATACAACCAGACACTGCACAGTACATGCACAACAAGACACTGCATTCTTTAGACGTCCCCGACCTCCCGCAGCGTCCTGTGCAGCTCGCTCCGCAGCCACGCGCCCAGCACATCGTACAGAAACTCCGCCTGCTCGCCCTGCCCATCGCCGCGCCAGTTCGCCAGCGCCTCGACAAGCTGCCCGCACTTCTTCAGCTCCTTGAGCACCACCTGCCGCCTCAGCCGCTCCTGCTCTGCCGCGTCGAACTCGTACAGTCCGAACTTCAGCGGCTGCATCTGCACGCTGAACCTCGAGTGCTCCGGCCCCGGCGTGAGGAGAGGCGAGGAACAGACCGAGGAACAGACCGAGGACCAGGTCGCGCTGCTGACCGATGGCGCGGAGCCCTGGGGTGCTGCGCCGGGGTCCACGCCCGCTGCCATCTGGTACCAGCTCAGGATCTTCCCTGTGATGCTTGCGTAGAGCATGGATAGATGAGGGTCGGAGGAGCACTGGCAGCTGAGCAGCTGCAGCACGCTCTGCACCGCTAGCCTCGTCGTCGACAGGACCGAGTCCAGGCTCTTGATCTCGACATTGGGCCATGGCTGTGAGCGGTCGGGACCCGTGATGTGCAGGCTCTCGAGGGTCGATTGCGCAAGTGCCGAGCAGCAGTGCGAGCTTGGCATTGCAACGCTCACGCTCAACCGCCTGTCCGACTGATCGAATGCCGTGCTCTTGGGGCTCGGCTCAGACGACGTAGACGAGCCATCTAGCGAGATCCCAAGGCCACCGTCCTGGAATGTGCAGTCGAAAGGGTTGATCGACTCGCCGCCAATGTAGTCCTTGAGTTCCTGGATATTTGGTAGGTCGAGCTGCACCGACTGCTTCTTTGCAAAGGGGTCACGGAAGCAAAGCGCAGGCTCAAGCGACTGCATCGTGTCCATGTGGAAATCCGTCGTCGGCAGGAGGTAGTCATCCATGAACGGGAACCCCAGAGACATGCAAGTGTCCATGTACAGGGGCTCAGGAGTCAGCGTCACATCGAATGGCTCCGGCGTCACATCGAATGGCTCCGGCGTCATCTCAAACTCGAATTCTGGCGTGCTTTGCAGACTGCGTGGTGTCGACGACCAGCTCGAGTTCCACGCAGAGACATCACCGAGGTCAGGCAGCGGCAGGGCAATAGGCTCAGGTCTTACCCTGAACTTGCCAAACTCGCTGCCGTCTGGTGATGGGCGCTGCTTTGATCCCTTGATAAAGGGCGTGCCGTCTGGGTTCCTCTTGCGTGTGCGCCCGGGCTTGCCGTGCTTCCTCGAGACGCCGTAGATGCACTGCGAGCCATTCGCAGAGCACCGCTGGCAGATGGGATGGGTCTTGCTGCACTTCACCTTTGAGGCCGCACAGGCATCGCACGAAGCTCGGAGCTTGGGTCGCCGCTCTCGATTTGCTTTCGAGGGCTTGGGCGCTGAAGTGGGTGACGACAGGATCAGGGTCGAAGTCGGCGTCTCGAACCTTGCGGGCGATAATTGCCAGCGCCGAGGTGTCTGAGGCGTGGAAGATGTCGTAGCCATTGTGTTGGAAGTACTGCTGTCGAAGATCTGCTCCGTACTGCTGTCGAAGATCTGCTCCGTACTGCTGTCTGATCTCCAACACCGAGGGCGGTACCTTATGTATTAGTGTCGATCCACGCCGTACTCACTATACACCACAAGCACAGCACACCAAATGCACCAGCGCTCTACACCCGCATGTCTCAGCCACCTCAGTCTCGCCCAAACGCTGATTCCCGTGTATTCTTGCCCAAAACGGGCTGTTCAGAAGTAGAGGTACCCACACCGGGAGTATGCTGGTTGAATTTGATCCCCGTCGCCCCAGGTTCTCGCCTTGAACTGTGTTCTGCTGCGAAACGCATGCAGGAGACATGCAGGCTTCGTCCTGTGTAAGATTTTCGACCCAATGGGAGTAGTTGCGAGTGTTGGGCGTCAGCCTCGATTGGCTAAATCTGGCGACCACAATTCATGCCCCTGGCAGTTCGAGCATCCCGTCAGCAGTCTCGGCAGTCACAGGTGATATCCGTTGAGTAGGTAGTGGTGAAATTCAAGTGAGGACGGTGAGAAACCCAAGGTCGAGCATGTCCATTGCCCTATCCAAACCACGCCCGTTCCTCGACTCTCCCACCTCGATCCTCCATCTCGCAAGACTCGCCAGCATCTTGCTACCATGGACAAGCATTGTTTTACCGCACTCGCATCACCCGCCTTGTGTTTCTATTCCTGACTCTGCATCCAATCCCCCATAGTCCCCGAACTGGGCCTAACCAGCGACCACAGCCCCGTCCCCACCCACACCCAATCCCATCACACCCAATCCCATCACACCCGCGCGCGGTTCCTGGATTCGCTCCAACGGCGTGGATGAGCGTGCACGACTGTCGCACCTTCCAGGCTGCACGGTGCAAGCGCGACGAATCAGGCGTGCGGCGAATGTCGAGCTGAGGCTCTGCGGCCGTCGTGCAACCTGTCGCGCCCGTTGTGCAGGGCTGGGATGTCAGGGCCCGCGTCGCACGGCGTTTCATCGCGCCATACAGTTCTGACAGCCTCGAGTCTGTGTCTCAAGATTTTAGATGGAGCTGTCCATGTCAATGTTGGTGCTGTGCACCAGCGACTCAAAGGTAACCGGCAAGTCGATTGCATCCACGACCACGTCGGACCATCAAACACGCACAACCCCCCAATTCGCGTGTAGACCCTACGTGCGCTTAGTGGACCGAGTATCAAGGTACCATTCTGCCTGCGCACTCGCGCGAACGAGCAACATTCCCACACCAGCACAGTAACAACACCTGCACAGCCGCATCCCCATCCAGACACGATCCGCATCGAAGGCAAGCCGGCAAAGCACCAAGCGCCCGCAAGCGGGCAATTAAGCTGACAGCAGCCCGTCCCGCAACTGTGGGGGCTGCACGAAGCTGTCAGGCCGTCACCAAGTCTTCCTTAGTCGGGTGTGTTTTGCTGTGATTAGTATTGATTCTGGGATGCCTGAGCACAGCCTCATCCCCCGTCCAGCACCACGGACATGTCGTTCGCACGCGATGAGCGGCAGCAGCCGGTTAATGTGCTCCTGCAAGCTGCCGTGCTATCCTGGGATACTCCTGCAGCGATCTCGGCTCTGCGCTTCCTAGAACGCAACTGCATCGTGCTCATCGGCACGCGCGGAAGCACGCGAGTTGGGAGAACAGCCACGTACCCCGTCGCAGTCGTCGAGGCGGGCAGAAAGAAGACGAAGGAGGGAAGTGCTGTTTCTAGATCGAGTACATGCAGCCACGCCTCAGCACAGCAATAGCATACATGCATCATCATCATCCACCGCACGACGATCCCCTCGCCCACACCACACCACCCAGCAAGCAAGCCAGCAGCCCACTCCGCCGTACTCTCAACATCCCAGCTCCAAGACAGCGCGCCTTGAAGCACTAGCTCCCAACCCACCACGCAACCAGACTCGAGTCGATCCCCCGTCTCGGCCCGGGGCCTCACGCCGCAGACCAGAGGTGAGCTTGCACCCATCGGCGCCGAATATGCCGCTCACGGGTGTGGCGACAAGACCTGAGCTCGCGTAGCTGCGCAGGCTGCTGCGTGTCTCGGACTTGCCTCTTGTCGGCGCATGCCGCGAGCAGACAGGGTGGTTGTGTGCAATGCCCGGACGGCACAGCTGCGTGTCTGCCATCCCGGCGCATCTGGACAGTACACGAGCCAAGGTTGCGCGCGCACTGCATCCGCGGTGTTTCAAGACTGCGCAACAGTCCGGCAGAAGCGGTCGGGGTGCTGCTTTGGAGTAGCTACTGCGTTTAGAAACCGAGGGCGAGCATGAGCAAACGTGTCGGTGGGTACGAGGTACGCGTCTGGATCGAGAGCGATTGCTTACGGGAGATGGACCCGAGAGGGAGATATCGAGGCAGCAATCGTTTCGCGTGAGTTGGCGACAGCGTGCCGATTGTAATTTGAATCATAACGTATTCACAGTCTCATTACTATGTGCGTATAAGCCTACATACAGTGTCCGGCACCCAAACGCCTTGCATAGCCTCCCAACAGAATCCCAGAAGACAGTGCGCCGACGTCCAAACCCAAAAGCATGGTATCAAAAGAAGGTAGAAGATATGTTGAACCAATGTGTACAGTGTTGCTGGCAGTGAGGCTACCGAAAGCCGGGGAACACCTTGTTGAGTGCTCGTTTCCACTTGGGCCTTGCACTCTCTTCTTGCTCGATGGAATCAACTTCTGGCGGTGCGTGCCTGCTGCCCAGCAGATCCAGTGCCCTTTGCCGTGCCCATTCCCTACGATTCTGTGTGGGTGTCGGCGGAGGTTCGCAGTCCTGAGAGTTCGTTGGTGCTGGTACTGGTACTGGTGCCGGAGGTGGCGCCAAAGGCACGCTCGATACTGGCTGCGGTGGTGGTGCTGCGGACTGTTGTGCAGTACCCATCTCGATGTCCGCTGGTGGGCTCTGCCGCCGTTCAGGCGCACTGAATATGCGTCTCCCCGCTATTGCTCGCCCTACCGATCCGAAAGCACCCCGAGCGCGATCGCTCACGGTAACGGATACTGACGGCGGTGCACCACCGTTTGCTGCTGACCAGGCGGACCGAGCGCTCATGCGAGCAATGTGCCGTTCACGGCGTACCATCATGTTTGTAATTCTCACTGGGCAGGCGCCCGCTGGTAGAACGCTCTGCTTGCACATTGGGCATAACGAGGAGTTGCGAAGCAGGAATGTGTCGATGCAATCGGGGTGGAAGATATGACGGCAGGGAAGTTCACGGACTTGGGTCTCGTTCGGCTCAAAGTCGTCTATACAGATGGGACACGTGGGCTGCGAGAATGTGGCGCCGTTGGTCGTAGAGGATGTTGGGGCCGAGAGACGTCGAACAAGAGGAGATGTCTTAGACCCCGTCTCTGCATCGACGCCAGGTGCAAGATTGGCTGCAGCGGCTGGTGCCTTGGGCGACTTTTCGCTCTCAGAAGGACCGGTGGTGTACGTCACGATAGGCATCTTGTCAAGTATTGCTTGGGAGACTGTAAGGCGTTTGACGCCGAGCGCCTCGAGATCGACCTCTCCGTTCAGCACACGCTGACGCAGTGCGTTTCGTCGTCGGCGCTGAATGATATGCATGCACAGTGAAGTGGTGCCGATCGCCGCGATCAGAATGGCAAGAACGATAACCAGGAAGACCCACAAACTCGGCAGAGTGCCGCTTGAGTCGGTGCTGACGGTGGCCCACAGCCGTACGTAGGATGTGCTGTCGAATATCTTGCTGAGATCGTCGCCGTTTGGCACAGTTGAGATGTTGCCAGAATACTGGTTCAGCTGGTCCATGATGTTGTTGCCGCTCATGGACGACAGAGCATAAGTGGGAAAGGTGTTGCCCTGCTGCCACGAGCCACCGTCCTGCAGATCCCATGCAGGGTTGTTCAAGACGGGCGGCTGCGCATTACTGTTTCCTGGCAAGTACGTGAGGAAGGCCTTGGTCGCTGACAGCGTCCTGGCCGCGGTGAAGTACTCGATGGTACATTGCGCCGAGTACCAGGGTGCGAATGCTATAAGCGCGTAGTTCCTATCTGAGGGCAGATTCGCAATCCGTGAGGCATTCGCGGGTACATATTGTGACTCGTTCCTCTTGCAGGCTTCGGTGAAGACATCAGGGACGTAGAGTATGCCGTACGGGTCGGAGCCAGAAGCGGCGCCCTTTGTCGACAGCGTCTGGATGTTCGTCACGCCACGGTACTGAAAGGAGATGGACTCGTTGAGGGTGTTGAACTGGTTGTTCACATAGTCGATCTTGGAAGGGTCGGGGAACTCGATGGTGAAGACGCCGATGCCACGGGCAGCTGTGTGTAACCGTCAGCCAGCGTCGGGTGCAGTGCGTGGGAGCGTGGCAAGGCGCAGCTGTGCTACGTACTCATGGTGGGTGGAATGCGCTATGCGCTGGGCGATTACTTCGAACACAGGAGTCGCTGCGATACGCTAGCCACTGCGCATGCTCGACAGAATCTCAGCAGCAATCAAGTACAAGAAGGAGGCGAAAGTCATGGGCATCATTGAAGAGCAGCAGTGCGAACAGGAGGGGCGTTGGGCCGTTGGCAGCGCATGCGGAAGCCCGGGTGGCTAGAGTGGCTGGATGCGACTGGGATAGGGACCTAATGAGGAGGTGCGGTCATAGTGAAAAGCTTAGATCGCGCATCAGCTGTGGCACAGGGAAGCGCAAGCATCCGGCCGGCCTGCAGACGCTGCGAGACTGTCACTCTGTCCCTCTGTCCCTCTGTCACTCTGGCCACATTCACGAATGCGACAGCGCATGCGGACGCTCGCAGTACAGGACTGGGCTGATCCGCAATGACGTGGGCGTTCTGTGCGTGTTTGCATCGCGCCTTCCGTCGCGGGCGGCCTCGAAGCTTGGCTGGCCATGGCAGGGCAGGCGCACGGGCTTCGCGGTCGCTGGGAAGGCGCGACGGGGGTTAACGTGCGTCGTGAACACCACCAACCTTGCACACCGAGCTCAGGATATTGTGGAACCCTCAGGATCAACGTCCTTGCGGTCGCGTTGTCCAGATAAAGCAAAAGGATAGTTGGCGGAAATTTGGACAGCTTGTCGCTGCACACGGCCAGCCCTCCAGTGCATGTGGTAGCAAGTCGCCAACGTACGCAGTCCGTCCTCGTGGACGCGACTCCCCCGCACCGCCCAAGCAGCCCGTAACGTCAGCCCGCTCGTCATGGCGCCCACCACGAGCAGCAAAGGCAAGGCGACGAAGCCGGGCGGCGGGAAGGCTTCTGCTGCACCGCGCAGCCGCAACACGACGCCGCTGTCCAATGCGGGCCCCTCAGTCGAGCCGCCGTCCGGGTCGACGGCGACCTACTTTGAGAAGCCACTGAGCAGCGCCCTGAAGCGATGCAGCACCACCATGGAAGACATTCTGGACACAGGCAGCAGCGGCGGCAGCAACGGCACCATCCCGTCGGGCAGCACGCTGCTCAAGATGCGCGACCAGGTCGACAAGACGGTGCTGAGGAGCATCGAGACGCGGTGCACGCAGGCCGAGGCGGCGTTGAGAACGCTGCACAGCCTGCGCAAGAACCGCGGCCCCCGCGAAAGGAAGGACGACAAGGACGAGGACCGGAAGCACAAGCTGAAGAAAGTCGGCAAGAAGCATGACGCGGACAGCAAGCACCCTCCTGCCGTGGGCGCACACGGACTTGCCCGGCAGGATGGCCTCGACGTCAAGGGTCAGTCTTTTGCTCTGCCCAGGGTGCCATTTGCCTGTAATATGCGCTTGGAGCATACATGTCTGACTTGCACTTGCAGGAGACTCCACCATGTCCTCTCCCGCATCACAGCCACCCGCTGCGGCCGCCGACGCCCCGCAAGACGCAGCGTCGCCCAGCGGGTCAGACGTCTCGCACCAGCCTGCGCCCGCGCCCGCGGTCCCGCAGTATCAGACGTTCGGCGAGGACCCCGTCAAGTTCGACGACCCGACCGTCTACCACATCCGCGACGTCACCCCGGGCATGACAGACGAAGAGAAGAAGGAAATCTTCTCCGTCGCCGTCTTCCCACCCTCGAATTTGCACGACAAGATCGCTGGCCTCCCACCAGACAAGGACTTCTCCAACGCCAAGCCTGCGACTCAGGTCAATGCTACCGTCTTCGCTAACTACGTCGAACCATACATACGGCCGCTGACGGAGGAGGATGTGGCGTTTTTGAAGGAGCGCGGCGACCGCATAGGCCCCTTCGTGCTCCCAAGACGGGGTCAGCGACACTACAAGGCCATCTGGGCCGAGGAGGACGGGGCCATGCACATTGACTCGAACGATAGTCGGCCCTCGACAAACGTTCCACGAGGCACAGAGGAAGAACTGACGGACGCTACTCTCGAGACGGAGCACGTCTCTGCGGGGCCACTCCTGTCTCGCCTGCTGGCTACCTTGCGGCCAGAAGGACGGGGAAACCAGAACAGCTCCGGCGAAACAAATGGAATCAACGGCGATGCCATGGACATTGACGAAGGCGCCGGCGCGCCTGCAGACACCACCAATACGAACTCTCTCCCCTCGGCAACACAGCTTCCCGATTTCATGGGCCGCGTCCCACAACAGAGCAGCGGGCATGCCGACTACGCCACGCTCGAAGAGCGCATGCTCATGGAACTGAAGCACTACGGATTCCTGTCAGAAGCCGATACCGAGCAACAATCCTACGACTCGCACTTTGATGACGAGGTCGCCCAGCGCCTGCGCTTCCTGCAAGAAGAGCTACGGAAACAGTCCATTGTCAACGGCGCACGCAAACAGCGCCTCCTCGAGCTAACAGAGGAACGCATCGCACAACAAGAGTACAACACCATCGCCGACGACCTAGACAACCAGCTCAACGCCGCATACCTCAAGCGAAACAGGAACATTGGAAAGGGCAAGAAGCAGAACAAACGCCCTGGTGGTGCTGGCGGCGGCTCACATGCGGTTGCAAACGCAGGCATTACGAGGCCTGGTGTTGGCGAGCCGATCAGAACGCTCATGGAGAGGAGAACCCAGTGGATCAACACCATCGGTCCTGTTGTGGAGTACGGCAAGACCGGGCTACCGAAAGACAGCATTTTCCCCGAGGATAAGATGAAGGAGCTTGAGAGTCGCGAGGTGGAGATTTGGAACACCGAGGCGGAGGAGTAGTCTTCCCGAGTCTTCGGCGTCAAGTCTTTGGAGTCAATTCCCAAGTTCCAGCGGAGGGTTTACAATGGTGTTAAGGCGCATCTCCGTTGAAGCATGGAACGGCGTTACGGGACGATATTATCATATACCTGGATAAGCTGCTTTGACGTCGCAAATAGGGCCGCAGCCTTGGTTCTTAAAGCTTGCATATTATGACATATGCTCCGATATCAACCATCACCATCGGTGTTATGATCAAGGGCAAATCAACCATCACCATCGGTGTTACGGCCAAGGGCAACCCTCCCAATGTCTTGTAGCAAACTTGTCAATTCTCAGAAGGTCTGGAGCCTTTGATGACGTCGTTCGATCCGACTTTGGACGTGACTACGGCCTGGAACATGGTTAGAGGAGGGCCGACAGGAGAGCGGGAGCGCGTGTGAATGGGAGATAGACGGGACAGTGCACCAAGTCGGCATCTTGTCATCCGCATATCCTTGTTGTCGGCGCATGTGATTATGGACTTGATGTGTCTTTTCTACGTGACTTGATGGATCTTTTACACCTGACGATGTTTACTCACATTTACAGGTATCATCATGGACAGTAAGCGTCCATGTCGTACAGTCCTCACAACCATGTCAATCAGGCAGCTCGACGCTTCGATTTCGAACTGATATTTATATTTTATTTTCGTAATCGTCCATCAAATGTGGAAATGCTCTAGGAATCTCTCGCAGTCATCACCCGCCAACTCCACTCATGCATCGCCCTAACACCTTCGTCGCCATGTCTAATCACCCAGACTCTGAATCTGGACCTTGATAGCACCCGTCTTCGGGTCGGCCGCCGTCTTGAAAGCATCGACAGCATCCTCTAGCGCAAATCTGTGTGTGACCAGATCGCGCAGCTGGATTATACCGCTCTCGACTAACCGAATGGCCTTGGGCCATGTGTTGCAGTAGCGGTACTGGAACTGGAGATCGACCTCGCGTGTAGACAGCCTCATGAAGGGGATCTTGATCTCGTTCTTTCCGACGCCGATAACGAAGACCTTGCCGCCGAACTTGACGGTCTGGATGGCGCCGGCGATCGAGGACTCGACGCCTGTGCACTCGAGAGAGTGAGAGGGCTCGACGCCGTTTGTGAGCTTGAGGATGGCGCTGCGGAAGTCGTCGACCGTGTGGCTGAATTCGACCTTGTGTGTGAGGGCGCGCGGGACGATCTTGCGGGCAAAGTCGAGACGGCCCTGGTCGATGTCTGTGATGACAAGGGGCGCGGCGCCTGCCGCCTGTGCGCAGAGAAGCGTAACGAGACCGATGGGACCGGCACCGCAGACGAGTACGGGGTCACCGAGCCTGACATTGGCGCGGTCGAAGCCAGCAAGGGCGACGGAGAGAGGCTCGAGCATGGCGCCGTCCTCGAAGGTCATGCTGTCGGGCATTTTGTGGCACCACATGGCGGGGTGCTTGAGGTAGCGGCGCAGCAGGCCTGTCACGGGAGGTGTGGAGAGGAACTCGACGGACTCGCAGCCATTGTAGCGCCCTGTCAGGCAGGGCTCGCACTTGTGGCATATGACGTTAGGCTCGATAGCGACGCGGTCGCCGACCTTGAGGTTTGTGACGGACTCGTGAACAGCCATCACTACGCCGGACGACTCGTGTCCGAGAACATGTGTGTCTTCAACGATCATAGGACCAATACATCCCTAATGTTGTCAGTTCCGAGGCCTCTTCACAGGGGCAAGCTCCCGAATCAAAGCCGAATCGCAGCGTTTCGCAAAAGAAGCCAGGCGGATGGAAAAGAAGGAACAGGACTCACTGCGTGCCAGAAGTGGATGTCACTTCCGCAAATACCAGTGCTCTTAACGTTCAAGAGGACCTCGCCAATTGCGAGATCTCCACCCCTCTGGACAACCTCGAGGCTAGGTTCTGCCTCAGCAACCCAAAGGTCGTGCTCTGGGTTCGTGTAAACACCAATGTTTGCCTTTGCAGGCGCAATTGTGGTTGTTGTGCTCATCTTGCTGCTCCGTGTCTCGATTTGAGGTGATTGGGAAGAGAAGATGATAAATTGAATGAGAAAGACTCTCGGAGGTTTACAGAAGAAGTATGATAGCCCGAAAGAAACGCATCCGGAAGGAACCGTCAGCTGCCCTTATTGCGGGGCACATCTATACGTGGAGCCCCGAGGCGCGTTGTACCCCACTGCCCCCAAACGTCACCCTGTGCCCCGCCAGGAGATTATGATGGGCCCAAAAACCCACGAATGGTAACCCGCCAACCCCGCGTAGTCGATCCGTCGTTCTCCGTCCCTTACCTACCGAGACGCGAGCCATGCTCTATCGGGAAGTCTACCCTTGTCTCTGATTGTCATGCGGCTGTTATGCAGCAAATCTCACGATGTTTGGCGTGGTGTTGAGGTGGGCCTTGGCCGTAGAGGATCGGTCTTTTCGCCGTGCGACCCGTCGAACCGCACAAAACAGCGTCGAGCGTTCTGGACCCTGCATGATGCTCGGAGCTGCAGCGAAAGCTTACAGTCCCGGAAGAGCAATGCTCGGGGCTCTCCCGATCATAACAATAGCGTCGGTGTAGGTCCGTACCAACGATAGTGTCTGACTGCCGTGCTGAAAAATGCCAGTGACGCCTCACTTTCCTCAAAAAATAGATGTTACCAGGACAAGCATCCGCATACGCTTTTGCCGGCGACAGATCCGGTGGATGCGCTTGTAAAGCTTAATGTGCTGTTTATAATGCTCACCGTTCGACGGCAACAGGTGGGGGTATTCGGGGATAAGACGACCTCTCCATAAAACTGCTTTACAACAAGTCTTCTCTCCTTGCTGCATTACTCCTTGTCGACTCCAAGCCGCCGAATTCAGCCCAAGTCAAACATGTCCCAATTGCAGCCTCGTAGGCCAGGTGCATATTTGTCATTTTGCGCTTTCTGTCCGGTCTTGACGACTTTGCCTTGCTCGACGGTGGACTCAGACGATCACCCACAATTGTGGAAGTCAACCCCTCATTCGCGATCTGCTTCGTTGGCTCGGGCTCTGGTAGAACTGCAGGTGTAGGGTTAGGTGCGTCTGCCGGATGTGCGTTCACATTGTTAACGGTGGCCTTACTAACATTTGCGATTGTCTCATCTATCTCTGCGACAGGCGGTCCGGGGCGCATCTCAGACTCGATCTTTGCGATCTTCGGCTTCGCCACACTCGGAATCGTAATCTCAGGGGGGGTCTCGAACTGAGTATCTTGCTGGCTTTCACTTCGATCCCGTTTCGGCGTCTCGCTATACATCTGTCTAGCCTTGAAGATGCGCATCATTTTGGTATCGTGACGGAAACTCTGCGCTGAGCAGTACTCGCCAAAGAGGGCTTCCATACTAAGCTCTGGAGTCCACGTAGCTTCATCTACGGTACATGGAAAGACTTCTCGTGGTTTGAAGGCAGCGACAAGCCAGCAGAGCTCAGAGTACGAGGAGTGCCGAGAGTATGGGAACCGAATCGTCTTGTTCCGGTGAGTCTCAGGCTTGTCTTGCAGCAATTTGGAGGCGTGAGATGACAGAGCTGCGACGAACCTCTGCAGAGACAAACTATCTTCGCTGACTTGGCTCTCTTTCTGCATTTGTAGACCAACATCTACGGAGGCGCTACCCGTAGTCAAGGCGTACTGCAGTACCTTCAGCACCTCTGAGAGTAGCTCAGGATCGTTGATGGACTGAGCGCACAGTTCCATCAGCCTCCCCGTAGCAGCAACGTCGCCTGTTTCGAGCTCTTCTTTCTGGTCGAGGTCACCTTTACCACCACCGGCTCCCGACTCGGCAATCTCAATGCCGTTTGAGCGGGAGATGATAGGTATGATGTGTACGATACTCGCATCTGTATCTCTGTCGAGGATGCTGCAGCCCATGCCGCGCTCGCAGCTGTGTATGCGGACGTTCTCTGAGGATGTTAAGCAGCCAGGTTGCATGTGGTTGCCGTTTCTGAACCCACACAGCACAGCTGCTTCGCGTATCTCGATACCAATCTCTTTCAAGAATTTGTTTTCGCTCTGCACGTCGAGACCAGCTTCTCTTAGACTCTTCCTGTCCAGCGATGACAAGGAGCCGTAGATGCGTGTACGGTAGTCGTCAAGATGAATCCTTGAGTTGAGGAACGACGACAAAGCGACCCAAACGTTTTCGTAACCAAATGTCCAGGAATGGAAGTAGAAAACCGTATCGTCTGGATAAGTGCTGACCTTCTCCAGCAGCTCCTTGATGCCTTCCGCCTTCGAAGGAAAATTCTTATAAGGGGAACGCTTGGTTGCGAAAGTAGTGTCAAGATAGATGCAATCGAGGTGGCGAAGTCCGAGCGCGTAGGGTGCCAGCATAGGACTCTGGACAATAGAATTGACCCACCATGTCTCTGCACGGATGTCGCCGGTGTATAGTACTGCTTTATCATCACCCTCGATCAGAAACATGACAGCGCCAACACAGTGATTTGCATCAATGAGAGTCACGCGGATGCTGTTTCCAGGCGCCAGCTCAATCATAGTAGGCGTGTCCAGCGGGAGCGGCTTCGCCAGCTTGCGCATGCTCCTGTCATAGGTGACATTGCGGCTCTCGAGGATACCTTTGGCAAAGTTGATTCTGTAGTGGAACTTCTCTAGGCGTAAAAGAATCTACAGATATGTCAGCCAAATGCAAGAGAAAGTCGTTTGCTTCACTATGCTCGCACGCACTTCTCTCGTTGCCGCAGAGCAATAGACGAAAGGCGCCCTGAATGACTCCAGTCCAACGAGGTGGTCTGAATGTACATGGCTGAGGAAGCACGCCAAAGGTGCCTTGTGCTCAAGTTGGGGCCGAAAGTAGTCAAGCCTGATCTGGGGGAATTCTGACGCGTCGAGTCAGCATTGCGCCTGCTCCAGGCGAAGGTGGCTCATACCGACGACGATGCCTTTGAAGGTAGACATGGAGGCGAGTATTTCGTCGGTTCAATATCGTCTCCAACATTTGCGAAGGTATCGCACAGGGTGCAGGCTGAGATGTTCGCGGAATGAAGTGAAAGTCGAGGGTGACGCGGAAGTGGCGCGTGCGGGCGTGACTTCCTTTGTCGTCACCTGCTCCCAACTGCAAACACTTCCTTCATCCATCATTGTCGCCGACCAATGTTACAGGCAGCTATTAGGCAGCTATCATATGACGATCGATCGATTTGCTATATCATACAGTCTCCATACGATGCTGAAGTTTCATAAGATAGTTCTCTGCAGATGTCTTGCGCTCCTTGTCTTCCACAGTCCTTAGCAATTAATTGTACATTTCAATAATAATCGAACAAACATTCGATGTAGGCAACATGTGCTCTAGCCCATGTCGAAGAGTTGAGTTGGAGTAAGTCGTTCTCTTCCATCGGCAATTGACAGCGAGCATGGGCATGATGACATCGGGAATAGCATCGGCCTAACCCCGCGGTACTCCAACAGCTACCCCAACAGCTCCATCACAAGTTCATAGCTTCATAAAGTATCCGCCCAACTCTCGGCTTTCCTCTTCCTCCTTCCCATCTATCGCGCAATTCGCTTCCACAGCCGAAATGTCGCAACTCCTCAAAAAGTCGCTCAAGCTCGCACTCGTTCAGCTGGCATCCGGCGCAGACAAGACGGCGAACCTGCACAACGCGCGCGCAAAGGTCTTGGAAGCAGCGAAACAAGGTGCCAACCTGGTCGTCCTCCCCGAATGCTTCAACTCGCCATACGGCACAAAGTACTTCGACAAGTACGCCGAGACGCTGCAGCCATCGCCCCCGTCCGCCGACGCATCACCGACCTTCCATGAGCTGAGCAAGCTCGCAAAAGAAGCAAACGTCTATCTCGTCGGCGGCAGCATACCCGAGCGCGACGACAAAGACACAAAGAAACTTTACAACACAAGCCTCACCTTCTCGCCCTCGGGCGACCTGATCGCCACGCACCGAAAAGTGCACCTCTTCGACATTGACATCCCGGGCAAGATCAAGTTCGTCGAGTCCGAGGTGCTCAGCCCAGGGAACAAGATAACCATCGTGGATCTGCCCGAGTACGGGAAAGTCGGCATCGCGATTTGCTACGATATACGGTTTCCCGAGCTGGCGACGATTGCTGCGAGGAAGGGCGCGTTCCTGTTGCTGTACCCCGGTGCGTTCAATTTGACGACGGGCGCGCTACATTGGGAGCTATTGGCTAGGGCAAGGGCGACAGACAATCAGGTCTACGTAGGACTGTGCAGTCCGGCGAGGGACATGAAGGCCGACTACAACGCGTGGGGACACAGCATGGTCGTTGACCCGAACGCGCACATTTTGCAGCAACTGGACGAGAAGGAGGGCATCGTCATTCAGGAGCTGGAGGCTGGCAACATTGAAAACACACGGAAGGGCATTCCCCTGTACACACAAAGGCGGTTCGACGTATACCCAGATGTCAGCGAAGGTGGAAGGTTTAAGGAGTACCGTGGATCTACATAATCACAATTCATCGTATTTCTCCAGGAATCGTGCCTTAGCCTCAGTACTTCCCTGACTATTCCACAACATCGCTTAACATGTAACCTAAAGATGCTGACAGTCGACAGATCAAACGAGCGTAATGACCAGTGGTATCGGCCTATCAATCAATCTCCCCTCAAGCGTTGCATTTCGTCAGGCAGGTGCTCTTCCTCGTTCTCAACCATCGCCTGCCGAGCCCTCTCCTTCTTCTTCGCGGGGCTCTTTTCTCTTTCACCACCAAGGGTGCCTTGTCGCTTCCTTTTAGTCATTGGCTCAAAGTCAATCGTGGCGTCGAGCGCGGTGCTTCCACTCAGATCGCTTTGACTATCTCCAGACAGCGCCTTTGCAAGCTCGGGACCCATCTCATTGGCATCCATTTGCTCAAAACTGCCGAGCTCCTCCCCCAGTGCACTGTACAGCTGTCGCTCCAAACGCCCTGTGCTGCTGACACTTGACATACCAGCCTTGTGGCTAGGTTTGAACGGTGACAGCTTTGCCAGGTTGGCGGTGAAGGTGGGATCGATTGTGTCCACGTCAATAACTTCGACGTGATTGTTGCGAGGAGTACGGTCCAGGTCGCCAGAGACAGTCTTGGAATTATTCACGATTGGAAGCAAGCTTTGGTCGTGACGAATGTCAAGTTCGAGGTCATTTGTGTCGTTTACAAGACCTTCCTTGCGACTCTTTACCTGATTGATGGCTGACGGTGCATGAGCGCAGCCAATCTTGCTACTGACGCCTCGTGGAAAAGTTTCGGCCCTGGATAGGCCGGAAGCATTCGATGAGCCGTCCCTCATTGATACATCAGAGTCCCAGCGCTGGGGTGCAAGCATAAAGGGAACAGGCGTATGCATCCTTGGACCGTGATTCTCTTTCTTATTGGTATGATGCCTGACTGGCGCGGTCATGTCGAAGTTTGCCTGACCAGAAGAAGGTCTTCGGTTGCGCGAGGAGGCATTCACGTCTGGAAACGTGCGAAGCATTGCTGCTGATGACGGTCGAACTGGCACAGACAGAGCGCCCATCTTGGGCGGACGATGAGACTGATTCTGTGCAGGCAGATCGTTTGGCTTACTGCGCTCAGCTTTCGATGGACTGATGGCCTCCAGAATCTGCCCAAATTGTTCGTCTCGCAGAGCCATCATTACTTGCTGCGCATTGTTGTCTTTCCATGGTCGTCTGCTGTTGACTACCGGGTTCATGAAATGCCCTGACAAGGCAGTGCTTGATGCCCACAGTGGTGCTGCATATGATGGAAATGACGGGTCATAGAAGCCCTCCAATCCGGATGTGTTCGATGTGTACCGCTGTGACGGAAATGATCTCAGCCGCATACCGTCGTCAGGCTCACCGGAAGTGCCGTATGTATTATACCAGATGGTCGGGTGACCACCCTGGTGGCCCATAAACGGTTGGGAGTATTGTGGCAACGAAGGCATTCGGTCTGGAGGTTGTTGGTGCGGTTCGGGGTTCGCCGGTCTGATGGGTTCGGAGTCGGACTCTGGCGAATTTCCTGAGTGTATGCGCGGTCCTCGCTGTAGCTCACGAGCCATAGGGTTGCGAGGGAAAGATTGTGCCGCAGCTGTGGCTCGCTCGGCCATGAGTGCGCGCAGAGGGTCGATAATTGGGTACGCTATGCCAGCCTGCTCCAGCAATTCTGCATCGGATTAGCATAACGTTTCGAACCTCGCCGATGCAGCACGTACCTCTCGGAGCATGCTGGAATGAGAAACAGACAATATCCCAGGTGCCATCGTCAAGTAAGTCGTATCCGCTGACGAGCTGTTCTGAAAGTACGATCTTGATTCGGTTGTCTGTTCCTCGCGGTTGCCATGCCGAGTTCTGCAATAGTGCACTCTTGTCATTTGGTGGAAACAAAAGACGTTTTTTTGTTTGGCTGGTAGGTTGCTCTTTGGTCCGGGATGACTTGAACGAACGCTGCTCAAACGCTGCTCTCCAGTCAGCTCTTACTCAACGAGCCGTTGTGACTTGGGGCACATACCAATATCCTGCGGCGACGTGTTGTTCAGCTCGAAGCTACCATGGCTGTCTCTTGTAAGAGGGTAGTGTTCAGCAGGGTTCATGAGAGCAAACTCACTATAGCCTGACGCCACCAATGATAACCTGAACGGTGAAGGTGCTTTTCTTGCCAGCCCTTCGTTGAAGCTCTTGTACGAACGAGGAAGGCTTCGGCGGGCCCCAGTGATGTAAGGAGATACGAAATGGCGCCTCTGGTTTCAGCGATCCAATATACGTTCGCAGCGTCGGTAGTTCGTGGCCATCTAGCAGGTGGTGTCAGTCCATAGTCTCATCACAAGCATGCCGCGGGGTGTATGCCAAGACATGCTCACCTTCGTCTCGGGAGAGGTAACAAGCGGTCCGGTATTCTGGGATGGGAATGTTCGAGTCATCGGGAAAGAGGATGACGTCCCAGTTGTCGTAGCGCATGGCAGACGAGCAACAGCAGCTGTCCAACGTTGCACAATGTTTGCAAAGCCAAAAAGTGGCAGCCGTGTTGCGCGAGGGTGGAAGGGAGCAGAAAGACGAGAACGTTTGTTTGGGTTTCCAAGTAGCGAAGGGACAGAGCGCCCTGGAAGCTATTCGCTGGGAAGGCACGACAACAACACCGTCCATGGGCCACCACACTTCTGCAGAAACAGTGTGGCGTAGAAGTGAGAACGAGCTGACACGAGACACAGTGCTCGACTCCGCGCTATTTCAGCAGGAATATTGAGGGTATGCAAGTCGAGAGGGGAATTGGCTGAGAGAGTGGGCTTGATACCTTTGACTAAAATCTAGTAATCTGCCCAGGACCTCTCGTGAAGCAGTCGCAAGCACAGAACACTTGCAAGCACCGAACAGCAAAAGATGCGAGGGTGTCGACAGTGCAACAGTCCGACGCCAGCAACACTAGAACTTTTCCAACTGTCTTGAGCCAAGCTTTTGTAGATCGAACAACGACACCGTACAAGACTGTCGCCAGACGCCATACTGCACGTGCTGGAAAGCCGACATGTCCGTCCCAATATGATAAAGAGTGCAAGCGTTTCCCATTTTCGCATAATCATAGAAATATTTTTCGAGTAATGATTGGACCGTAACTCCTCGCTAAATCATGGCGCAGATGATTATGCCCAGTGATGCTGAACGCGAGACTTTAGTAGTTGTTGTTGAAGTTCAGTTGCTGCGAGAACGCTTGATCAGGCGCACCAGGGGTGCCGTTGGAAGGGCTGGCGGGACCGCGAGGAGAAAGGGGGCCGAGACCATTGAGGCTTCCAGGGCCGCCGTTCTGCGAGAGACCTTGAGGAAGACCAGGAGGTCCTCCGTAGCCGGCGGACTGTTGCTGCTGGGGCAGCTGCTGGTAGGGGCTGCAAATTGATGTCAGTAGATGAACGAGTAATCGAATCTGAAGCAGAGATTTGCGCTGTCCTGCAGACTCGCATGCAAGACAAAGCTAAGCTCACAACGAAGGGAAGAGACGGTCAAGCAAAGCACGAAATAAACAAAGAACGCATCGAAGGAACCGTGTGATTGGAAAGATAGCCAACCAGGTCTGAACCGCAGTAGCGCACATTCGCAAAAGAAAGGCATCTGGCAGAAAGCAGCTCCAGACTTGTGCATGACTAGCCGCATCCCAGATGCTCCTTGAGAAGTAGCCAGCTTCGAAAGAAAACCCGCAGGCAGAAAGATGACCTGTTATACAAAGACTCCCTTCTAAGGCCCTCGTGCAAGATCGGTGTCGTCAAATAAACTTAGAACTTTTGGAGAACCACCCAGGTTTATAAAGGAACCAAAATCGCTCCAAGGTCGTGTGACGAGTCATGAAAGAGGTCATTGCAGTAAGCCAACAGGAAACCATGGAAGAAGCGCCGTGCAAGCAATACATAGAGAAAGAATGCGCTTACTGTGATATGTTGTTAGCGATGCTCAGTGCAGCGGGTTGCGTGTTCCTTACCTTCATAGGAGCGAAACCACCTCCGTAGCCGGGGTGCTGGGGAGGCATGCCCATGCCGGGCCCGAAGACCGGTGGGGGAGGAGCAGGGCGGTAAGGAGTGCCGGCAGGTCCAGAGTTGTTCTGAGAGCGTCCCCAGCTGAGACGGACACGCGAGTTGCCGATGGGGTAGCCTTGCATCTGGTTGATGGCCATCTCGGCGGCATGGCGCTGGACGAACTGGACGAAACCGCATCCCTTGCCTGGGGGGATCTTGACGTAGGTGATCTCGCCGAAGCCCTGGAAGAAAGAGCGGAGCTCGTCCTCAGTGACGTACCCACTGAGTCCGCCAACAAAGACAGTGGTGTTGTTGGGATCAGTGAACTGATTCATGGGCTGGGGAGCGCCGTAGTAGCCCATAGGAGGAGCACCCATGGAGTACATGCCCATTCCAGGGCCACCGCCACCCTGCTGCATGTTCATGCCGCCGGGTCCACCAGGTCCTCCGCTCTTGTTCTTGGGAGTAGCAGTGCTGATGCGCATGGGGCGGTTACCGCAGTAGACGCCCTGCATCTCGGTAAGGGCCTTCTGCTGGTCCTCCTCGTTGGCGAAACGGACGAAACCGTAACCGCGCGACATGCCGCTGATGGGATCGGACATGATCTTGGCAGACTTGGTGGAGGTGTACTTGTTCTGGAAGAGCTGGACGAGGACAAACTCGGTGACCTCGGGGCCAAGGTCTCCAACGAAGATGGAGAACTCAGGACCACGCTCGTCGCGGCTTCGGTCGGCGAGGCCGCCACCAGAGGCCCAGTTGAGCTTGAAAGGGCGGTTGGAGTTGGGGATGAGCTGGCCGTTGAGGCTGAGGGCCTTCGACGCAGCGTCAGGGCTGGCGAAGTCAACGAAGCAATATCCAGCGTTACTGCTGCACAAATTAGTCTGCGTGACAACGACCCTCTCTCCTCCCATGTGCTCTTACCCAGAGAATTTGTCGCGGATCATCTTGACGTTGACGGTCTCGCCCATGTTGTACCAGATGCTGCGCACGAAGTTCTCGTCGATCCAAGGCTCGAGTTCACCCATCCTGCCTCTTGTTAGTCCCTACGTTCGTTCAATTGGCCTATTGAGAGCCATTATAGTGCGCAACTCACCAGAGGGTGGTCTTGCCGGCACCCTGGCCGTTGCCGTCAGGGCCGGCGCTGCCAGGAGGACCCATCTGCTGGGGAGGGAAGCCGCCGGACTGGTCCATAGGCTGGCCGAGGTCGGTCTGCGAGACGTTGGGGTTGGGGCCCTGCTCGCCGGGCTGCTGGCCCTGGTACTGGTCGTACTGCTGTTGGAAGCTCATTGTCGCGATGGATCAAGTGGTAGTGATCGAGTATTGGTTGAGGCGTCGACTAAGAGTATTGCGCGTAAGTATGATATTGGACCGGGGTCGTTTGTATAGTCTGTGAAAGAAACGGTCGTTAGCTCGGTGATACGGCGCAGAGTCTGGTGACGGCCAAGGCGCAGGTGAGGGGCGTGAAAATGCTCTAGGCTGCACTTACCACTAGGGACCTGTAGTGCGTTCTTTCACTAGAAGGCGCGTTGCAATCAGGCGCGAGGGCACACAGAAAGTAACAGACACAACGACTGCGAAAGTAGGTTGCAGGAAAAGCGTCGACAGACTGAACTCCGACTCGCGATCCAAAAAGGGCCTGACGAAGACGGGAGGGTGAAAGAGTGGCCGTGAGGTAGACGCTCTATTGAGATCTGCAGCAGCAGTCAGTACATCTGTCTGACAGAGAGGTCACATGCACAGGCGTGGCACGAGGCGACAAGAGCGCAGTAGCAACCAGGGTGGGCAGCAGAAGCGCGTCAACGGCGACACGACGACGGCACCGCGCAGCTGGTGAAGGAAAAGTAATGCCAGCTGCTGCGTGCGTCCCTGCAGGTGACGACGTCAGAAGGCTCAGCGCAGCTCGCCATCAGATGCATGCATCGCAATGCTTCACAATTGCGAGCGCACAGTCTGCACCGAAAATGTGCGTCACCCGCGAGCATGCACCCACCAGGCCGCACGCAGCAGCCGCTCGCCAAGGCAGCGCGAAAAATATGAGAGGGGTGCAGAGGCTTACCTGAAGGCCAAAGAAACTCCCGCGAAGCAGAGAACACCGACGACGCAAAGGAACACAGAGGAGCAAAGCACAAGACGATTGCCTGAGCAGAGATGTGAAGAGGGAGTGGGTGGGGTAGAGGAGGGAGAGGGCAGCAGACGATGTGAAGAACGGGCCTTTCAAGAGCTCTCTTCAGTGCCGGACCAATCCGCCCAAATCTTGGACTCCGCCCAATCCGCTGGTCGTGTGTGGCGGCGGGCAGTCGGTAGCGAAAGCCTTGTTACCAAACGCACCAAAGGCCTCAGCCGAGCAACCTGGGGACGATGGCGTAGAAGATCGCCGAAAGAAAGCTTGACCTCAGCCCCTCCACCCAGCGCGTCGATTCCCCTCTCTCCCTAGCCTCGCCTGGGTGAGCTGCGACAAGGCTGCGTGGCAGCCCTGCTCCAGATTCGCTGGCTGGAGGTGCGCTTCTGCACGATCCAGGGCCACACGGCCACACATTATTAATAGAGGCCCACCCCCGGTGCGTACGTTGAATGACTTGCAGCTGTTGTGCCTCCGCTTGCTGGAGCGAGGGCGTCGTGAACTGCGAGCGACCAGTCTCATTTCCCCACCAGCTTGCTTGCGCGCAGCTGTGGCCACCTGTGAGGGGCTCTGTGCTGCGACTGGCTGCAGACTCTGCGCTGTGTTTTCGGCGAATCATCGTGCTAAGGTGTGGTTCCATTCTTCAGCACTGGCACCAGGGCATTCTGCGGCTAGTTGAGCGGCAGACCTGCATTCGGATTACCTCAGAACAGTGGTAAACGACGCGAATAAATACCCACACGCCTAGACGCTGCAACAGGCAAGCAAGGTGACGTGCGCTTCGATATGAGCTTCCATGGGGAGAGGCATGCATGGCAATGTCGAAGCTCCATGTTCGTGGTCATGTGCCACCACACCACTTCCTGAACCAGGTCAACAACACAGTTGCTGTGGAGAAAACATGTCATTTTGTGGTATCCTCATATCGAACAGCTCCCTCACATAGCGCTAACCGCACGACTGGAACTGAAGAAGTTATCCCTCAGACTCCACCTTCAATCGACTTTGCTCCCTGAGATCTGCTCTGCTGGGATGCCGTTGGCTGCCTGCGCCAGCTCCTTCTCCTCCTGCTCACCGAACGAGTCCCTTCCCTCCGCAAAGACCTTATCGAAGTCGTACTCGAACCACCTGATATCTGGGCTGAGACCAGCAAACTTCCACTCGCCGTCCACCTTCTTGTACCAGTGCGTGTTGGCGCTGTGTGCGTGGCCCTTGACTGCAACTGTTGAGCGGGTCTCGTCCGTGTACCTCTGGTGAGGGACGCGCAGCTGGTGGTAGCCAGTGATCTCGTCTTCTGCTGTCTTTTCCCACCGTGTGCCACCGATGAAGTGCTGTGTCTTGAGGAGAGGGTTGCCGAGAACAGCGGGGTCAGAGGCCATTATGACAAACTCCTCTGCAGGCATCGACTCCCAGATCTTGTCCAAGAAAGAGCGGTAGTCGATCCTCAGTGTGGGCGCAATGCACTTGCGCAGGCGACCCCAATCCTGCTTGTCGTCAGCGCCGTGGAAGGTAATATTGAAGGGCTGCGTACCTTGCTGTCGTAGCTGTCTGCCCACTCGTAGACTGCAGTCTGACATCCCATGATGTCATCAAAGGTAGGCTTCAACTTTTGCTGCGACATGGTGAATGCGATCTTTGCAAGCTGGTGTAAAGTTGGGTTTGCGTGTCTGATAGAGTCGATTCTGTTATGTTGTTATTCCGCCTTCGACTCCTTCCTCTATATATCTATCATGCCTGCGATTCAGATGTCGAGATATCTGCTACACAGAACTTCGGCTCCCCGCCTAGTGGCATCCGGCTTCGGTCCCTGAGAGGCTGCTCCGGGGAAAACACTGCGGTGGAAACGGGGCCGACACTGTTTTTAGGGCATGCCATCTGTGCTGTGTTTCAAGATGCCCGAACAACGTGAAGGTAAACGTCGCGATGCTCTTACTCCGCTCGATGGTGCCGGAGGGGAGGCGCACTAGCGCAGCAGCGAGGGAAGCCGCCCGGAGGAGCTGGGAAGCCGCAGCACCAACACGCCTCAATTTACCACCCCTCGCGTTGTCTCTGCAACCTCTTTGGTGTATCTCAGTAGATTACGAATGCGGTGTCGCAGCACTAATATGTGCTCGCTCCCGCCCGACTCACGGCGCTTTGAGCAGTCGCCTGCACGTGGCTGTGGGTAGTGCGAGCAATGCAGCTCAGAATTACAGCGATCAAGTACAGCAGAGCAGCACATGAAATACCAGGATCTTTCCGACCAAATGTATTGTATTGAACTCTGCCTGCGACGGGTAGGCTCTATGCTTGCTACACTCGCTCAACACAGTACCTTTTTCCAAACAGGACGATTGAGCAACTTTGCTATCAACAAATGCGTCCTTCCTGGGCTTCTGCCGGGCAGAGAAGCGCTGCGTCTGCCACAGGATTGACGAACGAATCGCATTTGCAGGACTGGCAGGTGCCCCTGCAACCAGCTTCACATCCTCAGCTCTGACAACTTCTGTCTTCGCGCCATGTCAGCTTTCCTTCCTTTCTTCTCAATTATTGTCTTCATATTTGCATGTCGCAATGTTACTCTTCTGCGCCTTGCTGCTTTTTGCACAGAACACAGCTTCAGCAACTCCGGATCCTGAGGTAGCGTGGTATTCAGCCCCCAACTCCCGTGGAACGTGGGATCTTATCGTTTCCTGCGTGCTGACACTGGTGATTTGTGTCTGGTCAGCCTTGCACCTCAACGTCCCAGTGGAGACGTCACGGCTCAGAGAGCGGAACATCAGACGACTGCGGTGGGTTCTGCTTGGCATATTCGCTCCCGAGGTCGTTGTCAGCACTGCATTCGCACAGTTCCTGACCGCTAGGTGGCTGAGAAACGAGATTCGAGCAGACATTGAGTATCGGAACAAAGACGATGTAAGCCTGACCTGAATGCGCATCGAGAGCATACAGAGACTCATATGCTCAGGGCACCCAATCCTCCGTAATTGAGAAAGAGAGGGCGTCTGAGGAGTGGAGCCTTTCGCAATGCTATTTTGCTGTCATGGGTGGCATCGTCATCGAGACAGGCGCCTACATTGCGGATGAACCACACCTGAGCATCACAGCTGAAGGTGTACGACTACTCTCGTTTCTGGACAAATTACCGAAAATCAACAATGGCGAAGTTCGCGATAAGAGCAAGGCAGATGACTTGGCTAAGTTTCTTGTCGTTCTGCAGGCAGGCTGGATGATCATCCAGTGCATTGCACGAGTAGCGCAAGACCTACCAGTCACTCTGTTGGAGGTCAACACGATTGGCCACGTCGTTTGCGCGTTCGCCCTTTACATGTTATGGTGGAGAAAGCCTTTGGACATCAAAGATCCGCACAAGATCGTTGGGGAGCATGGGCTCGACAAGCATATTGCCTTGATGTACATGTGCAGCCCTGTCAGCGGCAATCGAGAGGACGAAATCAGCGAGATTCGCTGCCTTGCGTACACTCTGCCTGACGACAGACCCAAAAGTACGATGACACCGTCACCTGACGGCAAGTCTCTAGAGGCCTCTGTACCCAAGTTCCACTCGACGCGATTCTCGCTCGGATCTGTCGGAGCGAGAAACCCGCTCAAGTTTCTCGGTCCTCTACAGAAGGTAAAAGATGTCAATGGCGAGGTTCAATATACATACAAGTGTGAAAAGGTAGCTGCCGAGCACGAAGAGTTCTTCCAATTGCAGGGGCCCGGTCAATGCCTTCAGCATACACGAAACTACTGCCGTAAAACATTCGAGGATTGCAAGGAGCACGCCCCACTTTCCGACCAAGCAAAAAAACGCTGGAATTTTGCGAACGGCATCGTTCAAGAGTTGTGGGACGGGTGTGAAAAGCGAAAAGAGTACAAGAAGGTGTTTTTTACTTGGTCCACACTGGGCATTTTCGTCGGCGAGCCCATCTACATCGCGGACCGCGTCCCCAACTTCCCGGGCTTCTCGTATCTTGGGAGTGTCAACGTACAACGCGACATTTTGAAGACTGTCGTGGCTTTTGCCGGAGCCGCATATGGTGGTCTGCACCTCTCTGCGTGGAACGACTACTTTCCAACACAAGCTGAGAGGATCATGTGGATAGCGAGCGCCTGCGCCACTGGCCTCACAGGTCTCGTGCTGGCGCTGTTCTTTCTTGCAACGAACAAGCTCCAGCAGCTCGAAGCCGCAGAAAACCGTATGCGCAACAATAAACGATTCAAGGCTTTCTTGAAAGGAGTGCTAGTCCCATTGTTCGTGGCAGCCAGAGTCTTCATCGTCGTGGAGGCTTTCATCTGCCTTAGACGCCAGCCGGAAGCCATTTATAAGACGCCGGAGTGGAGCAACTATATCCCTCATCTATGATCATAAGAATACACGTGCATCTCGCCTCTGTTGCGTTTTGCCGGACATGCCGTCCCTCCTTCTGGTGCCTCGAAAACCTGACTATCACCAACAAGGGAAGGCTCTGTGAATGGCGAAATAGATCTTTTGCCAAAATTCAATCGTAGCGACCCTCTCATTTCAGTGTCGACCGTCCGCAGTGAGACTGCGTCCTCACCACGCATAGCCTCGTACTTGCTCTTGACGCCCCTTTGGCCCCGCCAATAAAAGAACACCGCCGCAGTCGCGAATAAGAGCCCTGCCACGAAACCACCGATGATCGAACCCGTGATGATGCCTACGTTCGGCGTTGTTTCTGCACCTTTGCTAATCGAAGGGAAGTCGTCACAGCCCAGTGGCTTCAGATTGTTCTTTGCGTCTGTCTTTGGGTTTCTGTTTGCCACTCCATACTCTTGCGTTGTTTCGTCCCATCTCAGAATGAGAGAGTCGGTGAACGGTTTGCCTATCACTGGCACATCTACACCATATGCTCCCCAGCTACCATCTCCGTTCGAAGGCAATCGATCACCGAGCGAAGCTGCATCTACCGTACTGGCGTTTATGTTCCCAACGTCAACTTCAAGGCCACCCTCCAGCTTGAACCTCAAGAAACCGCTGCTGGGGATTGAAGAGTCCGCAGCGCTGAGTCTCGAACCGAGGAGAGCTCGAGCATCTTCTTCATCGGTTCCATGCAATTTTGCGCGCACGTCCTTGGAAAGTACTAGGAACCGCACGCCTGGATCGACACATGCAGTAAACGCATTCTCAATTAGTGGCACGCCCTCACTCGTCGGCCCATCGTGGTAATCAAGCGACTTGACTCTCACCTGCAACAAACACGGCAGCCCACCATCTTTACTCCGATCCGCAACCTTGAAATTCTGAAACTCGCCGGTATATGCATTCTCATCAACACATCCCAGACACAAGCTTGCGTTCGACAGACTCCAGCTCTTGCTCGGTACCATGCCCTCCGCAACCAGCGTCTCCAGCACCCGCGATCCAGGCGTAAGACTAAGCGCAGAGCTGCCCAGACCACCGAACGTCACGCCTTCGTTCGTTAGTAAAAACGAAGTCATTACATTCCGTGTATCAGGCAGGACGTCGTTTTGAACCGCATAGGCTTCGATGTAGTCGGTGAACGTGAAGCTGTCGGCCATGAACCGCCACTCTGAGAACCGAGTTTTCTTAAACCATCTCTCGCCTACGTAACTGTTTGTGCTATTGTCGAAAAATGATATGGATAGCTGGGGGACGTAACCGCCTCCGTAGATGTCCGCGCACACAAATTTGCCATCTTGGTCTGTCCATCTTGTGTCGCTTGCTGGCACAGTTGTATCGTCTGCGTAGATGCAGGAGTTTGTGTACCGCGGGATGAAGGGCGTGTCGAGTTGTAGTGACGGTGTGAGAACCATGTGTTGTGGTGGTGTGCCTACGGAAATGGGTATACCGTGAGACAAGATTCCGGGGACGACTGAGGTGGTTCGTATGGGAAGGTTGAGTGGAGGTGCGGCGCACTGAGCTGTAGCTGCGCTTCTTGCGAAGAGCAGAAGTAACGAGGCTGAGTACTCGGAGCGCATTGCAACGAAATGGTGGCTTCGAGAGGTCGAAAGCACGCGATGGTTGAATGATCAACCCATCTGGCACCCTCGTATAGGTTCGTCGCAACTGGGATAATACGCAAAGTATAAGACAGATGTGATGATTCGAGTCAAGGGAAGCTGCTGACAGCCCATTATCCGGGAACCTACATGCAATATGTACACACCTGCCTCTCTAAGCAGCCATCCGCGGGCCCACGTCATCCTTTCCGCGGGCGAGGTGTTCAGCCGCGCTGGGCATACATAGACGAGTATTGGTATCCGTACAGTCAGCACCATGACCTCCAAACACAGCATGATAGGCGGGGACATCTGTGTCACCCCTGTCTTTGGGCCTGGGGCGAATCGGATGAGAGCTCGCACGCGTATTGCGTGAGTGAAGCTGCGGTGGAAGAATTCGAGCGCGCATGTTGGAGCGGCTCGAGAGCGAGTTACTGAGTGTTCAGATAATTTATGATGGCTACGGCGCATCGGCGCACAGAGTGTGGGCCCTTGATCGGACAGTGGGAATGGCAAATGGGTGGGATGCGAAGGATGCTGAACCTTGTGGGCGGGTTTCCAGGCGTGGGGCCTGGATGAAGTCAAAAGGGGATGGCAGTAACAATATCAACTCTTCATGATGCTTTCCAATCATACGCTATAGTCTATGCCTCCTTCCATTCCTTCATTTCAGAAAAGAAAGCTGTACGCTACCCCGAGAAGACATTTCCAAGATGTGGTGTCCACGGGAGAGCATCTGAATGTTGCGTCGAAATCGTTCACGAGGTCGGGCCAGTTGGCGTGAAGGTAGTTCCCCAGTGTAGGCATGTGGTGCCTTACCTGCCACCTCATGGGCCATGTTTGTAGCATCAAGCTGATACATCTCGTTGCTGCAACCGATCTGATTTATACCACGTTGAATCTCAGCCTGGTGCTGCCTTTTACTTGATGCAGAATTGATGCTCAAGACTGTGGACTCGAAGTCCCCAGATTGGCGATCTTACGAGGAACTGTCTGGTCTCAGAGACAACGGATCCAAATGGCTGCGGCGCGGGATCACGAACAACTGTTCTTCAGTCCCCGGCTCAAATTTTGGTATTTGCTCGTGTGTGTTTACGAAGAGCAAGTAGAGATGACACGCAGCGGCCGCTGAGACATGGACTGGGTGTCAATCTGTGTGATACTTCAAAGGCAGTCTCATTAGCCAGTAGTGGCTGATATTGGACATGTTTTCCCCATACCGAAGGAGGAGGTCGTCAGCATTTGGCCAATAAGGCAGCAATCTTCCTAGATCTGATGCTGTAATCTACTTCCTCCACGAACGAACGCCTGAATAGTCTCTGTCAGTCTCCTGACACAACAAGCACAGGCTATATGACGTGACGGATGCGCCTTTGTTTGAGTCGATGCCCATGATGAAGATGAAGGGCAAGACCGTAGGTTACGAGCGATGAATCTAAGTCTAGGTCGAAGGAGTAATGAAAACGCAACCTCTAAGGCTCTCAGAAGGGTGGTTCATGCGCTGGCAGATGGCGATTGGCAGTAAATCATTGCGCAGGTTGCTGCTTCACAAGGCTGAGGCTGAGCAAGTTAGCTCGCGTCCATGGTGAATTACCTTATCGACTGAGTGTATCCCATAGCTTACAGCTGACCGAATCCTGTGTGTAGTGAGCTCTAGACAACAACGTATGAAGACCGCTCATTGCGATGGATTGAACGGGCAAACAAAAAGCACGGACGCGAAGCCTCGAAGCTTACCGGTACCGGTACCGGTACCTAAGCTCCCCGCAGCGCGAACCTGCGACACGCACACGCAACATGTAGTGTGCACAATTCCCCACCTTTTGGTGTCTAATAACCCTAATGCCTACGCGAGCAATCAAGGCGATCTTCTACACACGCTTTCATCATGAGAAAGGTAAGCGTGCCGCGCCTAGCAGAGCTCATAGCTAATGCCCTCAGGTTCACGTGTCCTCCACCAAGTCCCAGCAGGCGCTATAACACCGTCAACCTCACCCTCCGCCCTGCCAGTGCCCCTCTTTCAGTTCTCGTCGGTGACGCAATACCTCATACCTACCCAGCAGTTTTGCGATCGTCTCATAACTTGCTGCGTCAACCACCACCGCATCATCGGTTACCCTGTCTGCATAAAGGAAGAGAAGAAATACGAAAGAAATGAATTCATCTTCAACTTTGCTGTTGTAATCAGCGAGAATGAGGCAGATTGGGCGTGCTATGGACAGGTAGTGAGGAAACTGGGACGTCTGCTGAGAGGGCTGGAAGAGCAGGGAGGCTTTCTTAGCAAAGAAGAGGATGGTGTTTGGGACGATGAGAATGTAGGTCTTGGGATAGGAGGTGGTGGCATGGACAACAGTATGGGTGGCAGTGGCTTTGGGATAGGCAGCGGCAGCAAAGTGTACGCGCTGTGTGAGATGGTGCTTGAAGACCTCAACAATTATGCTGAGTGCATGATACCAATTGGTATGCTTCCTTTGACTTGAGGTATATCTAGCGTTACTGACGGCGACAGACGACTCGAACACTATCAACTTGAAGCTCTTCCCTACAAGACCACCGCCTCCACCCGTTCTCGCGCATCAGGTCCCGCTCCTCACGATGTCGCTCGCTGGCCTACAGTCGCCAATCTCGTCAGACCTTACATTGAACCGCATTCTGCCATATATCAATGGTGTAAACTCCATATCACGAATCGCTCAGCTTGCGGATACAGACCTCTCCTTGACACGGAGAGCGGTGCAACATCTGGTGTACTATGGGTGTTTGGTGCTCTTGGATATCTTCAGCTTTAGCGCTATCTATGCACCGACGGCAGAGATTGGCGGCTTCATTGTAGATGACGATATTAAGGAGGAATGTATGAGATATGTCAGGACGCCGAAGCTGAGAATAGGATCAGCGGTCAGCAGAACTACGGGTGGGCGAAGCGAGTCTGAACGGAGCCGAGATAAACGCAGCTCGATATCCTCATCAGCGTCGCAGCAAAGCGAGACTGCAAGCTCAACAATTCACATTTCGGACTTCGATGCTGGAGAGAAGCAAGATGAGAACAAGGACGAGGACGAGTGGCACATCGAGTACGAGACGTTGAGCACATTATACACGTCCTTGCGACAAGGGCTCACATTGAAGAACTGGGTGCTCGATAACCTCGACCTGCTTAGTGGCATCGATATCCGTCGATTCATCACCTTCGGCATCATCAAAGGCTTCCTGTATCGTGTCCACAAATACGCATACGCAACATCGACAGCACTGCCTCCAGCACTACCTACAAGTCTTCAGACGTCAGCTGCGCCCTCAACCTCGAACTTGAGAGACTCTGATACAACTACTATTCGTGGCAATGGTCACCACCCTTCGATAATTAACCTACACTCGCACACACAACACTCTTCGTTATCAGTACACCGACCTTCAATCGCCTCGACGAGTCTGGATCCGCACCTAGCGAACACACATCACCATCACAAAGCGCCGAGTGTCTCGCGAAACCAGGAGTTGAAGGAGATGGATAAGCTAGTCAGTGATAGGGAGAGAGAGAGTGGGCTGCCTTTAGTAAGGTTTCTAGACGGGATGCACTGCTTCGATGAGATCTGCAGTGAGCTATCACTGCCCGAGAAAATAGTTGAAGGTAAGATCAGGGGAGTCGGCGAGGGTCTTGGGGTGGTAATACATCGGTGATACCCATAAATGATCCTCGAGATTTGCACTAGTTACCAGCATTTACGAACATGATCGTGAAGCAACAAGTGGAACTCTCCGGTGAAAATGGAGAAGTCGTGGAGCAATTGTGGGCCGTGTAGCCTCACTCCTTCCTTCTCGAAGCCTGTCAGGCATCACCGAGTAAATGTAGCGGCCCCACAACCACATGACCATCATGTCCAGCCAAACCCACACGGCCAAACCCAACGCAGCGCGCCCTGCATGCGTCGTCTGCGTGATGCACATCATCCGTACAACGTCGTGAGACCACGCATGACTTGACACAGGCATTGACACGCCCGCGGGCTGCGCTGCGAACGCACTTCCGGCCCATGTGGAGAAAAGGTTGGGACGGTGGGCGCTCAACAGCGGGCCTTTGGCTGAGGGAGCTGCGTGAGTTTGAATACAAAAGCAAGCAACGACCCTGAGTTGCAGCACATATAGTCGCTAGATATATTGTACTCCTTACCTACTCAAACACCAAAACACAAATCTCACGCATTCGACGAAGACATCCATGATGCTCGCTCTCCTCAGCGCCGCAACACTTACCCTCGTCGTCGGCCTAAAGCTCACAGCCCTCGGCCTAGTTTTCAAATGGATGGCTCGATACTGAGCCCTTTCGATCCCAAGGCGCTTCCAGCGCGGTCCGCGCAAGATTCGGCCTCAACTCGCACAAAACCAGACCAGAAATCGGGCAGAAACCAGGCGAACATCGCGATTCACGAAGCACCTTCGGCGAGCACCCACGACGCACCCTCACTCTCTGGCCCTAGCTCGATAACAGATCCCAATGTCCACAATAATGCAATATCGGGCTCGGATATTTGTGAGTCAGGGCGTGTGATAGCGGAACAAATTGAGCGTGTCAGGGGCTCGCGAAGCTGCGTGCGACCTGTGGCCGGCCTGAGAGCAAGCGCGCAAGCCCTGACTGTGCTATGGCTTGCAGATACACTTGCAGGTGCCGGAGCTGAGTCCGGCCGGCACGTTAAAGGTGACTCGGACACTGAATTCGGAAAAGATTTCCCAAACGAGTGGCACTATGATGGATTGAGGTGGAGGGCGGAAAGACCCCGCATTGCGTGATACCCCGCAACACCGATGCCGGCATCACGAGAGGTGATGTGATAGATCGAGGGACGGCGTTTGAGAGCGTAGATACCGTAGAACACCGTGGTATCACGTTACCTCGTACAAGACAAGCTGCAACGACCACACACCTCCTTCTGTCCAGACACGCAAACGCCATGGCGGCCGACGCAGAGGCGTTCACCGAGCTGCCCATCCTGCCGCTCTCCCAGGCCCTGAGTCCAAGTACCAAACCTCAATTTCTTGCGGACCTGCGGTCTGCGCTGCTTAATGTGGGGTTCTTGTATCTGAGCGAGACAGGGCTGCCCGAGCAGTTGGTCGCGGACGTGATTAAGGAGTGCAAGGGCTTCTTTGAGAATCTACCCCAGGAGGAGAAGGAGAGGATTGAGATGAAGAATAAGAAGAGTTTCTTGGGATGGAGTCGAGTGAGTTGTCATCTCATTATGTGCTGAAAGTAGGACTCTGTGTTTTGGTTGGTTGTAGTGGTTGATTGTAGTGGTTGATCTTCGTTGGACGAACGGTCTACAGTCCAGCGGCACTCGTACAGTCGTATGCTATGCTATGTTCTGCTGTGTATATGCACATGCAGTGAAATGAACAGAAGGGGGACGCTGAAGATGTTACTAAGGGTACGAGAGGGAAAAGAGAAAGAGCGCTCAACCAGACATCTTCCCTGTTATCAAACGCTGTAAAGCAGACCCCTGTATCTTTCGTCATGTAACCACCAAAAGGTCGATCGTATGACCGCCTTGTAGTCGCTCGGCCAGTACGCCTTCCTCCTTTTTTTGCTTGGACCAATACCAAACGTTTGCTGACGACCTCCAAGCTCGACAACGAGACTACAGCACTCAATACAGATCACCGCGAACAACTTGATCTGTCGACGCCGCATCCAGTTCCAAGACCAGAGGCGCCCCTGTACCACAATCTTCTTGCACCAAATCAATGGCCATCATCACAGCACCTCCCAGCTTTTCGACCTGCGTACGAGGAGTACATGCGCCGCATGTCTGACATATCCACTCTCTTCACGTCATTGATTGCCGAGGCGATAGGTCTCCCCGCTGATGCATTCATGCAATTTTTCGACGAAGGTCAGCAACACAAGCTGAAAATCGTCAAGTACCCCGAAGTCGACGTGCCAGATCTGCCAGCTGGAGCAAGTGAGATCGACAGGAAGAAGTGGGAGATCAAGCGGCAGGGTGTTGGTCCACACAAGGACAGCATGCTCACCAGCTACCTGCTGCAAGCGAGCAAACAACCAGGTCTGCAGGCACAAAACGCTAAAGGGCAGTGGATCGACTGCAAGCCCATAGACGGGACACTCGTAGTTGCGATCGGGCAGGGAATGGAGGCTCTAACGAACGGCGTCTGCGCGTCAACGACACATCGCGTGCTCAGTCCACGGAAGGGTGAAGGCGCGCGATACTCTGTTCCGTTCTTTCAGGGCGTGAGCTACGATGCAGAATTTGAAGCCATGGATGTCCCAGAGTCCGTTCTTAAGCTGCGCGACGAAGCACGCAATGACAGGAAGGATGACGTCGAGTTCACCTTTGTCAAGGGCAAGTGGGGACACTTAGGAGAGGCCACGCTGATGAACAGAGTGAAGAGTCACCCGGATGTAGGAGAAAGATGGTATCCAGAGCTGCTTCGGCAGATCAGAGCACAGCAAGCGGCAGCGACAGCAGCGTAGACGCAATTGCCGATGAGCGTCGGACAATGATAAAAAACTTTGTCGCACTTCTTCGCCGGTCTTGAAATGCCAAACATGAGACTATCGATTTCTGCGTGTGTGCATCATCGCGCAGGCCGCACGACGACACCGGTTGCGGTGAGCTGATTTCTGACCCAATGCGGAAGCCTTGCCAGATGCATGAGCACGGGTGAGGTCGGACCTCTGTACCCTCCGAGAAGCGATTGGCTGCAGCGGGTGCCAGGTCCACGTCGTCGGCTCGAGCGGGCTGCCCGCCTAAACCGCACTAGCAACCCCTTCTGGAGTGTATCGCTCGCTTGGCGCAGGGCATTTTCTGCTGGCCTCGGCGTATCGGCCAAAGGAGTATCGGATGACTATAGCCGCGCGGCAGACGATGGCCCGCCAGAAGCACGATGGATAGAACGCGGGAAGACGGTGTATTTGATATTGACGTGTTTCATGAACCTTACAGACTACTGTAACCGTGGTAGAGCAGCGCGGCTTGCAATCGCGGAACTGTAGCGTGTTCCACTTCGCTCTCAGTGTCGGTGTCGAGGATCTCGGCGTATTGTCTGTTTTTGGAGTCGATCTCGGAGTAAACTGAAGCGACCAACGCCCGTAACCTTGTCTCCACGGAGAATTCCACTTTCGTATGACCTCGCGTCTCCACCTCTTGAGCATCGTTTGGCAAGGACTGCTTGCCCCTAATAATTCCATGGTCCGTATTATGGGCACCTTAGCGGATTCTGATGCGATCCTGCTGACTGCTGACTGCAATACTGCCTCGAGTGGATCCTGCGCGTTGCGTTTCATTTCGATTAATGCCGTGCGGGGATGACCGTGAAGGTTTGCCCACGCGTTTCTGGACGTGCTCTCGCGATTTGATTAACTCTCGCAATGCTGCGCAAGATTATATCCGAGCAGGGTGTGCCATCGTGCTGATACAATCGCCGTCATTGCGCCGATTGACATGGATGCCTTGTCCGGCAGCATCAACCGTGAGGTCTCGAGGACGCTGGCCGGAATATTCCTCTGCCATGAACCCAGACACTACTCTGACCGATCAAAGTACTCGTACTGATGCCGTGATAGAAATCCATTGTTCATGTTTCTAGTCGATCCATGACCCTGGTCTGGGCAGACGAGCCGCGAGCTTTGAGGTCGAAACAGTGTATACGTCCGACTTCGGAGCCCCTGCAGCTGGGATCTGCCCGCGAAGGATTACGCGTTGCTTCGACGTCTGCTCAATGCTCAACCTTCATGTTGGGCTGCATGTACATCATGTGTTGTCCAGGCTCTCCCATCATCTGCGGCTGAGGCGGAGGGTGCGAGTGAGGCGCGTGAGCCATCATAGGCATCTCTCCAGGGTGGCTGACTTGCGGTGCGTAGCCCTGATGAGCGTATGCGGGATACGGTGCGGAAGTTTGATGTTGCGCGTGTGGGTGTTGCGGAGGCGCCTGGTGGTTCATTGGAACGCTCATGTGTCGCTGGTAATCAGATGCGTGCGGCGAAGGGTGCGAAGTTGGTGTTCCGTAGCCTGTCATTTGCATAGGCTGAGAAGTGACAAGCGGTGCATTGTCGAGAGGATATGACATAGCTCGCGTGTTGCTCTCCAAGCCGTAGGGGCTAGGGTAGGGCTCCACGGCGTGGACTGAGGGATGCTCTGCAATCGAAACTGCGTGGTGCTGAGCATGCGATGAGGGGTGAGGACTCCATCGTGCGTCATGATGAGATGATGGGACGTCCATGGGCGCTGGCGCCTCGCCATGTGGTGAAGAAACATGGTGAGCGTATGCATGTTGTGTTTGCCAGTGGCTGGTCTGGGAAGCGGGCGTCGCAATATCAGGAACTGAGTGAACGCTGCGTGCTGTTCCAGTGGACGACCTGCGCGGCTGGCTGAGCATCTGGACGCGATCACTGGGCGAGGGGGCGCCTGCTGTCTCTCTAGTCAGCCATCATGCACCAGGTATCACATGTGTTTCACGGGAGCGATAGATCGATCTCGTTGCGTCAAACGGCAAATGACCAGTGGTCGTTATGAAGAACGCATGTCGCCCAAATAGGAAACCAAGTCAGGGTCTACGACGTTGACAACAAACGGAAAAGTGCGTGCCTCGCATGAACGAGCGTCGGCTACACAAACCGGGTGCGGGACGCCAAATGGAAAAGCAAAGAAGTGAATCCACTTGGCTCAAGAGGTAAACTTTGATCTGTGCTCCAAAGACAAGAAATTCGTCACATACCTGTGTTGTGCTCTGGGACGCCCAGAGTGGAAGGCCCGTGGCCCATGCGTGCGCGAAGTATGGCATTCTCTTGCTCCAGCTCGTCGTTGCGGCGCATGATATCAATCATCTTGGAGGAGGAGCTACTCTCCAGCTGGCTTTGAAGGTCGCGGACCTGGCGCTCGAGAGATTCAATGTGATCCTTGGTCCTCTGGCGGATGGCCCGCTGTGCTTCTCGGTCGTTGGCCCGCTTCCGCTCCAGCTGCGCAGCGGTAAGAGTGTTGACGCTGCGAGTTCCTGCTCTTGAGGGGCGCTTCTTGCCGCCAGACATTTTCCGTGACTCGCTCTCAGATGAGTGGCCATCGTATGACATGGCCTTCTTAGGATTGTCCATCATGTGGGGAGGCTGGTAGTTGGAGGTGCTCATAAAGTCGCTCCGGTAGGCGATAGGGTCACGGTAGTGGAGTACTGAAGTCATCGAGGATCCGCGAGAGGCGGTGAGTGTATTAGGCAGTGTCGACGTTGCTGTGTCAGCGGGGCCCAATTGAGAGGCGGTCCAAGCGTGAGACCGTGTCAATGGGGTGAAGTGACGGCGGCTGTTCCTGATATCCCAAGATCAGGGTATTGGCGAGGGTTAATGTAAGGTGTGCCGCACGCGCACAGATGACCCACAGACGTGGCAGCGAGAAGTGAGTCGTGAGTCGTTATGCGAGAAGGGTTCAGAACAGCGGAGATTACAAGATTGAACGGGAAAGCTAGAAGAGCGAAATGTCAGGAAGGAGGCAGGACATGGCTGGCAAGAGCCTATAACCTGTTCAGTGCTATCAGAGTTCGCGAATAGCGCCTTCTACCCTAGTCCTGCACTAGTGCTTGCGTTGCATCCCGGCACCTGGCTGTAGCCACACGCACACGTGGGTTCCTGGGGAATCGTTTCACTTTGGCCACTAGGGTTGGCACCATGAGGGTTGGTGCCTGACAAGCGCTGCTCACGCAAGCTGGATGCGTCTGCATGCAAACCCTTTGCAAGCTCCGCGGCATCATGTTGCCTCCATGGATGCGCGGCTCCTAGGGCAAAATGGCGGTGGCAGCGGTGCGTGGCGGACGCCCGAGCAGCCCCGTCAAAGGAGCTTTACCCTGCGTCCGGCGAACGCAGTAGTGGTTCTGGAAAGGCACCACGGGCGTCTAGCTCGAGGCATTACAGCACACTACTGAAAGTGGCCGTGGCCGAAGCTGCTGCGCGACACTAGCCCCTCGGGCCACCTTACCCAGAAGACACGGACGGCGAGAATCTCCGCTAGGAAAGCTTACGACCACGGCCACTGTGAAGGTCGAGAAGGGAGCGTCCGGTCCGGTTTTGGTCAACATGATCCGCGCTGTTGCCCGGTTCCGCCGCACCCACCGCTCATTCGAAATTTGCAGGACTTGAAAGATAGCAGCTCGAGCGGACCGTTCTGTGACGTTTCGCAGTACCATGGCGTGGTACTCAAGCTAAACTGCTTCAATTTTTCGGGGCACCAAACAAAAGAGGCTAGCGCTACGCCAAGGCCGCTCACACGTGGTGGCCCTGTCCAGTTGTTGCCCTCGCCGCTACCGTTCCGATCACTCCACCCAGGGATTGGTACTGTTGAGCTAGAGTGTCATCCTGTTGTAGACTCTGCAAACATGCAATCCCATTATGTTTTGATTGCGGCCCTATCTGAGCCGCCCGTCAGGGCAGCGGGCGACGGCGGTCGATCACGGAGAACAGCTTCTCCGGACGACTCACAGCTTGATCATTGATCAGAGAGGCAAGTTCCGATCTCTCGTGGCGGGAGCCCGTGTCGTGATTGCTACCTCTGCTCAGCTCGAGTGGTATGGTAAGCCTGCTCGGTCTTTCCCGAATACGTAGACACGTATACGTAGACACGTACAGCTCGCCGCCTGCACAGTTTACCAGCGGTGTCACCGACCTTCACTGCAGTGCCTTCCTAGGTACGTGCCCAACAAGCATGGGCGCTCGCTGCACTTGCATCCTGCGCTTCCAATAGACATGGGCAGCACGTGGAGGGTTATGCACATTTAGTAAGGCCTCTTGGTTGTGTGCAGGCATGTGTCTTCCGAACCTGTACTTGGGCGCGGACAAATGAAATGGAGCTTGGGCCGAGTTCTGTGGTGCGACCGTTCATTGAAGGCCTGAATTCAGTGGATTGTGCCCTGCTCATCATAAGTCGTGTGGCTTACTATGACATTCGCACGGGCATCTGGTGGATGCATTGCACGCAACAAACGGCCCAAAAGCAACTCCGCGACAATCTCCAAATGCCGATGCGCAAGAGTGGCAGGCAACCTTTCCTCGAGGCGGCAATAAGCCAGCCTATAGCATCATTATTTACTGACTGAACGCACATTCGAGATCGGATATTCACCGCTCGTCCCCTGCGTACTTAGGTCGATCATGTTGCTGTGAGACATTGAGGCTAGGCCAGAGCTAGACGAAGACGGAGCCAAGCTCGGCATCCTCCTGCTCGCTTCGTTCGCATGCATCTGGACGGCCAATAGAAGAAGCTTCCGCTGGCTCTGAAAATTGTCCACAAGTCTTTCCCGCTGCGGAGGACAGCTTGGCGACATTATTGGACGAGGTTGATTATCGGCAAACAGGGCAGGATGAGCCAAAGCACGCACAGAAGCGCTGGGCTAATTTGCCGCGAAGCACCCGCGAGCCGCGATGAGAGAAAGGACCGAAGCGGTAGTGGACGGAGACTGAGAAAATCCCGTTCGTCGTGATGCACGTTCACCGCTGGTCAGGGATTATCGACCCCGATCCACTACGCAACACCTTGGACGCAAATTGAGACCACTTCGAGGTTAGCAACATCGTTGCAAACGGAAAGAAGCGAACGTCTCGATATACTTGAGACAGCCACAGCTGTACGTCGTTAAAATAGGTATCGATTTATTTCATAGCTGCTTCAGACTGCGAACAACATGCGAGAGCTTGCGAACCCTCTAGCGTCGAAGGTTTAGCGGTGTTGGAAATAGTGCCGAGCTCGGGACACTGCATTTGGGCAGCCAGTCCTAAAGTACTGGACCCCTGACACCGCATTGCATCAAAAGGTTGCTCATCTGAACGGTGAGAATAAACTTTCACCACTTCCCCACGGAGGGTGAGAACGATTATGGCTTCGGTGCGTCTGATATCGGCCGAACCACAGATCTCTGATTGCAGCCCAAGTTATGCGTCTCGATCCCCGAGGTCCATGGGTGCATAGCGGCAGATCGTGATGTTGGACATGACAACGGATGTCGGCGGTAACTATCTAAAGACGGAAAGAATGTCTTCTGGAAGCCTGAGCAGCCGGGGCTATGTCCTCGCTTCACCTTACTCGCCAGACGGCTGCATGTAGGTATGCTTAGCGTCCACATCTCGTGGAACCAGGTTAGGTTACCCAAGGCACCATGTTCGGATTAACGTCCATACTGTAACAACCGTTCGCATGATTGCGCAAGTATGCAAGAAACGCGAGGAGGGCACGTCTCTACCAGACGTGAAAACACATCACCAGTCATCATCCGTCGCACCTTGAAATCCTACTAGTGCCTAAAACTCTGTTACAGCGGTCGATTAGCGGGTTAGGCACCGTGGAACCATACATCCGCACAACCCGACATCTTCCCACGAACATAGAAGTGCAGCCCGTAGACTACTTGAGCCGCCTTTTTAGCGGCCTGCCTCACCGGACACAAAGGCCACGAGGACGAAATCTGAAACATGCTTGCAAATATTAGAGTTTGCGGGAAGCCCAAGGCCCGGCTGGCACACTTCGACTCGTGCACGCCCACGGCAGGCGGCCTCCATGCATCTCTAATCTTCGAGTGCGCTTCTAGCTATGCGACTAGAAGGGGATCTTGGATTGTTGCACCTTGGTAGCTGCTCGGGGACATGTTCGGAGATGTGATTGCGACGTTGATGGCGAAGTTCGGCGATTCGCATATTCGTTAGCAAACCGGGCGCAGCATCTCGTTGGTCGAATAGAAATGGTCAGGAGAATGACAGCAATACGCGAGTGGCTGGATCGGATTTGGCGTCGATGCATTCTGTAACAACACCGAATGGCCGGCATGGGGCGTTGGGCGTCAGCGTCGCCGCTCGCCAAAACACCACGCGTCCGCGCATCTCAACAGGTGTAGAGAGACGAATAACACGCAAAGCATCTTCCCACAAAGGGCTGCAAGTCCGGAGTCCCTGAAGAACCAGCAGAATGACTAGAGGATTTCCATTACAGTAGCGCTAGAAGATTGCTAGAAGCCCAGGATGACAATCTCTGCAGCTCATCTCTCCTGACGCCACACCCGTGGCACGACCCAGCTTAACAAAAGTACTTAGTCCTTTTTGATGTACTGATCGAAGATCTTTGAGATCTCGCGCGCGCTCTTCTTTGGATGACGTTTCTGGCCGCCCTTGTAGTCCACATAGGTTACACCGAATCGTGTCGTGTAGCCTTCGGCCCACTCGAAATTGCTGCAGGTACACCGTTAGTACGTCGTCTTCTGCGGAGTATTGGTGGGAACCTAATGGGCGGATGACAGCTAGGGTCAGAATTGACAGACCCCGTCCAGACATCTCACTATGACTTTTGGGGAAAGTTTGGTAAAGATGAGAAAAGTGGGTGTGACGTACTCCATAAGACTCCATGCCGAGTAGCCACGGACGTCTACGCCGTCCAAGGCATGAGCATCCGCAAGGGCGCCAACATATCCTCGGAAGTATTCAACGCGGAACTCATCATTCAGGAGCTCCTCGAGTGGAAGCTCGTTCTCACCCTTCAGACTAGTGCCATTCTCTGTGACATAGAAGGTAGGTCCACCATAGCGATCGCTGAGCCACTTAATCAGCTTCCTGAATCCCAGAGGCATGGGTCTCAGCCAGACAGATTGTGTCTCTGGGCCGATCCACTCTCCCTTCTTGTTCTGCATGAGCATCTCCAGGTTGCCAGCAAAGTCATCTAGCTCTGGCTCGGTATCCTTGTGCTTGATGTAGTTCGCGCAGTAGTGGTTCATGCCATAGAAGTCATTGCTGCCCTGGACAAGCGCAGCCTCCTCTGGAGTGAACTCAGGCAGCCTGTCTCCAAGCTGCTTGCGCATAGAGTCTGGGTATTTGCCGAAGTAGATTGGGTCGCCAAACCAGCAGATGGAGAACTCAATCTTGCGATCGCAAGCCTCACGGTCCTTAGGATCTTCCGGGTCCCATGGTTCGGTCCAATCCCCTACGCGGCGTTAGCTATCAGTTCGAGAAGTGTATGCAGCCTTCACTTTAGCCGCCCCTACGTGTATGCGGCATTGCGTTCATGCGGCGCTGCTGAACGATGCATGCCCAGATGAGGCACGGCAGACCACGTGTGCCTCGGGAAAATACCACCTAAGCACGGGGAAATGCCATGTGACATGGGGTATACCATGGTGCCATGTGGCACGGAGAAATTCGATACCACGTGGGATCGCTTACCATTAAGGGTGATACCAATTTGGCCTCCGTCTTGCTTCTTGAAGTCATCGCGATACGCCTTGACTGCAGCGCCGTGGGCCAGAAGGAAATTGTGACCCACGATCCAGGGCTCCCTGCTACTGTCGCCATCTTTGCTCTTGCTCCTATCACTTGTGCGTCCAGGCGCAAAGAGGCCGGTGCTGTAGCCCAGAATGGAACTGCACCAAGGCTCGTTGAAGGTGATCCATAGTTTGACTGTCGAACCGAAGGCCTTGAAACACACCCTAGCGTAGTTCTCGAAATCCTTGACAAACTCCTCTTTGTTCAACAAGCCACCATACCGCTTGTCGAGACCTTCGGGAAGATCCCAGTGAAACAGCGTTATCATCGGCTCGATGCCTGCAGCCCGCAAGTCCTTAGCGAACTTGACGTAGTGGTCAATACCCTTCTGGTTGACAGGGTCATTGCGTCCACCGAGCGGGATGATGCGCGACCATGAAAGCGAGAAACGGTAGGATTTAGCACCAAGCTGCTTCAGCAGAGCAATGTCTTCCCCAGTGCGGTGGTAAGAGTCACAGGCTACATCGCCTGATTCTCCACCTGCGATCTTACCCGGGATACGGCAGAAAGTGTCCCAAATCGAGTCTCCACGGCCGTCTTCGGCGGGAGCACCCTCAATTTGATAACTGCAAGGTCTTAGTCAGTATTCGAGTGACGTTGCAACACCTTGATGGCGTATGCTAGACGGCAGAGCTATTGAAGCACGCACCTTGCTGTTGCAAACCCCCACAAGAAGTCCTTCGGCAAGTATGAGTCTGGCATGTTGAAACGATAGTGTGCAATTGGCAATGCACTGTTCAGGTGACGATTGCAGACAGACAATCAAACGCTGAAGTGGGCTTTGCACTTCATATACCAAGCCCTAGGCTTGGTTCTCATCTCGTTGGGTCACGGAGCGCGTCCCGCCGTGGCCGTCTCTACGCGTCTACGTAACTTTTGCAAACACAAGTAGCACATGCAAGCGGATCCTGAGGGTGGGACTGCATTCAGGCGGTTGAGCAGCCGTTTCTCCGCGTCCTCAGTGGCTGGTCAAACCACAGCCCCGCCCTCAATCACAGTCACTCGACGCTATGCTTACGAGGTCGCGAAGCTGTACTCCGTTACTGTCATGGGACTCCTGATGCTCAAGGCGGTCAATGGAGCCGCGGCCCGTCTGATCAGCCTGCCTTTTATCCAGCACAACAGCCTCGTCATGTTGGGGGCCGAGCTGGCGGTGCTCACTGAAGCGGGGTGGCGGGGTACTGATAGGATACGAGCTCTTGTCTTCTCCGACAAATATGGCTTCGTCGAGGCGTCGCACAGCTGCATTCCTCTCGCTCTCATTTGCGAGTGTCGGAACAGGATGACGATGCGCCTTCGACTCCAGCGGAACGATTGCTTTGGGAGTGGTGGCAATTGAGCGAAGATCAGCCGAGAGAGACGCGTTGCCCTGTTAAGAATGGCATCCGCGAGCTCAGCTCTTCCCTACATCTTGGGAGTTGCGACTCTGTGTCGGAACCACAGCTCGTCGAGAGGAGCAGGCGACGCAGCAGAGACTATATAACGGGCGTAGTATTCGAAGAGAGGAGGACGTTCTAAATGATTCAGCATCGTAGGCAGTCAGCGATTCGCATCCGCCATGCTTTCCTTATCTCGAACCGTCCGAACTCCGACCAGACGATTTGCGACACAACTGCGCGCAGCTTCAACACAGGCGCAAAAGCGCGCGGGCGACATCTCTGATGCATTCGCATCTCTTTCTGGACAGGAGTTTAAGCCATTGACACCCGAGTATGCCGACCTCAAAGGTCGTCTGATCAAAGGGCGCGAAAATGAAGTACGAGAGTCTTGGGAGCGCTTACTCCGGAAACTGCGGGAAGAGATACCGCTCATCGTGGAACTGGGCTCCAAGGTCATTCCTGAGATTGATTTCAAGGACATCGACAATGCGCCAGAGGTCTTCAACAACGAGTTGAGGAACAGAGGTGTGGTCGTAGTCAGGGGAGTGGTGCCAGAGGATGAAGCACTGCAATGGAAGGTGGACTTGCGCGAGTATATTCGCCAGAATCCTCAGACAAAAGGCAGGAACGCTGTTCTAGTATAAACACAACTCATTAATCATGTTGCAGCTTTCCCTGCCAATAGTCCTCAGGTCTTCGAGCTATACTGGTCGCGCACACAGCTGCTCGCACGCGGTCACCCAAATATGCTGAAGACCCAGAAGTTTCTGATGTCGTTCTGGCACAGCATCAACCCGCACATCCCAATATCGACACAACATCCCGTTAGCTACGCCGATCGTCTTCGAATGCGCCAGCCTGGCGATGCCAAATTCGCCGTGGGGCCACACGTGGACGGCGGAAGCGTCGAGCGCTGGGACGAGAAGGGATACGGTTTGGGCAAAGTCTACGACTCGGTCTGGAAAGGGAAATGGGAAGACTTTGACCCCTGGGAGGCGAGCTGCCGTCTGTTGGCCAAGCTTGACCTGCACCAGGGCGTAGGAGCTTGCAGCGCGTTTCGCATGTTCCAGGGCTGGTTGTCGCTGAGTACATGCAGTGCGTTTGAGGGCACTTTGCTTGTCAATCCACTTCTGGCCAAGGCAACTGCGTACTACCTTCTCCGCCCATTTTTCTCGCCGAAGCGTGGCGTCGACCAGGGCGCGCAGACAGCTTCTGAAGCCGTCACCAAGTCAACCGACTTCCTCGCTTCTGAGAACTGGGAGATGGATGCTACGCCCTCGGCTTGGGTACAGGGTGCTACACCAGGTCATGGACAGGAGCTCTCGCGCCTGCTGCATCCTCACCTCGACTTGCAGAAGTCGATGGTCCACATGCCAACAGTCAAGCCTGGTGACTACGTCGCATGGCATTGCGATACCGTCCATGCTGTCGACAAGGTCCATGCAGGCAAGGTTGACTCGAGCGTGATGTACATTCCGGCTTGCCCAATGACAGAGGATAATGCGAACTACCTCGTGCGCCAGCGTGACAACTTTATCGATGGCACACCCAGTCCTGACTTCGGAGGCGGTATTGGTGAGAGCCAGCACGTTGGACGCATCAAGCCTGAAGAGATGCACGAGCTGGTTGGTGAAGAAGGTTGCCGCGCAATGGGTCTAGAGGCGTGGGACAGCGACGCTGCCGGTTTGATCCCTGGGCAGCGCGTAATCCTGGACAGGGCGAATAAGATCCTAGGGTTCTATGACTAGGACTCTGGACGTCAACTGTAATTCTTAGTGTCTTTTAACTGTGATTGCTCTTGTACATGTCTATCTTCCTTTCAAATCTAATTGCGCCATCTAGCCAAATGCGTCGCACCTACTACCAGCGCCAAACTCTTTTTTTGGCCCCACGTCTACCAATGCACTCGCTTCTCTTACAACATTTACTACCCTGCAACTCATCAAAATGCACTGCATAAGGATAACCGGTCAGACACAGTCATGTAAGCATAAAGCGGCAATCTCAAAGCTTAAGCGTTGCACGCTATCAGGACGCACAGCTCAATACCAACAAGCTCACTGCCCGCCTTCTACAAGTCTCGCCCACGCTAGCAGAGAACTCAATAGAGAGTGCGAAATCTTCCATAACACTATCAATGCTACACACAAATGCCTTTCTCACAGACAAGGTAGGCCCTTATCGTTAGAGGCTGTCTTGGTCCATAGTAGACGTCTTTACTATACAGCGAAACCGGTACAACCACGTCCTGTTCAAGCACTCATAGGAAAACAGCTAATAACGAGAGCTCCGCCTAACGTGGATGAATACTCCCTTTATCTAACAAATGAATGACTTGATCGAGACAAGACAGGTTGCACAAATGGGCCAGTTCTTTCGCAATGCTTTGAGGGTCAATGTGTGGCTCGGTAATGATGCTAAGACATCTACCCATGCCAAAGGAGGCATTGTGCATCCACTACTCACTTATTCGCGTAATGATTTCCTCAGATTTCGTCCTGTCGACGTATTAGGTGCTGGCACGGTGGACTACATAGCTAGAAAGATACGAGCAATTGAACAAGCCATTATCCTGGCTGAATGCAGGAGCACAGCTTGTATCACGCCGGAATCGTGTCTTGCGCGGTGAGCTGTGCTGGTTTCGAAATTCAAGTATGACGCGCTCCTCCAAAAGCTGCTGGAAATAGAGCGCTGGTGTGTAGTACAAATAAATGACCAACCTCCTTGTGAACTGACCAGCTGTATCGTCTGGCACGGTGCTGCCAAACTCTTGTTACCCGTACTCGAATGTCTTTCAGGGTAAGTCATAAGACACGAGACGGCTTTATCAGTCTTCTGCATAGAGTTCCTGATAAGCGGTGCACTATTCCTCAAGCTCGCATTTTTTCCTTTATACCACTGTACACTGATGGAGGCATAATTAGAGTAAGTTATTTCCTAGCTAACAACGAGCTAATATGCGACGCTTCGAAGTCGTGTACTCTGCAAGCAGTCTTTACACGAATGCATTATGCAAAAATCGTCGTGATAGCCATCTCTATAATATGGGCACCCTACTATAGGCAAACAGTAGTTCCGTTCTCTCAAACACCTGGGGATATCGTCGATTGACGCCCGACGATATGCGCGAACCTCATGAACACCGGCGATGTCAACAGGCGTTGGGTCCTTAGGTTGGATGACACGTTGAAGATGACCAATTTGCAGACCTCTCGCGGGAGAGAGCTCAGCCCACTGGAAATGGGTTGACTTGTGTCTGGGAAGTACAGCTGTTGCGAAGTTAGGGCTTCCTGTTGTGCTTGAAACACTGATTCGCAAAACTTTCTTTTGATTACAGCCGTTCTTGCTTCGAAACATTTGAGTGTAAACGAATAACTCTTGGTGGAGATGACTAGGGGAGCTTCGTTCTCCAGATTGACATCCTTCAACGCAAAGACCTTTAAAGACGGGAAAAGATGGCTGCAAAAGTATGTCGTGAAGCTATTGTCCACAGAACTGCTGTTGCATACAATGTAGTTCCCGTGCGACCGCCGAATCGTCAGGAATTTCACAGTCATGTTGACTGTAGAGGCCAAGATTTTAAAGACGGGAAGAAATGCGCCGCAAGTTGGGTCATGGAGGTGAATATTGTCATTGCCCCCAAACTTCACGTCATCAAGACAAAGTGACTGCAGCCGAAGGACACCAAGCTCGTGCCAGATCCGTTCTATCAAGTTCTTGAAGAATCTGGGTGCAGCGACTATCTGGTAAATTCCGGGCCGTAGCCATCGGTGCGCACTGTAGTCATCAAGGCTTCATGGCCTGCCCAGGCTTCGACGAGTACGGGGACCTTCACTTTTTGAAGAAGGGACAGCACTGAAATGAGAATATTCATGAGCTCAAGTGATCTCTCATACTTGAGCCTACCTTGATAAAAGAAAACCTCTACTCTGTGGAGGTGATCCTCTTGTATCTGCAAGAGCAGGAAACGGTCTTTTGCGAAATGCTATAGAACACTGAGACTACGAGAACTTCGCAATCAGAGATTAGCCTTTATGGATCCCTATAAGAATTCCTCCTGTCATGCCGCAGAGGTGGTGACACGTCAGGCGGAGATCGCGAATGAAATGGAGCCGCACTTCGTTATCTGTGTACCGGCTGCTACAGCGCAAGTAGTCGTTGTCTCCAGAACAGCAAATTATATCGATACGCTCTCTAGGTAGACGTATAGGTCCTAAGATCTGCATTTTGCCGGATGTGAAGATATACTTGATGCAACTCCAGGCTGGATTTTAGGTGCAAAGAAACGTTGATAAAAAGGAGTGTCAGGTAGGAGTTATCGTACTCAAACAGAGACCTCCGCCATCCTGCGACACAATAAAGGGTTTCTGCTGATCGGTAGCGAGACCCTCTATAAGGTAGGTAATACTGCTACACTACTAGAACCGCATAAGAGAGGACTGCAGCGGCGGTAGGGCCAACTAAGGGTCCTTAGATTATGGTAGTATATGAGGAGGAGAGACATAATGACTGAATAGGTAGCAACTTGTCCTATTGAACATGCAATACATTCTTGAACCTCCTCTGTTCCATAACGTGCCACTACTCTTCCTATAGAACTTGACAACTGAACCGTGGGGTACGTTGATAGCCTAAAGCGCAAGCCATATTCTAACCTCTGATAAGGATAATAGATTACATTATTAACAAGGCATTGTGTTGTATAGTGGAAATTTAGTGAGGTCTTAGTAGAGTGGGTGACTTACCCGTATGGGCGGCTCACTCGTGAGGTAGGTTGTTTGAAACGTGCACAAGCTAAGGATTTGTCTGACCGCGAAACCGAATGAAGAATTGAGTGCGTTGTTGAGTAAGCCTAGTTGGCCTGATCTCTGTTGAGATGTGTTTCGCGATGTGTGCTCTACTTATGAGATGAATGCAGGCCTCTTCGAATCGACCGCGCAACAACTCGACCAAAACGAGTAGCGAATGCATAGTTGCCGCCGCGAACCGTTCTGCCTTTAGTATCTTCCACTCACCGCCGAGAAAGTTCTGCAGACATTTTAGTGCGCTTCCGTAGTGCTCAAGGAGGGAGATTTTAAGAGCGTCAGGCGCAAGTCCTTCTCTTAAGCGATTGACCGGATCCCTTACGTGCCTTTTGTGCGCAGCGCTCAGAGTAAGTAACGCTTGTAATGTTTTCTTTGCTTAAGCCGTTGCTTGTAGGATTGCGGGATCCCAAAACGAGGAACTGAGGATGCGAGTACGTGCTGCTGCTGTGCCGTGGATAAACCATTCGAGATATCGATATGACTGCTTCTGGGATGAGACACGCAGCCTTGGCGCGGACGAAGGCTTGCTGCGGATTTTATTCGCCATAGCCACATGGATGTCGTTTGAGGTTGATGTCGGTGTTGAGTGGGTGTCTTCTTTGATAGTACCTCCCCTACCCCATATACCGCAGCCATCACATACTTGGCCCAGTCTTACGCACTGTAGACATACTGGAAAGGCTTCATCGCACTTGAATCGTTGCTTCCTATCCGAAGCCAGTTGAAGGAGACGCAAAAGCAGCAATTACTTACATGCTCCACATCCCGTCCGAGTCTTTCAATGTTGCTTGCGCGGCGCCGACAGCATGATGGGAGCAGGAAAAGTGTTAGCTCTTGAATGAGTAGTAAGTGGCTAAGGGCTTCCATATGAACGACCCCCTCGGGAGTGGAACTGCCGGAAGGAGATCCTGAGGGATGGCAGTCAGGTAAACACTAGGCATGTCTCAGCACCACGGCTTGAGTGCATGAGCACATTGTCGGGCATGAAGGAGGAGCCGAAAATCAGCCTTGACCTCTGAAAACATGTCAGCTTGAAATTGAGCGTGACTTAGGTGTAGGCGGAGACGCGCCCCATAGAGTGATGAAAGGCGCGTTTGGATCTCTGATGGCTTGCCAGCCCGATCTGCGCGTCCAGCTGCACAACACCACACCGAACTTCTCAGCCCGAGCCAATGACTCAATGGCATCTCAGCGCACGCTGGAGCAGAAATTTTGAACGCGATAAATGAGTGAGAGCGCCTGATCATCCAATGTGATGGTTCCCACTTCGTCAACAAGTACGCCAACGCCAAAGTGTCATGCGTATAAAAACACCGCATCAGCTAACCAAGCAACGCGGCTGCACTACCTGATCGAGTCAAATCTTTACCTGCAACGACTGCAGCGCAGTGACCTACGCTTTGTTCAACTTCTCAACAATCATCTCCTGAGCTCTACCGTGTGGTCCAGCCATTCGGCCATGCCAAACAGACTCCCTTCGTACCCACTGTCGGCCAACTCCGATGGAGTCGTCGAGAATTCTTGAATAGAATTTTTCACCCATTGAGCAGTTGCTAACTGCATTCGGAGATTTGAGGGCGGCGGAAGCGCGGCATGGCGTGCAAATGGCGGCTAATCACGATGGGCTCCACACAGCGAAATCAATAAGAGCGCATGCTCGGCCTCTAAAAGGAATGATCGCTCGAATACACGAAGACACAGCTTTTGAATGTGAAACGATTGCTTCATGACCACTACTCTACGTGGTTGGGTATACGCTCATCAACAGATAACTAACATTACATTTTGGTTCCTCGTAAATGGGACCTCCACAACGCCAAGTTCCACGGCTTCCTGAGACGCCTACTGACTACTCGAGAACTTCGCTTGGTCAGTGACGACCAGACCGGCGATACTAGCACTGGACAATGTCGAGAAGACACCGGATACAAGAGCAGACACAGCAAGACGAGAAACATCACCGCTGCGACCAGGGCTGATCTGGCTGAGCACACCGATTTGTGTACCGAGCGAACCAATGTTACCGAAACCGCACAGCGCGTAGGTGGCGATGAGACGGGATCGAGGTGACAGATTGTGGTACGGGGAGTCGGGCTCTTCTTTTGCCTGAAGCATGGTGAAGGCAACGAACTCGTTGGTGATGACCTTGACACCAATGAGACGACCGACGAGGAGCAGATCGTTACCCTGCCGAGAGACACCGAGGAGGAAGGCAACCGGGTAGAAAACGTATCCAAGAATGAGCTCAAGGGTAAGGTCGAACTCGCCGTCGAGGTTGATGTAACGGCCCCACCAGGTGAGAAGACCGTCAATCAGACCCAGGAGCGCAATGATACACAAGAGCGTGCAGATGATCATACCGGCGATCTTCAGACCAAGCCAAGCGCCGTTGGCGAAGGCGTGAAGAGCGTTGGCAGCCTTGTGCTCATCATCATCGGGGATGACGACACGTCCAGCAGTAAGTGACTCCTCCGTCTCGGGGTAACGAAGCTTGGACAGGGCAAGCGAAGCTGGAATGCTCATGACACAAGAGGAAATGAGAGCCTGAGGGTTTAATCCCATGCCGATGTAAGCGACGAGGACGGAACCAGCAATGGTAGCAAAACCAGAGCACATGACCTGGTGGAGCTCGGCCATTGTCAGGTGAGCAACGAAGGGCTTGATCAACATGGCAGATTCACCCTGACCGATGAAAGGCGAAGCAGAAGCGACGACCGCCTCGGCACCGGAAACCTTCATCGACCAGAAGAAAAAGACGGCGAATTTGCCAATGAACCACTGGATAAGACCCCAGTAGTAGAGAAGCTGAACGATCGAAACGAAGAAGATGATTGCGGGGATGACACTGAAGAAGAAGTAGGTGTTCTCCGCGATATCCGGAGTTGTGAGGAAGGCAACACCATCCCTGGCAAATCCGAGGAGCAGACGGGCCAGCTCGGAGATGAAGCTGAAGATGTCGTAACCGACGCCGGTTCTCAGGACGAAGAGCGCGATGATGAACTGAACCAACATTCCAACGATGACGGTGTGCCAGTTAATCGCGCTCCTGGTCTTGGAAGTCAACCAGAAGCCGAAGATGAAGACAGCGAGACCAAAGAGAGAAATAGCGCGGTTGGCACGCGTGTTGTCCTCGCTTTCCTCGCTAGCCATGGAACCAACGATGATGACGGCAATAGTGAGCGCGGCGCCAGCAGGAATGCGCATCTTCTCGGGGACCATGTGGCCAATCCTGACTCCGGTGTTGTTCCAGACCCAGTGCATTGGCTTTGTGACAATGGTGATGGGTACATGGCACGTGATGATGCGGACCATGATTGCCAGCCAGAACAAGAAAGGAATGACCCAGTTCTTGTCATTGTGATGCAAGACTACAGACGCGATCCACCATCTAGTAGTGTCAGTTCAAACCGCATTGATAGCTTATATCACTCGGCATGGCTCACCCAGTGAAGAGAGCCGCGAGGAAGAGGTGCACGACCCATCTGAAGCGCCTGTAAAGTGCGCCTACGGACCATTTGCTCTTCTTCTCGACTTCGGGCTCAGGGTCTGTGGAGCTGCCACGCGTACCCTTCTCTTCGTAATCGATATCGGCGTTCTTCTCATACGTGCCCTGCTCGTGAAGACCGTGCTTCTCAGGCAGGCGGTGGTGCAGGCCGTGATCTTGCACACTCGGATCAGGGATGGTGCTCTTCTCATCAGTGGTTCCGGTCGTGTACATGATGTGGTCGTCGTGCACAGCACGTGGGCTGTGGTGCACGTGCTCGTGCTGATGTTCCTGGGACATGTGGAGGGCCAGGTCGTTGCTGGGCGCGACGCCGTGCTGGGCCGACGCGTTGTGCTCGTGGTGGGCCATGCTGGAAACCGGCACAAGAGCAATTCCTATCAACGACGTTGAAATGAGCGAGGAGCTGTTGGCTGAGGTTTTGGACAGGATGGCCGCGACGGGAATTATATTTTCGCACAGTGATTTGCGCTACCACGAAAATGGAGTGCATCCATCCACCGCCGGCCCAGACTACAACCTCGAATCCCCGGCCCTTTACCCTTGGCAACTTCCTCTTTCGATCTGGCTGGAGCGTTGCGGAGCGAAAGTTCATTGGCCCCCGGTCATCTCCGCTAGGTCCAGGTCTCTAGGTTCATCTCACGAGGCGCTCACTCGCTGCTGCATATGCGGGTGGCCTTGTGTGAAATTCACGAAGCATCGGCGCTCTTACCACGATTTGGCAACGCTGACTGGGATCGTTATCTTTCCCAGTCCTGATGGATGCGGTTGAACCAATTGGCGGTCCGAACGTGCTGTCAGAAGGCTTGGCTCGTGATAAGCGGAGGCAAAAGTACGCGGGGCTTCGGTTGAGGCGCCTTTCCTGGAAAGGTGCGTTTTCTGGAAGGAACCGCTCACACTTTACCTGGGCAGAGCCCCGTTATGTACGCCGAGAAAGGTTCGCTTGTGAATCCGGGAGGCGATGCCCTGCACCAGAGCAATATTAAGAGCAGCACTCGACGGCTGAGAGACTCGAAGCCTGGGGCATGAAACATGTTCAAACATCTGCGTTGTGTGGTGCAAGTGGCAACTCGCGGCGCTGATCCTGCGAAGGGATGACTTTAGCTTGACGCCGGGGCCATCATTCTCGCCCTTATCGACAAGCTGCATCGCACACGCAGCGCTATGTAACAAATGGTGTGCGCCATCTTCTTCGCGGCTTCGAGTCGCGCTTCTCGAAGTGATCAGCGAAGCCAGTTTCGGCCAAGAGTATCTCCAGCATCCCGATAACCAGGTTGACGCTAGCCCAATGCTACCTTCTTGCGCGCGCGGGTGTCCAGCTTGCAGATGATGGGAGCGGGGATGCCGTTATCACATCGACGCTTGCAGACAATTGCGCCGTCTTGAGAGTGGCGGAGGTCGCCTGATGTTACATGTTCAACTGAACGTTACGGAGCCCAACACGCCATGTGGCAGTTCGATAGAGCTTGTCTGTACGACTTCCAGCAGTTTGATCTTCTGCAGCAACGACGTCGCTGGCCCGGCTTGGATGATTTGCGATTCCCCGCAGTGGGGCTAGGGCCGTATGTCTACCGGTCCGCAAGAAGCAGCAACTCGCATGATGTTGACACATCGCGGGACGGGTTGTCGAGGCTTTGAACCGTTTAACACACCGAACTGCGCGTCTCAATAATTGTGCCGAGCTTCCCATGCTCTCACCAACAGCTTCTGACAACAACCCGAAACTCAACTTTCTATCAGACCACCACAGCAGAATGGGGTATGAGCAACTAGAAGGCGTCTCATTTCGAGACTGGTAGCCTTGCAACATCTTCGAGTTCAAGCAAAATAACGCAACACATGTCTCCTATCATCCGACTCAGCGACCACGAAATGCCATTACCAGGATACGATTCTTAGTGCGAAACCGAATGTGGCACGGTCAACGAACGATTTTCTCCAACCGTCACATGCTTCCAACGCCAGCCCCTGCGAACGCCATACCAAGACATCCACTCCGGCGCGTACAAGATTCAACAATGCAGCCGTTTGATAAGAAATCGGCAGTCTGCGAGACACGTCGGAGTGATACGCGCAAAAGTATCGAAGACGATTGTTATGCTCAGCCCTGTGGTGCTGACGGCTGCACCTTGCTGACTGCCACAGATAAGCATCAACGAACTACAGTGCACCAAGTGGGCCTGCACCCATGCCAGTGGGCCTGTACCCACGCCCTACGGCTCATGTATGCGATGTCGATGGCTCGTGTGGTGCGCTTGGAGCACCACCGCGGAGGCTCGGTCTTTGCAACGGTCGATTTGCCTTCCTACTGCCCATTCACCCATCACTTTCCTGACGAGGCACCAACGTGTCGCTGCAAGCTATCTGAACATCACGCACTGGTACCGTTCAATGTACAGAAGCTCAAGACTTGTTACTGGCTTCTCTCCCAACCTCGGACCATACATGTGTCTGCTGACCTAACGCAACGAGAGTATCTGCTCTGCGCTACTTCACTGTTGCATCGATCACGCTACCGACACTCGAAGCTCGTTCGCTGACCATCTGTTGTCATCTTTCGACAGTGTCCAGGGGGGCAACGGTCGTATTCCGTTTCCCAACCAGAGCACACCTCCCACGTATTGCAGCTCGAAACTACGCAGAGAGAGGTGTTAATAGCACGTCGGTAGTGTTGGCAAGACACTGTCTGTTCAACTCCGAGCTTCACACGACACACAATACCCAGACAACTCGTGAGGACAAGATAATTGCCCTGCACGCAGTGGTCATAGTCTGATGGATAAGGAGCATCTTCCGTTAGCAGATTATTGCTAGGCACTAGTTGACTTGTACATGGGGAATGTGTCCCCATTTACGTTGAAACGAGCTTCTACAACAACTGACTCTGCGTACTCAACATGATATGGGAAGGACTTCACACTGAGAGCTCGTCGTTGCGTGGCTAAGAGTGCAGGCAACTCAGGTGTATCGTGAACTGTGCATGTGCTATGACAGCGACCAGGCTCTATCGCTGCCCCTGATGGAAGCGAGGAGACGACGATGCTCGCCAAGGGAGGTCCTTATTAGAGGACGTCTTTTCCCGAGCGGTCAGCGAGAGTAAAGCAGATGAACCAAACCAACGCTCTGTGCTATGGACACTGACAATACATTCTCGTTGCGCTCACTCTCTTGTTCCATTGCGCCTGCTCAGACGAAATCTCGTGCGTCCTCTTCTCCCCCTTCTCCTCCCGCCCCACCGCCTTCGCCTTCCGCTCATCCGTCATCTCCACCGATGGCTTACTCGAATCAAACGTGTCCATGGTGAGTGAGTGGTGGTTTCGAGCAGATCCGGATTGCATGCGAGCACGTGAAAGGGTATCGCGACCTCACAGGACATTCCACGATGTGGATAGGTAGAATCGCGGCAGCCACGCTTAAGAAGCACTGCTCCACGGTAGTTGAAGTCGGTGAATGTTGCATCTCACACAAGCCAGGCAGTCGGGGCAGCAGCGAGGAACGGCTCGAGCGTGTTTGTTGCGATGGCGTGGGCACGGAGGTATGTCTTGTGTAGCACAATACATAGTCGAGTTGGAAACCACGGCTCGAGTTGTCTCAGCTACCTGCTTGCAGAAAAATACCAGCCGGCTAACGCTGCAGAAAGCCCTTTGCCTTGCCCTTGGCGCGATCGAACAATCGATCCCCAAAGCCCTTCTTCTCCGCCGGCGCTGCACCAGCCGGAGGCGGCGGGGGTGGATTTGCACTCTGCTGAGGCTGCTGCTGCTGCTGTTCGTGTTGCGGTGGTGCGGGCGCGGGCGCGGGTGCACCCTGCCCTGCACTCTTACCTCCCACGCTGACGATGAAGAGCTTCGGGTCGCCAGCATTCACCTTGCCGGATTGATCGTCGCCCGAGTCGGGCTGCACGTCGTCGTATGCGAACGCGTAGCCCTTGTTGTCGACGTTGTGCTCGTGCACCAGCCTCGCGTAGTGGTTCGTTGGATCGCGGTTGTAGAACGTATGCGGCTGGCTTGGATGGTCCTGCGTCTCTGTGATGCTGCTGCGCACAAACGCCGCCGCCAGGCGTGGGATAATGGCATTGCGAGCAGGTGACTGGCCAGTCGTGAAGGGCCCCGAGTTACACCCGAGGATGTCCGCAGTGTTGGGCTTTTCGAACTCCTCGTCGCCAATCTTGAGCTTGCCCGCTGATGTGATGTGGCCCTCGAGCACGCCGGGCCCGGCTTGGGTGTTGACGCGGCATTTGCAGTTGGCGTACTTGTCCCAGGCTTGGTCGACGAGAGGCTCAAAGTAGCCGGAGAAGTCGGCGCCGACTGCGCCGCCGTGGGTGGCGTTCAGGATCCTAAGGTTCTGACCGTTTTCATTCACGACAAGTTTGTCCCACGGGCGGCCGTCTTTCTGAGCTTGCTCGCGCAGAGAATCGGCCATGCGGTCGAGACCGTCGGGGCGCATGCCGGCGACACGTTGCTCCTCGCCGCTATGTTGCTGCAGGCTGATGGCGATGGGTATCTTGGGGACAAAGTCGACATACGAAATGTTGGCGTATAGTTGTGCGTCGTTGAGCGTGAACTCTGCAAATCCAAAGCTCACTCCGTGATTAGGATCACTGGGATTCAGCACACTTGGCTCGACCAACGCAGGCCCTCCAGGGTTCAGCAGAAATGTGAGCTTCCCGTCTACAATCCATATCCTTCCACCAGCGATTTGAGGGATGGTGATGTTTGTTGTGTTGCCCGGTGCGCCAAGTGGAATAGCGCAGTCTTCTTGCAGAGAGGAGCCAATGTCCTTCACCTCAGTAGGGAAGTATAGATCCTTGCCGTTGGCTTTGAGAAGGCAGCGCTTGCCGTCGTGCTTGATGGCTATACCTGTCCATGGGGTTGTGAATGGCACGTTTGAGGTAGTCGACTTTGCGTTGGACTTACAACGTAGGCATGGATGTTCTCCGAGTCAGAGTCGTTCTTCAGGGCTACTTGCAGTGAGTCTGGCATTTTGGTCGCGTCGCTATGGAGCAGATGATCTAAAGAAGCAAGGTACCTTTCTTCTGATCTGTGAAGTGGTTGCAGGAATGGTGTTGGCAAGCTGGTTTGCATGGCGGACGTCATCGGCGCTCGCTAGGAAGGACCCACTTGCCTGGTAGCCGTCGATTGTTGCATCTTCAAGGCACGGTTTTGGTCGACTGCAAGATGCCGGAGACAATCCCGGTGTGATTCAATGTTGATTGCGCCATCGGAAAATCAAATGGTATACCCATGCCAAGCTCATCAACACCATACACCTGCCCAATGCTGCGAGCCTGCAAGCTCGAGCCCATACCGAACGCCTTTGCTATGCTACACTCTCGAATCGCCCACACGTGTTGGACGTATATCAATCCCCTCTGTACCATCTTGAGACCGGGCACATGTTGATGAGCACATGTTGATGAGCACATGTTGATGAGCACATGTTGATGAGCACATGTTGATCAGACGGGCTCCGAGATTATTTCCCGCCAAGCTCACCCTCAAGATGCTGCGTGACCGTTAGCTTCGACAGTTGTAGGATGGGAGTGCGCGACTCACCGACCATTCAGGAATGTTCCTGATTTGCTGCCACATGAATCTCTCCAAGCGGCCCGCCGCCTTCGCATATGGAGTGCTCTCGTTGTTGTACTTCCGGCAGTTGTCGAAGATGAGCTTCGCATCGCGAATGAAGTCTTCAGGCGTAGGGTATAGGTCTTTTTCGTGCTTCTCTTCCATTGTCGCCAGGTCCATGGGCTCCTTGATCACGTCGTAGTAGTCGAGAACCTCGTCCTTGTTGACAGGTTGCTGGAACGGCCAGGCGTTTGAGTTGTTCTGCATGTCGTTGAGCAGATGCAGCAGCTGGTTGTAGTTTGGCCCGTGGCGGGGAGCTCGTGCAAGCTCGTCCATGACGGGTGACCACCCTGATGCCTTGATGGCCGGTATGGTCAGGGGATCAATCGCCTTGACCTCTCCCTTGGCCCACTGTGCTGGAGGCGTGTGGACCAGGAAACTTTTCGAGACGGCGCGAATCTTGGCGTTGACACACTCCTTCTGCTTGAGCAGCATGCGCCCACTCTCCAAGTACCGAATCTTGGGTACCATGCTGCACTGCATAATGGTTCCACCCTCGTAGTCCTTGATGTAGCCCATCCAGCGGCGCTTCTCGAGCGTGATTTCCTTGGTGAAGCCCTGCTTCTTAAAGTATCCAATAGCGTAGTTGTCGGCGTAGGTGAGAAAGTGCATGACGTCCGACGTGGCTTTGACGTAGTCCTTGAGATGCGACATGAGGTGTGCGCCGTAGCCCTTGACTTGCTGGTCAGAGGAGATGGCGCAGAAGACAATCTCGGCGAACTGGCCCTTGTCGAAGGGACGGTATGTGATGCCACCGACTACCTCGAGGGGCTTCTTGACAATGGCGATGCTCATGTGGGTTCGGTCGTAGACGAGGCGGGCGATGTAGTCCTTGGGCATCTTGGGCAGCTGCTTCTGGAAGATGCACTTGAGCCCGGTCAAGATGATGGTGCTCTCGCGGTGGCCGTCGTTGTTGACGACGCGGAACTCGATCTCGCCATTGCGCTCTTCGATGACGGCAGGCTTCTCGGGGAAGGGCACTATGCGCCTGACCGGGGGCGCGGGGGCGTCGTCGGCGTTGGCGTCGGACGACGGAGACTGCTTTGCACGCTTGGGGGAGGCGCCGCTGCCGTCGGTGGTCGCTTTGCGCTTGGCTGGAGGCGCCGTGTTAGCAGACGTTGTGCGGGCAATCTGCACGTGCAGGCGGCGCAGGGGGACGTCGGGCGAGGACGGCAGCGAGGGCACTGTCTCGCGCGGGGGGTGGGTGGGATGCACGACGGGCGACGAGCTGTAGCCCACGACGGCGCGCAGGCGTGCAAGCGACTCGCTGGGGGACATGCCGGCGTGGTTGTGCGGGTGGAGGCGACGCCAGCGCGCGACTTACCGTCTTCGACCGCCATGGTTGCGCGGCTGCTCTGTCCAAAAGCGCTCCGTCGGTCGCGGCTGCTCTGTCCAAAAGCGCTCCTTCTGTCGCGACTGCCGTGTCTGGGGGTGAACGTGAGATGTCGGGCATGGCGGGACGCGGAGGAGCAGCCGCACAGGCCAGCCGCCGCCGATCAGCCTGCGCGGCCGCTGAGAGGACACCTCGCGCAGCTTCGCGACGGTCAATTAAGCCCTCTCCGACAACCCACTGCACCATGTCGAGCCCTCTTGCAGACGTCTGGGAGGCTGCCGCGGCGTCGCCCTTCCAGCCCACCATCGGAAAGAACAGCCAATTCACCCTTGGCTTTGCGCTGCTGTTTGCTTGTGCGTCCCCGTCGAGCTGTCGGTAGGTAGCCGTGCTAACAAATGCTCCAGCGCTGCTCTTGACGGGCTTCTTCGGCCTCAGTATGCCCTCCACCTCCCCACGCCGCGCCCCGGCCACCACTCACACGCACACAGACCGCTCGCTGCTCAATCTGCCCCTCGTCGGCGGCCCTGCCTCGCTCGCGTTTGGGTATGCACTCCCTATATATACCTTCCTCACACACTCCCTAGACTTTCCTCACACACTACCTAGACTTTCCCCATACACTCCCTCGACTTTCCCCACACACTCCCTCGACTTTCCCCACACACTCCCTAGACTTTTCCCACACACTCCCTAGACATTCTCCATACACTCCCTAGACTTTCCCATACACTCCCTAGACACTCTCCATACACTCCCCATGCCGTGAATATCGTCGTGCTGACAGCTGCAGGTTCGGCGCAGTGTACATGATCTGTGCAGTCGGCGTCTACGTTTAGTTCCCTGATATCCTGGTCGGGCGTTGTAGTCTATGGCAATGCAATAACACTTCGACTCTCCCAACCCTCTCCCGCCCACTGCACCCCGTCCCCACTACTGCACCCCGTCCCCACTACTGCACCCACCATGCACGACGAGCCCCCCGTCCTCACAGCCGTCTCCAGCGCCGCCCGCCAGCTGTTCACGCTGCTCCGCTGCATTGCATTCGCATCCAAGGCACATGTCACACTCAGCGAGGACGGTCTAAAGTTCTCGGTCAGCGAGGCGAGCCTCATGGAAGGTGCGTCTGCCTGCGCCTGAGACGCGTCCACACTGACACGCGCCCACACTGACACGCGCCTAGCCTCGGCCTTCCTCGACAAGTCTCTGTTCACCACGTTCAGCTTCCGTGCGCCCCCCATCCCGTCCCCCTCCGCCGACTCCGACGAAGAAGACGCAACCCCGCCACTGACCTTCCACATCTCCCTCACCGCACTGCTCGAGACGCTCCAGATCCTTGGTCTCACCGACCCCAACACCTTGAGGCCGCCATGGGCTCGAGACAGCCCGTACCCAACAAGCACTGCCTTCTCGCACAATGTCTTGGGCATGAACAACCTGTGTCGAATCACCTACGACGCACCCGGCGCACCGCTCTCGGTCATCCTCACCGAGGCTAGCATACGGACGTCTTGCGACTTGACCACATACGAGCCCGAGTACACCGACGACATACCCTTTGACCGACAGAGCCTTGCATTCAAGACAATCATGCGTGGCAGCTGGCTGTACGACGCCATTGTCGAGCTCTCGTCCACGTCGCCCGACAGTCTGACCATGTACGCCAAGATGGTGCGTGGCAAGCCCTTCTTTGCGCTCTCTTCCACGGGCACTCTGGGCTCAGCAAGAGTCGAGTTCAACAACCAGCCTCCAAAGTCCTCATTCCGTGCAACAGCAGCCAACAACCATGTCGATGCGCCTCCAGCAAATCTTCTCGAAACATTCCAGCTCTCGGACGAAAGCACTGTTTTGCGACAAAGTTACAAGTATGGCTATATCCAAAAGGCAGCGCGCGCCATGAGCGTAGCCTCAAAAGTCAGCGTGAGAGTCGATACGCAGGGTGTGCTCAGCATGCAGTTCATGATCGAAGTCGAGCCTGCGGCCGGAGGGGGCACCAGCAAAGTTAGCTTCGTCGACTTCCGCTTCGTGCCGCTCGTCGAAGAGGAGGATGAAGCTGGTGACGAAGGCGAAACATTTATGCAGAACGGCGATGAAGCGGATGGGTACGATGCATTCTGATCATGGACAACGCTTTTACTCAACGGCAGACGGCAGCTGAAGCTGCTCGACCGCGACTGCAAATGATTGCGTCTTCACATAGCGACCAAGTACATTGTCAATGGTGCCAAGAGCATACCAGTTTCGCCGTTCGCTTTCACTCGTCCTCCAGTTTGATCTGATTCAACGACGATAATCGCAGTACTGCTAATCTTGCCTAGACAGTAGAACCAATACACAATCACAATGTACTTGACATGGCGAGAGGGGTTGTGGGGCTCTTTGGGTGGTGCCGGGAAGGCGGGTATTAGGTATAAGATACACTAGCTAGATGCTTTTCCTCCTGGTTTGCTGACGCTAAACGACTGCCGGAGAACGAGAGAGAGAGAGAGAGGTGTAGAGAGGGAGAGAGAGAGGTGTAGAGAGGGAGATGGTAGGAGATGCAAAAGAGTGGATATCGTGCGCCGGGAGATGCAGAGCGAGGGACAAGCAAGGAAAAGAAATGCGAAATGCGAAATGCGAAATGCGCGCGAGATGGATATTATGATGCATCGACGTGTGCATTGCCGTCACGACGCCCGCTCGGGCGTCCAGTTCTTGTACAGACACGAACACAGGCTGCTTGCGTCCTGCGCCACGATGCCGCTGGACACGTGCTCGCCCGTCGACTTTGTGCACGATGGCACGTTGTTGCCGCCGCCTACTGCTTGCTCGACGCGCACAGCTGCCGACGCATTAGTGGGTGCATCTGAACGCGTTCTGCATGTTGCACTTACCATATGGCCAGACCGTGTTTGATGTTTTCGGCACGACGATCGTGTCGTCTGGGTACGTCCTCGCCATCTTGGTGTACAGGTAGGCCTGCAGGTTCGTCGCGCCGTAGTCGCACTCGAACGTGCCCCTTGAGTTGCCCATGGTGCCCGTCATGTTCACCGTCTTGGTCCGGCTGATCTGGAACCGGTAGCGCTCCGTGTCCTTGTCCTTGTCGAGCAGGTCCAGCGCCGCGTTCTGGAATGTCATGTACAGATCCGAGCTGTCCCTGGACGAGATCTTGTACGACCCGAACGACCCCGTAATCTCCCAGTTTATGACCGCCAGCGCTTTCTGCGGGTCCGAGTAGTAGTCTGTGTACGGCGCGCATGTCCAGGTCGCGTTGTTGCTGGTGCAGCCCGTGGCTACGGTGTCGAGGAAGGTGACGAACGAGTAGGCTCCGACTGGAAAGCCTGATGGGACGGCCGACGGAGTGAGTGTCGAGGTTGGGGTGGACGGCGTACCGGTCTCGGTGCTTGTGCCTGTCCCTGTGCCCGCTGCCTGCGAGTCTCCGCCCGTGCTTGCTTTCGAAGAGGAAGTACTGCGCCAACTGTCAGCTCGTCCGTCCCCGATCGCTCATCCGCAATCAATACACACCTGCTCGAATTCCTCTTCAAGCCCACAGCAAGACCAACAGCCAACGCTACGATAAGTGCAATCACCATAGCCCCGATGAGCGCTACCCTCTTCCAACCCCATCGCCTGCCATTTTTTGCAGCCTTGAGCTGCGTGAACTTCTCACTCCTCGGCGTGTGCTGGTCACTCCAGACGCTCACGCTCAGATTACTGCCGTTATGGCTCTGATCCTCCATGCTCCCCCTCGGTGTCTCGCCCAACCTCCCGCCAGTAATCACCGACAAGAAGCCGGGCTTGCGCTGCTCATGAACATGCACCGTTGGCCCGATGTGCTGATGTGTTGGATCGTTGCAGTACGTGCTGGTCGTTGTGACTTCAATCTTCGACTTGGGCTCAGGCTTCGTCGGTTTGCTTCGAATGTGACTGGACTCGAGGACCATGGAAAGGCGCTGGCCGGCAGGCGTGGAGATGCGTTTGGACGGGCGCTCGTCTTCGATCGGCTGGTGAGCATTGGAACGTTTGGAACGAAAGTAATCCATAATGGGGACGGCGTCGACGGCTGGCGATGCCGTACCTCGGGCGTTGAGGGATGGACTGCAGCGATGCGTGGCGTGTGACTGAGCTTCCCCCTGCTGCTCTCGAGTGTCGTTCAATGTTCAACCCTGCAATGGACGGTCCGCTAGGTATTCATGTTAGGTTCAGTAAACGTTCGACTCGAGCAAGCCGGGAAGAGAAACAATTGAAACAGCGCCGCTGCCTGAATAGAACACAAGGAGACGAAAGTAAGGATCTCTCCAGGTCCCAAACCGGACCGCACGGCGTGAGGCTCCACTGCGAGAACCTTGTGAGGTTTGAGCACATGGCATGAGCTCCTGAGCGCACGCTAATGGCCAATTACAGCCTCGAATTTGCCTGTTGCAGCTAGTCATTCAACCCTATCACGGTCGGACACCTCTGTGGCGCCCTGCTCACGCTATTGAGGCTTGGTCCACCAGAAGGATACTGGCTCGGTTCGGGAGTCGCCAGGGCAGGCCACGCAGGCGCAGGGCCAGGTCTGCTTGAGGTGTAGATTCTCTTTGGCCAAGGAGTTTCATTGCGCAACGAGTGCTGTGATTCGAGAGCCTGAATCTCAGCGTTCCGAATACCTACTCACCTCCTCATCGATTTGGAAGGTGGAGGGGACGCGGTGGCCGTTTGGCGCCCGGTGGATCGTTTATTTTTGCTGCTCTGACGCGAACACGGGGTTGCGCGCGAAACCTTGACCCGCAGAGGATGTTTGTTCCTGCATTTGACAGGGATCGTGTCAGGTCCCGGGTTACGTGCTATGCCGACGGCTGTCAAGCGCCGACACATCGAACCTAATTACCGCGCCTTCTGGAACGCGCCGACTTTGCACGTGGTGAGAGTGAACACCATTATCGTCGAGGCGCAACGGTCTTCTGCGAAAACAGGCCAAATCTACGATTACGCAGAGACCTTGTGTGATTCACCACACGCACGCGGACTGCGATTTTCGGCGCGTCACACCTCGACAAATGCACCTTCTCGCTCTAACTGCACCTGCTCTCTTCTCGTGACTTTGAAGAGCGATCCATCTGCTTCAACGTTTCTTTGCAACAAAACTTGTTATATCCGCTGCAAGCCCAAGCTGTAGGTACTGTCTGCAGTGCTGAGACCACGTGGTGCATAGACGTAAGCTTTCTGCCTGGAGTCGAAATTCCATCACCTACAGCTCAACCGACCACATCAGTGTAAGAAGCTCGGTCAACTATGTCGTCTCCACGAAGAATTGTCGTGCAGCTCCGCCCAGGTACAGACGGGGATGCTACGCATACGCCAAAAGCTGGCGTATATGAACAGCTGGATCCACCGACCCTTTACCTCGAAAAGATCGGGGACCAATGGATGCAAGCCCGTGGCGAAGCTCAGCCTGGAGTCAAATATACGTTGGAGAGTCTACCTGCGGGATATACGTTATGGCAGCGTCCACGATCTAAAGATCCCAAGCATCTCGACAAGTATCTCTACGGGCATCCTGGCAAAAAGGCTTTTGACTCACCGAACCGCTTCTTTCCCCATTTCCAGCACCTCATGGACAATGGAGATAGCATGGGATGCCCCTGCACGCTCTGCAGTGGCAGCTCCGGCGTGCTACCCAGCACGAAAGCGCGCAGCTCCAGCGTCGCTACATCGAACGCCTCTTCGCGGCCTTCTTCGTCGCAGAGCTCAGCTCGGGCCTTCCCAGCCCCAGCACAAGCGCATCTACAGCACCCAACTCAGCCAGAGCCAACCTTCCCAGCATTCCGCCCTGTAGCTCAGCCCCCAACTACATTCATGCCGGCTCCATCCATGCAGTACAAGGGACGTCCAAAGCTAGTCAGTACTGGAATGGATACTACGCGCGTCGATGAAGAGGGAAGTCCCGACGTGTATCGAAACCTGATCAACAAGCTTCGTCGACATGAGAGAGTAGACGAAGCAATCGAAGAGCCATTCAGCATGGACTGGAGGACCGAGCAAGAGCTGCTACCCGAGTTGCGGCGGAAGGTCAATGAAAATCCGCAATGGGTACCGCGCGCCGGGGATATCGTGCTCTACGTTCGAGATCTTCCGGACGACGTCCACATTCTGCGGTATCCTGTTATAGGAGACTACAGGATGTACGATGAGAAGGAGAAGCAGTGGCTTGATCAGCCAGTCTGGGAGGCGGGTCTGGTCAGCCAAACGCCAGCAGAAGAGGTCACGATCAATGATGTGTGCGAAAACGGCCAGAAAGAACGTAATGTCACTTACTCTGGTGTACGTGTAGAGCCCCTACCAGACGTCAACAGTACAGACAAGTCGCTTTCGAAGCGTCACAAGTACATTCCCGTACGACACACACGCCCTTTCATACTCTGGAAGCATTTCCTACACCACCATAAGAAGTTGCATCCTACCATCCTGAACGCGCAGACTATCACAGCAACGATGTCACTCACTGGCAAGTACCGCTTCACAGGCGTGTGGCCCGAAGCCTCCATTTACTGTCGGGCCATGTACCTCGGATACGAGATGCTTGCCGTGGGTGACGCCGTGCGCCTGCTCCCAAACGCTAGTCGCGGTCAGACCACGTCCACTGATATCTTGATCATCAAATCGATTCGTCTGAAATGGTCAAACCTCGATAGCGCATCTGAAAACGATTGGGATGAGGGACGTCCTTACAACTCCGCAGTCTGGATATACGGCGCAGCGTACACGAGCGATCCTTCTCGTCAGAACAAAGAGTGGTTCTCAGACTCTCAATCATCCCAAGCCGCGGATGACTATGGGGACTGGTACCCACTTCATCCGCCTTCGAAGGAACTCGCGATTCCTTACTCCCGCGTCATCGGCCGGCTGTATGAGCGAAATGCAATGGCCCTTTGGCTGAACATCAAGTCCGGCGACTGCGACTTCCTCGACGCCGGACGGGAAGCCTTGGTCGAGTCTCGCGATTTTGCTCGACAACACGACATTCGTATATCGAGTCGTCCAGATGCGAAGTGGCATTGGGCTGACAGCCGTGCTCAAGCACTTGATCTGCACACCGTCAACGGCCTCGATGTCTCCTCGCACGACCAACTGCGCGATCCCACGGAGTGGCGCAAGAAGATCAAAATCATGGAAGGCTTGACCACCACCAAAGTCGTCCCTATCGCGAAGCCCACCAGCGCACCTGGACTCACTAGCCGCAGCATGCGAGGATTCATGGCACCCACGCTATCCGACCTGCCCGTCCGCTCGCAGCTGTCACGCATCAGCAACACAACGAGCGCAAGCAGCAGAGCCACGGGCTCTTCGACCGGTGGGAGCGCTGCAATCAGACGCTCGCGGAAGCGCACGTCGCGGATCGTGGTCCTCAGCAGCGATGAAGAGAACGAGGAAGATGACGCGATCAACGAAGAGATCCGCCAGGGCACTCGCATCATCGACGACGCTCCTGGCGTGCAGCCAAAGAAGGCTCGCGTCCAGGTCGCCATCGGGCTGAAACAACAGCGCTGAGCAAACCCTGTAACGGAATCGATGAAGACGAATAGATTTGTATGATAGCGAGGCGCAAAAGTGACTTCATGTGGGACTGGAGCACGGGGAGTATCTTACGGCGATATCTTATGGAAAGCGCGTTGTACGAAAGGCCGCACGAGGCAGACTTGTCGCGACTATGCTGGTATCATGGCAAGCTGTGCGAGACAGCTGCACCACAAGTACGGCACGCGCTTGCTAGCAAGCTCACGGGGACCGACCAGATAGATATCATGTCTACCAAGTCGCCCCCTCCAACCTCTGCGAGAAGCACAGGTCGTAACGGGACTGTACGGCGAGGAACGGAATGCTGCAGTAAGCGACATGTGACTGCAGTGCGAAGGATGGACAGAACAGACTTCACTCGGATCAAATGAAACATCGTAATTCAGACAGTAAGGGCTCTTATCATCTACCATGTCGCCGTGCACAGTCTAGTCCCACGTCTAGGAATCTAATCTGAGAGCGGGGAAATTCAAAACGCCAGCTCCGCACGCGACGCGGAGCGATGAACGAGTGTCGAGTTGACGCCGACCCAGTGCGGCACCGTCGCTATGCAAACAATCTTGACCGAAACAATGCGTAACTCCATAGCGCGAAAACACCATGCTCCATCCCGTACAATCTTGGCCTAGTTCCGGACCTAGTAGCTCTTATATTTCTGCCGTGCGTCAGTATGTTGCAGTAGTTGTGACGGCGGAACTCACATCTTCAATCTTCCTCCTGCTGCCCTCATCCAGCGCGTTGCCCACGCCCAACAACGCGTTACTCAACGCCTTCGTCGCGCCCACCGCCGGCCGGAGGATGACAGTCGGCGCATGTCTTGCCAGCGCCCTCGCAACGCCCACTCCGCTCCCCTGCTCCATGACCTCGGCCGGAATGGCGATCACCGCATCGCGCGCAGTGAGCAAGTCGCGCTCCAGATGGCGCGCCGCACTCCTGAGACCCGCGCGCACACCGAGCGGCTGATTCGCATAATTCGATACAGCGCGCGGTTCCTCGTCAGGACTCGGCGGGTCGGAGCCCGTCCAGTCGAGATGCTGGGAGCGAGGGGAGCGGTGCGAAGGCCCGGTGCCAGGTTGGTTGGGATTGAGGAGCGCTTCAGCGCCTTCGAGGAGCGTCTGCGTGCCGATGGCGACTTTGGCGCCAAGGCGGGCGACCTCGGAGGTGGTGTTTTTGGCGAATGCGTACACGCCTTTTTGCAGACTGCGCACGATGCGGCCGTCTTTTTGGTACTCGCGCATCGGAACTACGACAAGGTCGCGCATGCCGGAGCCGACATTGACGAGGGGCCGGACGGCGGCGAGGCCGGAGAGGACGCCAGGGAGTTGGTTGCGTTTTACATCGGGCGCCCAGACATCATTGAGGGTTTTGTGGAGCTTGTCGAAGGAGGTGATGCCGTAGACAATGGCGTGGCGAAGGGTGATGTCTGAGCCGTCGAGAATCAGGAAGTTCATAAATTCCGTTGTGTGGCCGGAGCGAATGCCGCCGTAGTCTACGCGTTTTGGTTTGTAGTCGAGCTTGAGCTGGACGGCCTGAACTTCGAGACGTTGGATGAAGGGCTGTTCAGAAGGTGCGGCAGGTTTCTCGACGGAGTCATCCTTGAATTCGAAGAAGCGTGTGATGAAGTCAAGAGCATCTTGATCGACATGCAGACGCAGCGGAAGAATGGCAACCTGAGCATTGTTAGCTTGCAGCCGCATTTGAATGATAAGACGCACTCACCCTGATGACTAGCTCAGAAGCTGCCAAGTCAGTGACAGGTTTGACGGTCAGGAGATTGAGGTTGATCATCGGTCGATCTAATTCTCGTTGAGTGGGAGGGATAATGCAGGTGATAAACTTCTTCCAGGTCGAGGTAGGAACGTGATCAAAGATCTCAAAATCTTGCACGCGCACATCAATCGAGTTCAACGTCTCGCCAGAATCAGGTGGATATACCACCAAATCAACGGCGACACCCATGAGCGAAAAGGCAATCTTTTTGTGCTTACTACGCTCGAGCTTCAAGCGGCGGCGACCAGGCTTTGTCGCGCTGCGTGGGCGGGCAGTCGCCCCGGTCGAACGTGTAGCAGTCGATGTAGCGTAGCTGCCCGTCTCACTGACCAGGTCGTCGATGTCGTGATTGATCTTGCGCGCGAGGGCGCCCTTCTCTTCTTTGATGGGGACGCCGATCCACACCGAGTTGAACAAGAAGTCCTCTTCAATGAAATCGTCGTCTTCATCTTCATCTCTGGGTTTCCGTCGTCGCTCTTCGGCGCGAGCTTCAACGTCGTCCACAGCTTGTGAGATAATAGCCCTGGTTCTCGGCCAATCGTATCCATCGAACAGGTTCCAAATGAAATTGACATCGCGTACAGTGACCTTCAAAGGGGCGTCTGGGGCCTTGAACTCATTCGTGAGGTGATACTGGTTCTGTTTGGAATCCCACTTGCGAGCTTTGCCCTTGCCTTCCGAGTCAGACTCTTGGAAGTAATCGGTGCTGAAGTCGAAGCTCTCTTCGCCCTGATTCACCTCGTACTGCTCCTGGAAGCTTTCGAGGAGACCTCGCTCGCCACGCTCCTTGACAGCGGGAGAAGCCGCCAAAGCACCAAGATCATCCTGATCAAGCATGCTGTCGCCCACGTCCTCATTAGTCGGCATGTCTTGGCTGTAGATGCTTCCGACAAACTCAAGGTTGGTCGGTACTTCATCTTCCACAAGATCGGCGTTGTCCATGAAATCGCCATCTCCGAATTCGTCCTGCGCAGGCATTGCGTCGCCGGTGAAAGACTCCATCATCTCTTGTAGTGGGACCACCGTCCGATAGCGTTCAGCAGTAGACGGAGGCGTCGGGGGCTGCAATCCGTTCAGCACTTCGATGAGAGTCTGCGTTGAGTCGGCACAAGACTCGAGTACGATCAACTCGTTCTTGAACTCGACATTGACGAGTTGGGGTGTATCTCTACCATCGCCTGCAATGTTAACGAGGACCTTGGCGGCCGAAATCGAACTAAGTGACACGAAACCTTGAAGACTCAGCTCTTGCAGGTGATGATTTGCAGCCGTTATGCTGCGAGGTACCGCCTCCTCACGTTTCTCATCTAGGCGTGCGACATCGTCAATAGCGTGTATAGACGCTTTCCGGAGATCCAATTGAACAAAGTAGTCTTTCTTGGCTTGCTTGCCGGTCAGATGAGCGTCTGTAAAGACGAACAAGCCCTTCGACGGCAAATTACGAGGATTCAAGCCGATGGCGCAGGTCCGGAGTAGTAGGTCAATCTGCAACGGCTTTGACAATGTTGCTGAGCGAGAGCTGGCATCAGATGACTGCCGATTGATCCGCTGCGGTGATTTGGACCTCGTGATGGTGGCCATGCTCGATGCGATGCCAACAGCAATATCTTCGACCGTACCGTCCTCGCCGATACCGAGTGCGGCCATGATGGTCGATACCCTATACTCGGTGCAAAGGTTGAATAGTTTCGCCTTGACAACAGGCTCCATCTCATCACCCACCATTCTGATCATAATCATGGGTAGCTGGTCCTGCGGTCGGAGCTTGACAACTTCATGAATCAGTACTTCATCCTCACGTTTCAAAGAAGCTGTTCCAACTTCCATCGCAAATAATGCGGGGAAACCGACATGCGCTACCGAAGCATTCTGCGCAGTGATCGAGACATCCCCAAGCCTGTCGTTGATAAAAAGTCCAACATTCAACTGCCGCACGGAAGCAAGAGTAAGTAGCCCTGGACGATCGTCCTCTGGCAGATACTTTGTGACCTTTGACAGGCGAGCGAGCTCTGCTCCAAGCGTCTCGAAAGCGCGCATCTCCTCCAGATCGGACACCCGTACGCCTACGCCACTGACTTCGACCCTCAGAACAGAGCCCTTGCGTCGTTGTCGAAGAAAAGTGTCGATCAAGATGTCCTCGTTATTCTCGTATGGGTCCTTCGAAGGGGTGATCAAAGATATCAATCTTGAGAGATCTGCTTCTTCAGGTGTGTAGAGAAAGTTCACGGTCGTTCCCTGGACATCGACCAGCAGAGGCGCGCCCTTCTGCGATGCATCCAAGTAAGGTCCTGACAGCTGTACCTCGGACACCTTCAAGCGAACATTACTCTGCCGGACTGCAATACGCACGGTCGTTGTCTGAAGCTGTAAGGCGCAGCTACGACCCTTAAGGAGGAATGCTACCTCACCCAACTGTATCTGGATCTTCGGCATGTTGGAGGTGGTAGCAGGTGTCTCAACGGCTGGGGGCGAGTCGCCGAAATGCACTCCTCGTAGCTTGGGCTTTGCTGGAGTCAAGACCGGACTATTCAAGGCGCTGTGCGAGCTGATTGAATTGCCGAGCTCGAGAACACCACTGAACCCGCCAAAAGAGCTTAGGGCGTCATCCAGTTGCTGAATGTCAAAGTTGACCTTGACTGGTCTGGTGACAATCGAAACTCGCTTGTCCGTCCCTTGTTCGTAATCGAGTTCTAAGTCATGGCTGAGCTGCTCGGCTAGATTGCTGACGGATCGTCTGGACCGAGGACGCGAAGTATGGAACGCAACGATATCGATGCCTAAAGATGCGATGGCAATTCTTTTGATCTGTAACTTCGCGCGCGTCTTTTCGGCGCTGCTCTGACTAGTAAGGCGGATCGCAGCGAGGTGTATTCCTAGAAGAGCGTCGTTCGGCTTGAGCTCAAGCGTGCGAGGTGACGTAAGGCCATCTTGCATTGATTCAGTAAGAACAATGTCGAGCCATGCGATACCAATGTTTTGAACTGTTAGATCGAGGGTGCTCGAAGCGGCGCTAGGCACATGTTCAGCCGATGAAGTTGACTTCTCTGACTGAGGTCCGTCTGCCAGAGCACCGAGTACGCGGTTGAGCATGCTGAACATGATGCGACCGGTGGACAAGTCCACATGACCCACCACTGAGCCAATATCGATGATGATATTTGGTGATGGCGAGGCTTCGGCAGGCCTCTGGGTTGGCTGACTTGGTGAAGGTCTAGACTGAGCGGGTCTCCGTAACGACTCGACCATGGAACCCGTGCGGCGAGACGATGTAGAGTGGGCATAATTTGAGAATGAACCTGGCATTTCGGCGAAGATGGAATCTTCTCCGAGCCTTGAAGGTGCGAAGTCTAAAGTCGACGCATCGGCGGCTGGTTCAGCACTTGAGTCAGCATCCAACGTGTCTCCCTTGTCGAGTCCCAATGGGAACCAGACGGTAATTTCGTCAACAGTCAGGAAGACCTTCGCCTGCTTCTGAGTGGTATTCATATCACTGACCAACGAAGGTGCGATGGCAGTACGCCGCGCTGCTGCAGCAGTACTCAGGCGGCTGCCTGGCCTTGGCGTCTCGTAACCATCTTCGATTTCCGGACGTGGCTGCAGGATACTTCCCGATACCATTTCTTCGGGCACGGATCCTGAAGTATCAGACGATGTTCCACGGCTTGAAGCAGACGAAGAGTCCCAGCCACCTGGGAGATGTCGTTGGGAGGACACAACCGGCGCTGCACTTACGGCGCTCATGTACATGCTCTCAGATGTCTCAGAAGAAGACGATGATGTTGATCTCGCCATATCGTGCGCAGCTTCGACTTCGGACTCAGAAGTAGGTTGGTCGCCAGTAGGCGTGTGGCGCTCCTCCTCAACTGACGGGGTATTTGGTTTACTGTCCTCGATCGAAGCCTCGAGGGAAGCGGGTCCTGGAGACACTGTCGGTGAGGGAATTGGCTCTGGCTCTGGTTGTGCGAAGAAAACCCCGAGACCTGATACCGTTGGAAGTGCAGACGTAGAAGCCTCGCTTGCAGGAGGGGAGATGACAGTCTTTGGCTGCGTGAAAGATAATCCCAAACCTGACACTGTCGGTAGAATAGAGGAAGATGCCGTGCTCGCGTTATTCGAGAAATTGTGGCTCGATGCGTCCGGGCTGCCACCGAAGTGATCCTCAAAACGCGCATCTTCGATGCGCACTCCTTCCAAGTCGCGGTCAAAGGTCGAGTCCAGCATATCGTGCCGCAGCGCATAATCGAGAATGCCTTCGTCACCATACAGAATGCTGCTCCCGCTCAGCCCCGGATCAGGGTGAACATTGCCGGATCGATGTAGCTCTCCTTGCTGCTTGGTGTCCTCCAAATCATCGTCAGATGAAGCATCAGCGAATCTATCGTCATCAACAGTGGCCACGGATGCTGTTAGAGGGAATTCTTCGTGGACGGAAGATAGCAAGGGAGCTTCCTGCTGGTACGACTGTGTCAATGGAGTCGCTTCTTGTAACGATGCCGCTAGTGCCGTGGCGGTTCCGCTCCGCAGCTGCTCGGTCGATTTCTCTATTACGGAATAGGGTTCTACGACATCAACAGGTTGAGCGGGTTCTTTACGAGGCAGTGGTATTTCAGGCTGAGAAGGAAAGTGTACCGCGCTCGGAGGCCGTTCGTGGTATGATTGCTCGGTGGAGACGTCAGAACGCGTGGTCTCTGGTGACAATGGCCGCGAATTCTGCGAGATAAAGTTCTCAGTATCAGACACAATCCTTGCGCATATATTCTCAATCCGTAGTCTTCGCTTTCCTACCGTCGATGCAGCATGGCGAGGTTGTGCAGCTGGACTAATGTTGATGTGCGGTCCTTCTGGGGTTACAGAGTCGATACCTATGCGCGCTATGTGGAAGTCGAGGGAGACTGGTGACGAGTCGCTGGGCTTTGCAGGACTCGCTGGCTCGGCTGATGTATGATCCTCCATTTCAACATGGATGTTGCTGACCACTATACTGAGTCGATCGAGTGCAGTGTTGAGTATGTTACGCAGGTATGCAGGTAGGCCAAGTGGCGCACCTACTCCCGCTGGACCCTCCTCTTCGCCATCGTCGCTTGCAGCTAAAGACTCTTGCATGTAACTCGGTTGTAATTCGAGCTCCTGCGCAAGCTCACGTATCTCCTCGGCGGGTTCTTCTCGGATGAAGGACTGCGCAAGGTCATCCACAGTGGGCACGTGCTCTTCCGAGCCCGGGGCTGCATCATGTATAGGAGAAGACGACGGCGGTCGTTGTGCAGCATGCTTGTTCGCTCCAGCGGATGCGACGTGTTCGGCGCCCTCGACCAGCCTAGCATGCACTTGTATCCCGTCTGCCTCTATCGATATCTGCGGAACGCCAAAGTCGAGGACGAAGGTGACGCGCAGAAGCGAGGCTTTTGCTGACGAAAGGTGGATCTCGGGCGGTAGCTTGAGGTGGAGCAGGGCCACGAGTTTCTGGTCGCGCAGTGTCAGTCTGGCAGGCGGCGAACATGTCTCTCCATACACACCTTGACGTGCAGCCCCACATGCCTGAACTCGAGCGTGGTTCTCTTGCCCACATCGACGCTCACAAAGTCGGCCGGGTCTTTGTCGAGAATGTCGATGTGCCGGAGCCCATACAGCAGCAGCTTCTTGCCGATGGAGCTCGACACGGCGGAAAAGAAGGCCATGGCGACTGGTGGGTAGTCGAGATGCCGGTTCACGGACTACAGGCAGGTCGTACGCCTACCGCCGTGTCGGGTGTGTCTCCATATGTGGTTGAGGATTCGGTGGGTTGCTGCGTGTAGCCGTGGGTCGGGGGTACCGTGATGCAGCTGGACCCTGCCCAGACGTCGGCGTTTGGTCGCAGGGCGTTATGCGGGGACCGGGGCGTCGATCTTGGAGACGCGGCGCTGGTTGAGTGAAACGGACGGCCGTGAAGTCGTCGAGTGCAAAGGCGTTTGTAGGGTGAAGTGAGAGGCGCGTGGCGTGCTGCGAGCGGTTGACGTGTGCTGTCACGGGAGGATAGTAATGCGAATGGCCTAGGATCATGCGGCTGTCTAGGCAGATGATGCGGGTGCGCGAGTAGCAAGGGTTCGTCCCCACCACTTATCGATAGGCCGCGCTGGGCCATGACTCGCGCATCGGATAGGTGATGGGGCAGCAAGCGTCTTCGCTGTGCGCAGTGGTCTGGAGAGGTGCAGTGAAAGAGGGAGCGACTCTTATGCCCATCATCTGCATAAAGGCTTACAATGCAGGTAGCACAGAACAGAGCTGAGCTCCTGCCCGCATATGGAGCCCCACCACTGCTTTGGTCCTAGCACTACGTCAGACGGAAGCTATCTCGAACTCGGCAGGTCATCTCGGACGCCGCCGACCGCTGACTGCTGCCTCGACTTTCCCTGGGTGCTCTTGTACACGAGAAAACATAACCTTTGCGCAAGAGCAATATGGCGCCAAACGAGGCGAAGATTGATGACTGGGAGAAGGAGGAGGGGGTCCCGAGTCTCAGCGAGCCTTTCATCCAGAAATATCTATCAGGAAGAGATGCGCTTGTGCAGCAAGAGAAGAAACAGCGAAGTGGTTGGTTGCCGAGATGCAAGTATTTCCATGGTCTAACATCTCTCAGACTACCTCTTCCGCCTAAATCTCTCGCCCATGGCCCAAGAGGCAGCTTCAATTGTGTCCCAGATTAGATTCGAAGAGCAGCAGACCTTGTGGACGCGGGACTATGAGGACAGCCTCCTCACTCAACATGTCGACGTCTTCCCTGGCATGATGTTCTCTCTCGCCAAGGAGCGTATGGAGAAGAGCAAGCTGTGGCAGATTGTCAAGAAGATGCCCAAGGGGACCCTGCTCCACTGTCACATCGAGGCCATGGTCGATCTCGACTGGGCTCTTGAGGAAGCATTCAAGGAAGATGGTATCGCGGTCGTCGCGGACGGACCCATCACAGACACGCACACCCTGCGCAAGACCGGCTTCTCCTTTGTGTTTGCGAAGAACGCAAAAGAAGGTGCATCTTTGTGGTCGTCAGACTACACGGCCCAAACGCCAGTCCCGATCAACGTGGCTGCCGACGGCTTCCCAGATGGTGCTAGGAAGGGCTTCATCGAATGGATACGATCAAGAGTCGTAATCACTGCATCAGAACACCTTTCGCATCACGAAGGACCGAACGAGGTGTGGCGAAAGTTCATGTCGTGCTTCCCTATCCTCGGTTCGCTCATCTACTACGAGCCCATCTTCCGCAAATTCCTTCGCAAAATGTTCAAGACCCTTCTTGACGACGGCGTATACTGGGTCGACATGCGCTCGGCATTCTTCACGCCTTACCGAAGCAAAGGTCAGGAAGGCTGGGATTCCGACTACTTCAATATGCTGGATCACCTGTCTGACGAGCTTGAGAAGTTCAAGAAGAGCGAGGAAGGCAAAGACTTCTGGGGGGCGCGCATGATCTGGACCACGATTCGCCAGTTTGACAAGAAGGGTGTTATCGAGAGTATGCTCATGTTCATCAACAACGAGTACAAGGTGTTTACTGACGATATGCAGGCATGAAAGCATGCATCGAGATGAAGCTCGAATTCCCCGAAATCATTGCCGGCTACGACCTCGTCGGGCAGGAAGACCTTGGCCGGCCACTCGCAGATCTCACACCGGAGCTCTTCTGGTTCCGCAAGAGATGCGCAGAAGAGGGCGTCGACATACCCTTCTACTTCCACGCGGGCGAGACGCTCGGTGATGGCGATAGCACAGACGAGAATCTGTTCGACGCGGTCATCCTCGGCACAAGACGCATCGGTCACGGCTTCAGCCTGTACAAGCACCCTCTCCTGATCGACATGGTCAAAGAGAAGAGGATCTTGGTGGAGAGCTGCCCGGTATCAAACGAGGTCCTGCGTCTGTGCGGCTCGATCATGTCCCACCCACTGCCTGCGCTGCTGGCTCGCGGCGTTCCCTGCTCGTTGTGCAACGACGATCCTACGATTCTCGGACAGGGAGAATCTGGCATGTCGCACGATTTCTGGCAAGCACTTCAGGGATGGGAGAACCTCGGTCTTGCGGGCCTAGGGAGCCTTGCGGAGAACAGTGTGCGATGGGCTAGCTTCGACGACGTAAGCGCGAAGGAGTGGACACAAGAGATCAAGGATGGCATGATGGGCAAGGGCGAGCGCGCTAAAAGGCTGAAGGAGTGGACTCAGAGATGGGAGAGATTCTGCGGTTGGATTGTAGAAGAGCATGGTGTTGACGTTGATGTTGAACCGGAGGAGTGAGCAGAGGATGTGACGTGGGTGTATATGAGTATACCTCTAACGAGTATACCTCTAATGAGCATTCCTCCAATGAGTATGCCTCCAATGAGCATGCCTCCAATGAGCATACCTCCAATGAGCATACCATACCTCCAATGAGCAAACCTCCAATGAGCATGCCTCCAATGAGCATACCTCCAATGAGCATTCCTCCAATGAGCGTTCCTCCAATGAGCATTCCTCCAACGAGTATGCCTCCAATGAGCATTCCTCCAATGAGCATTCCTCCAATGAGTATTCCTCCAATGAGTATTCCTCCAACGAGCATGCCTCCAACGAGCATGCATCGTGGTGCAGAGTTCAAATGTAACACGACACCGAGATACCGGCCCACACTCATTCGAAATTCCACCCAACGTCACACAAGGCAGACTCCTACGCTTGACCCCTCTTTCAACCACGCCTCGCACACAAGCAGTGTTGAGATGCAGAGGCGGATCCCTGCGCCGGCGAGAAGATTTGGTGCGGCGTTGGTGGGCCGTATGCCATTGAGCCGGCAGCTCTAAGCGCCAGCGGACATGAGGAGGCGTGGAGGAATCTGCACGCGCTAGAAACGGGGTTGAGCCGCGCACTGCAAGGTAGCGCGGGAAAAACGTAGAGGATCTGGGCATTTGCCGACTTTAGAAAACCTGACGTCTTGTGCGAGTGTGGTCGTGAGCTGCTGAGCTTGGATCACTAGTTCGCGTGGAGTGGCAAAGCTGAATACACGACGTGATTGGATGGCAGAGAACTGTGTGCAAGCGAATCAGTACGTCTAAAAGTGCTACTGGATGGCTGCTCACAAGACTTCTTGTCGTGTTTTCGAGGCCGAGGCCCTGTGCGACATGGCGTCAATTGACACATCTGAGCGCGGCTAAGGCGAGCGCGGAAGCGGCATGGGTGACACCAAGACTGTACGTATTGCTGGTTTGGAACAATGGGGTTGCAATTGTTGTGGGGCCCCGTGGTAGACCTTGACCGTGACTTGGGCCGTGCCAGAGCTGTTGGAGGGCGGCAACTGCCGCCAGGCGTCCAGGCGTCCAGAGCTACGGTAGCTGGTGCTGACAGCCTGGCAGGGTGGAAGCGAGTTGTCGATGGAGGTGTTGACGCGCTGGTTGCGCTGACGTTTCTTGGCCTCGCACTTTTGACCTTGTCCCAGCGAACAGCAGGTGCAGTGCTTCACCGGGATCCACTCTGTTTGCCTGTCTGCTGGCCACGTCAACACCTGGCACCGGTCAGACTCCCAAGCTCTGCCACAGAGATGCATCTGTCTACCGCGCGAGCACATGGCTGTTGGTGCCGCTCATTGGCCTCTCTCAGTGCGGAAGGCGGTGCATTAGCGCGCTGTGCGCAGGCATGTCGCGGACTGGCTCAGCCCTTGGGCCCCCCCAGCAGGCGGACGTGCACAGTTCGCTGCCAGCTGCAGGCAGCCTGGTGGGCGTGAGTGGAGGGGCTTGAGAACGAGGGCGAGGCGAGCAGGTGCCGCAGAGGCAGACTGCTGGCCTGCTCTCGAGCGAGAGACTGAGTCCACCGCTGCGAACCGCTTCGTCGGCAGGTGCACGCCGAGTCCAGCAACGCCCGCCCGTCTCGCCGCCCGTGCCAGCGCCGTGCTGCTGGATGTGATGGAGAGCAGATCGCGCAGCCGTCGAGAGCGTTTTGGGACAAGGGATCGAGCGGTAAGCGCCCGGCTGCACCGCTGCGGCCCAATCAGCGCGGCGGACGGCGGGCAGGGCGCGGCTTTCCTTGCCCTCTGTGGGGCGCGACAGCTGTTACGCGCAGGCAGCCCATGTCGTCGCCCTGGGACAAGAGTGTCGGCGACCTGTCTTGCTCTGTCTCGCTGTGTCTTGCTCTGTCTCGCTGTGTCTTGCTCTGTCGCGCTGTGTCTTGCTCTGTCTCGCCGTGTCTCGCTCTGTCTCGCTGCGTCTCTCTCTGGCAGACGCGCCGCATACATACCACACGCCCGCCGCCCGCCGCCCGCCGCAGCTGGTCTGCCACAGCACCGCCAGGCCCGTCTCACCTGCCCAGCGAGCGACCCAGCGCCTCCACCGTCCACCCACCCGTCGCCGCGACCGACGCTCTTCGCGCCGCGCATCCCCTCGCCATTCGCCGACCCCCACACCGCCGACGACACAGCCTCGCACTCGCACGGCAGGCAGCCCGGCAGCCCGGCAGCACGCTGGGAGCCCCCTCGAGCTCTCGCACAGCTCCCGCGCGGCGCAGGTCTGGCGCGAAGGAGACAGCCTTGAGGCATGGCGATGCTGATGCCGTCTCCAACGGGTCCGGGCCTCAGCTCTGCCTTTAGCCCCTACACAGACTCGCCGAGCTCCCCGCCCAACTTCAACCACGTCCTGTCAAATAGGTGCGCGTCCCCCCCCCCAGCAACCCCGCTGCACCGCACGTACTGATTGATGGATTCGCACAGGTCCTCGACGCAGTCGGACCACCTTGTCCCGCCCCCGAGCCCCTACCCTGCGACTGTCGACCCTTCGCCCGTCGACAGCAATGGCACGAGTGCCACGGACCACACCGAGGTATGCGTGACTCGAGACCGCTGTGCAGACGGACAGCAGCGCTGACACTGTCCAGATCGAGGACGACGCACAAGACGGCCTGAACGATATCAGATCGCCCAGGACCGAGGACATTGCCAGTCCGGCGAGTCAGACCAGCCAGTCCAAGGTACGGCGACCATTGTGGCCTGCATACCAGCCCAGCTCTGACCCGTGACTCAGCCGTTCAAGCTCGACACGTCGCTCCCTGCGCGCACGCGGTCAGACTCGGACGAGGCGCCGCCCTCTGTCATACATGTGCCCGCAGACTTCAAGCAATTTGTATGGGACGCATTCGCAATCGTTGCACTGTCTAGGCGCTGACTCTTCATGCAGAGCCGCAGCAGCGTGTCAGCGGCTTCGTCGAGCGCCAACACCTCGGAGAATACAGCCGTAGTGTCGCCTGCCACTCCCGAGGCGAACATGGTCTTTGAAGCTGACGACAAGGTGCGTCTTGCTCGCCTTGCTCTGGCACAAGCGATGATGGCTAACCCGCTTCAGCACAACTACACGGCTCCAATCGACACATCTGTACCGCGCGGCGCCTTTGACCGCAGCACGCCGCTGGCGCAGACGCGTCACGACTACGAGGATGACCTGAAGCGGCGCAGTGCTCGAATGAGCGCCAACCTGGCTGGTGCGTGCTGCTCAAGCAGGGTCGATTGCATTGCTGACTTGCACAGACATAGCAGAGCACGACGACAGCTACCCCACCGATTCCTCGGCGAGCTCTGTCATCGAACAGGACGACGACGAATCCTCCCAGTCACAAGGAAACGGCCCAGCACCGCCTGACGCCCAAACCATGGGCCAGGCGCTGCATGGCATCAACGAGTCGGAGAGAGAGGTTGCAGCGCTGAACAGTGCACTGGATGAATGCTGGATCCTGTGCAACTCACTAGCGAAACTCAGCCAGAATCATCGCCGACGAATGTTCAATTATGCTGGCGGCAGTGCCGACGAACAAGAGCACGCTTGGCGAACATGTTGGCGCTTGTGCCAGAAACTCTATGAGAGCCGGGACGAGAACCCCTCGGCTCAGGTCATGCCCACATTGGAGCTCTGCCGGGACTTCTGCCAGGCTTTGTTCGACGTACGGCAGCGGGGCGACGATGCCTCTGACTCGGTGTTGAGAGTGAGCTTCGAGCTGAACAACCACCTCTACAACGCTCACGACCGTGCTTTGCCCGAAGCTTTTCGAGAACGCACGCTGGACTTTTACCTGACGCTATGCCATCGCCTGATGAAGCAACGGACGTCGTTGCCAGAGGAAACGGATTCGTTGCTCCATGCCTGCTGGTCCTTGGCTGAAACGCTTTTCAGTCTCCGCCAAAACAGTCGTGACGGCAAGCCTGCGGACGAGGAGCTGCTGGGCTCCGGCATACAAGCTTGCTGGGAGTTGTGCGACCTGTTCCGCGAAGGCTGGACTCAGGTGCGGCCTGATCGTGGCACCCCTCGTCCGACCCAGTATGAGTTCAATCTTGGATCCAGCTCCGGTTCTGTGACCCGTTCGCAACGATCCTACTCGGAGAGGTCGGGCCGGACGTCATCCAGCATTGACGACTCGTACCATTCCGCCATCTCGTCTCGGCGACAAACACCAGCAGTACCGGACACGCCCACGACCATATTCGACGACCGTGAAGAATTCTCGCCTGCCGAAGAGAACAATGTGCCGAATATTTTAATTCTAGGACCAGAGGCTGGCATGACACGGACACACGATCGCTGGTCGTCTGCATCGTCCAATCTGTCAACGTACTCTGATGCTTCCATACACAGCTCGTCGACGGCGACTGCAGGCCGAACGGATCCCAATCTCGTTAGGCTGAAAGCCTTGATTGTAAAAGCCGCCATCAACACGGGCTACAGCCGTCAGATACCGCTGCCTGACTTTATCCGCGCTCTTCCCTCGAACAGCTTCGGCACGCTCCCCTGGCAAGCACAGCTCTTTGAAAGCTACAGAAAACTAGTCCTTGCAGACCCCACGCTTCGAACTGCCCACAACGAGCCGCCTCGCAGACAGACCGCCGTGGAAATCGGCCGCTCGGTGCAGTGGATGGCGCGTAGTGAGCAGTTCAAGTGGCTGCGTGATCTCTACCGATTTGTCTTCGGCAACAACCCCGAGGACAGCAGCCAACGCAACCTCATCATCAATGCATAGTAATCCATTGTATTCGCGCATGCGTTTTGTCTGGCTAGGCTTTCTGCTTTCGTTCCGCTCTATACCCCAACGCTCTTTCCGATTCATCACGACGCTACGTGGAAACGGTCATCTACAAAGCACAATTCAAACAGCCGCTTGTCTTTACTTCGATGTACATATTCTTACCTAATCGCCTTCCTTGTATGAATCTTATCATTCGCAGCTTGCCTGCCCACTACTGACTCCAGCGAAGGCCTATCTGTAGGACAGCAGACCTCGGCCGCCTCGAGACCTCTCCAGCAGCTTGCCGATTCGGTATTTCAGTGCGCATGTAATTGCACCGATATGGTGAGCGTTTGTGTTGCTTTAGGCAACCCCACACCCTGTCTTTTGCGCCAGGTGGGGTGAAGAACTCACCGGTCCTCGTATCCATGTCTTTGCGAAGCAAGGGTAGGCGAGGCTGAGCGGGAGGCTCCGCTTACGCCGTATGTACAACAACCCTGGGGCTTCACCCTGAACTTCTACCGGATTCTCAGCGAGCAACATTCTTGTTTGTCGTCGTCCGCAATGCCTCTTGTGAAACCTGAACTTCCGCCCAGGCCATCCTCAACCGCAGCCGAGCAGAAAGGGCGGTCTCCAGTCTTCGCGCCCTGCCCTCGTTCAGCGTTTGCAACAGGGGATTCAGATTGGTACAACATCGCCACACCAAGGTCCTTTCAGGGCGTCGACATCTGTCCAAGCTGTTACGATGCGACGTTTCGCGACACACCGTACGCGGGATGTCTTACTAAAGCTCCGCCCATGCACAAAGACACGGTAAAAAGATGCGACCTCTCTGACCGCTGGAACCGCGCAGCAACGTTCTGGCTCTTCTTGCAAGGTGCGCCGGACCTCAATCTGCTAGGCACTGTAGCTGCACTGCCGCCAGACGAAGATGGGCACTGTCCGAACGTCAACATGCAATATCCAGAACCGCAACAAGAAGACAGGCCAACTGCGACGCGGACCTGGTACTGTCTTCTTGACCCAACAACCGGCTCTCTCATCGAAGACCTCACAGTCTGCTCAGCTTGCGTCGCACGCGCGAATGCGATATTCCCTTCCATGCGCGGCATCTTCAGATCAGTTGCGGATGGCCACAAAGTCCAAGCGACATGCGACCTACTCACAGTCAACAAGGACGGAAACCGAGGCGGGAAATATTTCGACAAGATGGTGGAAGTAGCGCAGCAATCACTCCAAACCGGGACCCTCGACACGCGTCCTTTGACCGACTACATCAAGAAATGGGCGCCTGTTCCTGTCTGTATGCAAGCCGACCCTGCCTTACCCGGCACCAAGAGCTGGACGTTCCCGACCTCGATCCCCCACTACGCCATCTGCGAAGAGTGTTACACGTATCATATCGTCCCGCTGCTGGAATCCTCCCACCCACCGACCATCCTCAAAGAACTGAGACCAGCCGTCTGGCCGAGTGGTTTCGTGTGCGATCTCTATTCGCCCCGGCTCATACAGTGGTTCAAAGACGCATGTGCGAGCGGAGACCTCGCGACGTACAAACAAAGGTACCTACGCAAAACCCCCCATGAATCATACCAGTCGATGCAGGCGAGCTCACGCGCACTAGGATCATGGCAAGAGAGGCCCAAGCCCAGGAGTACAAACTCAAGCTCGACCAATTACGCATCCAGCACCGGCAACACGAGCAACAGGCACGCTTGTTCAGTATGCAGCAGCACATGGCGCGGAGCCAGGAGACGGTTCGCGCGATGCAGTGGAATTCAAGTGCATACTATGCGCCGCCGGTACGTGAATTGAGTGCGTTTCTTTGACTTTGCTTTTTCGTGTTGCCTTCTTCCCCGTTGCGGTTGTGGCGAGAATGCGGACTGACGCTTCCAGCTCGATTTCAGTCGCTCCACCGAGGCGATGAACCAGAGTCATCAGGCTATGCTGCAGGCGGAGATGGTGGAAGAGAACATGAATATGCTTCGGAAAGAGTGGGTTGAGTTGTACGAGTGAGGCACTGATTCCTCGCCTGCGATCGAGAGCGCTACTGTAGAAGATTAGGTCGGAGTCTCAACGCGTCGCGTCTCACGAGGCCGCCGTCGATCACCGTGTCGAGATGTGAGTGCAGTGCGAGCATATCTTGGTACTTGGGTTATGGACTATCGATTCTGGCTCCGCGTCAGAAGATAGTACACCCATTCGCGGTACGTGGGCTTGTTGCAGATTTTTTTTTTTTTTTTTTTGGAAATAAACGAGCCGGCGACTACGACACCGCATTGAAGACTATGGACATGTGCAACAAGCTCTCAACCTGAATGTATGCCGTGGCACTAATGGACCCAGAAGCTTTATACCCATTGAACGAAGGTCTGATAGGTAGAACTCATTCACACTGCTGCCACATCTTGACTGATCTAACAGTCATGCCGCGGTCGGTACCATTGCCCCATGTTGGCAGCCACTGGTCTCTCGCGTTCCAGAACTCCTTTGCAGCAAGTGGGGTGTGATCAGCCCATGGTTTATTGAACTTCCCATCGCTGTGGTTCTGTCAGCAGTCACTCTCAAGACTCCTAGAGCACTTACTAAAAGTACCCATGCTGGGCTCCCACCGCGACTTTGAGATTCAGATGGAATTTCTGATCAAAGGGCGCGATCCCACTCTCGGCATTTCGCCAGGGGTCGTCGGCCATTGTGCCATTTAAGGAAGACATGCCCTTGAACTTACCCCGGTCCCAGAACGTTTTCTTGTTCTTAAAGCTGATGGAGAAGATGATTTTGTGGTCGACGTACATGTGCATGTAGTCTTTGTACCACTCAAAGCCGTAGGTGAAGAATTTGTCAGAGAAGTCGGTGCTTTTCTTGTTGAAGAAGAATGTATCGTATGTTTGCAAGTGTCCATCATGTTGCGGATCAGGGCCAAAGTGGAGGGTCGACGTAACAAGATCGCGACCGCGAGGGTAGTGACGATCATTGCCGCGCAATTCTGCGATGTCAATCTCGCCCGACCTGGGCCAAGCGCCGTAGACGGAGTCTTCTGGCATCATCCCTTGCAGATATCAGTAAGCACTCAATTGCTAATGAGCGGCACATACATATGGCCGGCCACAACCAGTCGCCCTTGGGCATCTTGGCGACCACTTCGACCCGGCCGTATTTGATGCTCTTCTTGCCTTTTGTAGTAATACGTGCGGATCGAACAGGCGGGATGATGCGACCGAGTGTAGCATTGGATCTGATCGAGCACATCTTCACATCCGAGGACGTACAGCTGCCCCAGCCGCCGTATTCAGATGTGAGGTTCACCGAAAAGCCGTTGAGCAGCTGTGATTCTTTAATGTCGGTCGATTCTGTGGTCAGTGTAGGTACAATGTGTAAGCCCTCGTTATCAACGAAGATGTTTTGTTTGTCGACAGTCGCCCAGCTGAACTCTCCGTGTTCGAAACCACCGGTCTGGAATCATATTAGCGCTTGCCTGTAACTCTATCGATGCGTCTGTACCTGAGTCTCGTAACTCCAATAGTCGCGATGGAGCCCTATATCGAATTGGTCGTCCATGATAAGACAGTACTGTGAGGCATCAGTAAGTCCTCGGATTTAGTGCAAAACTTTGCTCACCTTTCCTGCAGGAAGCGAGGACCGGTAGCCGTCCACAATTAGCCAACAAGAGAGGGCTAGGCTGATTAGAAAGCCTGTGATCATGATAGCATTGTTGATGTATCTGGGCCAATGCCAGCGTTTATCGTCGAGCCAAGGTTTTTCAACTCTGTCATATTTTAGCTTCCGTCTCGACTGCAAGTACATGTAACGCCTACTTTGCTCTTAAGGTGTAGCTCTTGTACCTGCGTCGAGGCTGTCCGGATGTATGAGACGGTGCGAGCGCCTTGCGCGCGTCTTTTGGTTCGTACAACTCGGCGTCAACATTGTCGGGGTTGGATTTCACTTGGCTTTGGGCAGTAGTTTCCTTTTCTATTGTAGTAGCGGCTGTATTGGCGGGAGACTGTCGGCGGTGGTTGATCTCGCGCTTTTCCACTACGGTGCTGGCTCCTTTGGACCAGGGAAAGCTGAATCTCGGGTCTGACAATGCCATGTTGCTGGTGATGAAGACTGTTGGCTTGTTTATGAGAAATGTAAACTTGATGGCGAAAGATAGTATGGTCGCGACAGGAGACGACGATGATCAGCAGAAAAACATGTAACGTTGCGCTGAAGACATGCGGAGCACTTGGTTCACGGCTATTTTACGCTGTACTTTTCAGTTGAGACAGTAAGGTGACTGCTTTGAAAGCCACGCGAGCGGCTGAGAGCACCTGCACATCTTGTTGGTTGTAGGTAGCCGCGTCCATGACTGACCAAAACAGCGCGCCAAGGGCCTCTGTCAAACTCAGCTATGGAAGAGACTCTCCGATGCGTGTTATCGATCGCTGACTTGTTCGAGATCGATGAGGGCCAACTAAAAGCGCGTGTGGTGCGAGCCGGGTGGCTCTGGAGGTGCTCCAACTTGACATGCGCGCGCCACCCTTTTGCAGAAAAATATCACCTTCACACCCAGACGCTTTCCAACGGTAATTTGTGCGCATTGACGTTCTTCATTGCGCCTGAGCACTCGTTTTTGCGGAAGGTTCTCCAGTCGAAATGACACAAACGCCTCAATCCTGCCCAAGTGTATGCGTGCGTGCAAAGCGAAGTGCAACGAAGAGCAGCACACAACCCTAGGCTGCTGCCATATCTGGAAACAACACACGTACGTCCTCCTATCTGAGAACACGTGGCGCCATAAAGCCACGGAAGTCTCGATCCAGGCCACAAAACAGGAATGAATATGGCAGGGCTATCCACAATCGTGTCTCCCCTCCAAACACCGCTCATCATTGTCCCATGCTGCCAAATCGTCGCTTACTTTCTTCTTAGCATTTCTCATCATCGCTATTCGTAACAGCTTTCGCTTTCTCATCTTCGTTGCCAATCGATCGTTCAGCTCCAAACTTGAGCACCTCCTCGACCGGTTCGAAGCCTCGACTCACGATGTCACATGAGTCAATTCAACAGGACTCTTCGCACGCTCCTTCAAATTGCGATCCGGACTCCGGCCGTAGTTCAATCGGTACGCTGGGGACATACACTACCGATAATAGCGACGCTGGAACGTTAGCGCTCGCCTGGGGCAGTGAAGCGGGCTCATGTTATAAGTCTAGCCCTCGTGGACGCAGCGACAATATCAGGGATTTCCCCGAGCGTGGTGTCAGATATGAGGCCTCGAATAGCATGGATAACCCTCGATATCGCACAGTGAGTACCCATTCTTCTTTCCAACAACACGTGTAGAGAAAGGTAGGACATTCAACTGACACTTGACAGCTTGCGAAAGATCTCCACGCAAAGATGCGTTCTATGTCTTGGACAGACCACGATGTTCCACAACCCCTGCGCAGATCTGGTGCCTTCATAAAGAAAGGCGACAACGAATATGTGGTCGAGCCTCGGATAATGGACCGGGGTATTCTCGCTGCGGTGCGACATATTAATGCTATGGTGGCTCTGACTATTGTCACGGACCATACCGAAGTAGTTTTTGATACACTACAGCCGGACAAGCCTCTAAAATTCGAGGATGGCTCGCAGATCCAAATATTCGAATCCCTAGATGCACTGGCTCAGTCGGCATCCGTCAAGAAGCTTCAGTATGCCGCGTTTGTTCGTCGAGAACGGATGTTATTGGTCTGGTACCACGACCTTGGTACAATCTTGGAGCGAGCCAGGTCTATCCACCGCAGGATTCACGATCTGGTGACTTCCTTAGGATACGACTCGTCTGAAGACTACACGAGCACTGTACGGTCCTACACATCTTCATCACACACAATCAAGAAGGTGGTCGACTCGTCAGACGACAAGAGCCATGCTGAACTCCGTGAAGAAGTGGACGCAGAGAAGGACACAGTCGACTTCACAGAGAGTGAATCACGCTCGCGCCCAGCGATCTACACAAGTGCCGTTTTCACGACCATAGGTGTATTCCTCATGAGTACACTCATCTTCGGTTTCGGCAATCGCGCTCTCGTCTCACAGATCAACTGGGACCACTTCTATCCCCGCATACTCCTTGTCCTCTCGGAACCTGTCTTCTTCTGTCTCGGTCTCTTCTTTGTCATTGTCTTCTTCAATAACATCTTTCAGGTCTTTGGACCGACTGCTTATTTAAAGATGAACAGTCGCTTTTACTCAGCAACAAAGCCAGACCTGGCCCATGCCCGAGCTCTCGAGTTCAAGCCACCTCCGATTACCATCCAGATGCCCATCTACACCGAATCGCTCGAGTGTGTTGTCAAAAATTCTGTGGCCTCGTTACAGAAAGCAATCTCCTACTATGAACTACGAGGCGGTTCAGCCCGTATCTTTATAAACGACGATGGCATGGCTCTGCGCTCTGACGCCGAGAATGCGGAGTTCGAGACATTCTACGCCGAGAACAACATTGGTTGGGTAGCCCGTCCAAAGCACAACGTCAGTGGATTTGTGCGTCCGGGCAAGTTCAAGAAGGCGTCCAACATGAACTATGCTCTCAACTTCTCCTTACGCGTGGAGGACGCCTTGCGCAAGATTGCTGACGACTTGTGCGACGATAATCGGAGCATCACTGCGAACGAAGAAGCCGAGCTATACCAGCTAGCAATGACGAAGATTCTCGAGAGCGATCCCCGAACCAGAGCTAGTGGTGATGTCCGGATGGGGTCGATCATCCTGCTTGTTGACTCCGACACAGAAGTTCCAGAAGACTGCCTGATGTATGGTGCTGCAGAGATGTTCCTCTCTCCTGAAGTTGCTATCATACAGCACAGCACAGGCGTGATGCAGGTATCCTGGGACTGGTTCGAGCATGCCATCGCTTATTTCACGAACCTAGTCTACTCTTCCATTCGTTTCGCTGTCGGCAGTGGCGAAGCAGCTCCTTTCGTCGGTCACAACGCCTTTATCCGCTGGAGCGCAGTACAAGACGTGGCCGTGGATGTTCCAGCAGATGACGGGTACATTCGCTTCTGGTCCGAGAACAACGTCTCCGAAGACTTTGATATGGCAATCCGCCTACAGATCGATGGGTATATCCTCCGTCTTGCCAACTATCATAGCGGCGAGTTCAAAGAAGGCATCTCACTGTCTATCTTCGACGAGCTCGATCGTTGGGAGAAGTACGCTTATGGCTGTAGCGAGTTGGTCTTCCACCCTTTGCTGGACTGGTTGAAGAAAGGACCTATCACTCCGCTCTTCCGCAAATTCCTCTGGTCAAAGATGCAACTCTCGTCAAAGATGACCATCATTGGATACGTGTCGTCTTACTATGCTCTTGCATCTGCTGTTCCCCTCGGCCTTCTAAACTATTTCCTGATCGGATGGAGGAATGGAGACACTGACCAGTTCTATGTCGAGTCCTGGAATGGTTTGTGGGATTCGTGAGACCTCGCTTCGGGCCTTGCTGACATTGACCAGTCTTCGTTACTCTGATAGTGGTCTTCAACTTCATGTCCAACATCTGTCTTGCTGTGTTACGCTACCGACTTGGCGAGATGCACATCGTCCGCGCACTCCTGCAGAACTTCATGTGGATGCCGTTCTTCGCAATCTTCTTTGGGGGCGTGCCCTTCCATCTGCTCCTCGCTATCTGCGCACATATGTTCGGTATCAATATGAGCTGGGGCGCTACCGCTAAAGAAAAAGGCACCACCAATTTCTGGACAGAATGGCCCAAAATCATGGGTCGTTTCAAGTGGATGTTTGCCTTTATGGTACCAATGTTTGCAACGATGATCTACCTGGGCTGCTATTCAGAGGAGAAGGTGAGCATCAGGGGTATAACAAGTATCGTCCCTATGGCTGTCACGGTGGGCTCGCACATCGTCTTTCCATTCGCTTTGAACCCGTCCCTGCTGGTATTCGATTTCTAGGGCTGTTAAAAAGGATTGGCCTGGGGGGTTTCAGGTTGGTATTCGTCACTGAACGAGTTCAGTACACTGGATTGGGGCTCATCGTAGCTCTAATGAGACGTTTCTCAATCGCAAGAACTTCATGGCTTGATGGATGTTGATGTGATATGCTGACGGTACCCCATGCTGCAATATCCCTGGAAGTATCCTACCTTCCGCGTACAGGACAACGAACATACCCAAAGGCCTCCAGGGTGGTGTGCATGTGCGTCTTAGCCTTGGTCCGAGAACAGTAATTGACGGAATGAAATGCAACAAAGCTTTACAGTATTTCGAAAATCATCCGTATGTAGGCAGAGATTGGTACTGCGAAGTCAGGTGGAGGAGGAGCGCGAAAATGCCAGTGTTTGGGTGTCGTATTGGAGTGAACAGTGCGCATATGCAGGAAGAATTGAAGAATTGAACTGAGGTTGTATTGTGTGCAACTACGAACAGTAGGTAACGTACCTCACAAGCAAGCTGATCACCCAAGCGAGCTGATCACTTTTGCCAAGACCACACCAACACTGCACCTACTTTGCAACATTACAGCACACAGCAACAATATATCACACTATAAAGTATATTAAACTAATTTACAGTACTCTGCGCATCTTCACTACATATTTGCGCGTTATGCCCTGTCTTGCTACATGTGCTACAGCGCCTAAAAGACTAAGTGCTCCTATTAATACGCAACCTCTTCTTTGCCTTCTTCCTATTACTACAGGCCTTAAACTCCTTTAGAGTAGTTAGCTGCACTCTCTTAGCAAACGTTAGTGTCCCTTCTTGCTATAATTACTTTCTTTTATACAATTTACAACATGTAGTGGCTTTGTTAGCTGCCTGTAGGTTAGCAACTTAGTTGCGCACTAAAACTGTAACAACGCTCTACGAACAGTGACCCAATAACACTAGGATACGGTTCCAGCGACTTATGACCATGGCCCTTGTTGCATAGCATAAGCTTGCACTACACTGCCACTAAACCTTTATATATAAGGAGCAAGGAACTGTAGCATTGTAAAGTAGTTTTTCTATAACATGTTTCACAAGCGAGCGCCGCACCCAAGCGAGCGCCGCACCCAAGCGAGCGCCGCACTCTCGCTGCCAGAACGCCGGCGCAACAACAGCGCGTAATGTCTCAACCACAACAAGCTCCTACACTCTATACTAAAGCTAATATACAGCTTACTATATCTAATATCTTAAGAAACTAAATTTAAAGTATCTAACACACTAAGAAAGTCTATAAAATACCTAAATAAATAATCTAATACTAATATAATAGAATATGCTCTTAATATAACTGTAAGCTAAATATAAAGCGCCTTACAAAGCTAGAAGAGGAGGCAGTTATACTATGTATACTTAAGGAATCTGCGTGTGGCCTACCCTCCTTAAAGGTAGACGTACAAGATATAGCAGATAAACTGCTAAGAGAGCGCAGCGCAAAGCCTGTTAGCAAGAACTAGGTTGACAACTTAGTAAAGCGTACACTAGAGCTCTAGAAGCAGTGGACCCGCCCATACAATTGCCAGCAGGCTGCCTGCGAGGACCCAGCAGTTATCTAGCCCTAGTTCACGCTTGTTTAGTCTATAAAGGCGAAGTATAGTATTTTAGACAAGGATATGTATAACTTTAATAAGTCTAGCTTCCTAATAGGCAAGATCTTGTTATAGCTAGTAGTAATAGGCTTAGAGAAGCCTAGGAAGTAGAAGAAGATCTAACCTAGTAATTGTAAGTAGGTTACCCTAGTATAAGACATTAGGTATAACGTGTTTCACAAGCGAGCGCCGCACCCAACTAAGCGCCGCACTTTCAACAACAGAACGCCTGCGCAGCGCTATATCACAACACAACACAAATAAATAATTATTTGCAGGCCTAGATAGTATTATTTAGAAGCTTTACTATTATCTACATCCCCTATTTCTACCTTACAAGTACAGGAATTATATCTAATCTTACTATAACGCCTATAGTGTTATCTAACACGCACCCTCTTTACAGGCGTCTTGCCCTTACTATAACCCCTACCCTCCTTTTTAGTAATTAAGTTAGCTACTTTACTAACTATAAGGGTCTCCTCTACATGTATATATTATTGCTTACAGGTCTTGCACTTTGTAGACGCTTCTATAGCGTCTTAAAGGTGGCCTATTTCCTCCTGCATTAACACTATATTATAAGCTATCTACTAAGTGCCCTTTGCTAACTATTTAACCTACTTATCTAACAAATTTGCTAGAGACCCTTAATAGATTTAAATCTACTTTTAAATTAGAGTTAACTAATCCTCTACTTTGTAAGCAGTGTGTGGTGTCTTTAGCTCCTAGGCAACGTTGCTAGGTTTTAGTGGTGTTGGCGTGTGCAGGCGCACATTAAGCTTTAATAACACCACCTCTAGGTTGTGTAGGACTAGCCTAGCACCTCTAAAGCCTGCGCAAATGTTCTCTCTAGTGAACGCCTTACTAAATGCTAATTTAAAGGCTAGTAGGAAGGTTTCCTTATTAATATAGTAGATGCAACTGTGTGCTAAGGCTAAAACCTTATTGCTATACAGGCGCTTTAGTGGCGAGAAGCAGGCAACGTTAAGTGGCTGCAACAGGTGCAACGAGTGCGCGGGCATACAGAGAGT